TTACTAATTAAATCAAATCCCGAAGTTCCTGACAGCCTTCACTAAAAAAGGTTGTTAAACCAGGTATGTAATGTCGTAATGTATGTGATACCACATATCTATGACCAAATTGTGGCTATAATTACCACGTGGGATTACTGAAAAACAAGACAAGAATACTAAGCACACATCACACCAACTTCCTTGGAAATGCAGATCTGGTCATCTTCATGGATGACGGAATAATCTCAAAAGAGGGCAAGTCCTGAGACATGTCCGTCAAATGAATGTTTTGTTATATTGCAGTATTTGTTTAAACATGCTTATGTTTTAGGAAGTCGTGTTTTAAGAAATCGTCAAAGATTCCCGATACCGTCTGTCTTGGAAGTAAAACTCCTTTTTTTTAATTATTTCAGTAGGAGTCACTAGCTTGCAGAGGAAAAGATAATGTGGAGCAGTCGTTTTAATATCTTTTTTATCTTTAATAGGACCTCCGTCAGAGGTACTTATAGATATTAGAGTTAGTGGGCACAAACCATCAGACAAAACAGGTGCAGACGGCCGACACTCAAAGGAAAACCACCAAGATAGGAAACTGGGACAGGAGACTATTGAAACCCTATGCAAGGTTATCTGCCCTTGCTTTAGATATTAGGCAGTATTATCTGTTTTGGTTATATTACTGAATTGATGTTTATAATATTTAATTATTAAGCAGAATTATCTGTTTTAGTTATATGTTCTGACACACAGTCATTGATCTGTGGGGGACATATATTAAGGTCACTTTACTACGCTGTACTGCTGCTGCTGAGGCAGGTGCACAAACTGCGCAATAGTTAATACCTAAAACGCTAACAAATGTTTATGTGACGTAATTTTTTAAAGTCTTTTGTTTACACTGGGAGACCGGACCTTGGCGTGTGTGGCCGAATTGAAGGCTTTGTATTTGTTTTCGACTGTTTTAGCTCCAGAATGTCTGGAATTCAATTCAAAATTAGTAACAGTTTGACAGCCTTGGTCAACCGGGGTCACCCATCAAATTTGACAGTCACGTAGGCATTAGACATAAATAGGAGGGGACAAGATCGTCCCTCACTCCGGTCACTAGACAGCGTATTGGACGGACTGGTGTCACGAGGCCTGGGACCAGGGCAGGTACGGGAGCGAGAGAGTTTTGTAAGCTTACCGGAAATAAAAGGCGCTTTTCTTCACCTTCGATAGTCCTTCAATTGTGTCTCTCGAACGGTTCGAGAGGGTTACACTATGGCCACTGGGCAGGTGAGAGTGAAAGTGTACAAAGCATATCAGGAAGCTGTTGGAAAATGGTTTGTCCTAGCAATGGTCATGCCTATTCTCTTTATGCTAGGTATCTATCTGGTCCTAAATAAGTGTTCAGCTCGATTTATGATATGCTATGGAAATTATCACGATTTCACTGTATAACCGTATCCTTACGGCAGAATTCTCAATAGATTTTCATCAGACATGGGGACCATCGACGACTCCTTAAGTCACATGATCATGGTAGCTTTGCGGCAGTTGTTCGAAGTTGTTGGAACTATACTCATCGTCTGTTACGGAATGCCATGGTTCATAATTATCCTCCTACCCTTGGCAACCATTTTCAAAAAGAATCTGGACTCCATCGTGTGTTTCTGTGACGAGGAAGTGTGGTGTGTCTTGTACAGATGTCATCTTCGCCAACCTGTAGACTGACTGGGATGACTGAAGAGAGAGGTGGGAGAAAAAGTACGTCATTTTACTGTAGGACAGAAACAACTCATGTGTCTTGCTAGGACTTTCCTAACCAAAGCCAAAGTAAGCTAATTTCTATTTAGGTATGGGGACACTCAGTAACATGCAATAATGCGACATTTGAACCCATGGAAATCCGATGCTCTTTTTTTCTGTAATAATTATTAGTTTTCCATCAACAAGTAAAGGATCATTGAGCATTGATAATGATTATTGTTCCACTCCACAGTCACATTCCAGATACTGTGTATTGATGAAGCTACAGCCGGTGTATTCCTGAAGACAGACAGATTAAAACAAGAAACAATTCGTCAGGAGTTTGTGGAGAGTACAGTGTTGACCATTGCCCATAGAATCAACACCATAATGGAAAGTGACAGGGTGTTGGTGATTGACCAGGGTCAGGAGGCTGAACTGGACTCTCCAGAAAACCTTCAAAAATTCCACAGTCTCAGTTCTATCATTTGGTACAGGGAAGTAGTCTCCAAACCAGCATACAAATGAATTCGTTCAAAGTTGATCAAACTCTACTGTATGTCCAGGGTGCATTTCCATTTTGAGTAAATTATCAAAAAGTTCAACTATTTTCTTTATCATCAGTTAATTGTCCTGTTTTGACCAACTCGGACTTGAAGAAATATCTTAAACAGACAAGTTCAGACAACAAAGCCTGATAGCTGATTAGAGTAAACCAATGGACTTGATTGTAGTCCTATATACAAGCAAAGTCAGTCTCAATTTACCTCATGAAAACAATATCAATACATCGATTATTTAGGTCAGATTGTTTCTTATTGAGTATTAAATTACATGTGGGATATTTTAATTTTTAAACGTTTTTTACAGCATTCGTTTAAACCCATATTTTAGTATCGGCACTTTGGTTGCCACGTGTCACATAGAGTTGTGAAAGAATGATCGGCTTTATTTTAGAGCGTTTCAAGAATAAATGATAATTTTTTATGTAAATGATAGGGGATTAGACTAAAATTATATAAATTGTCAAAAAAATCACCCTTTGTTAAGATAAAAATAGCTATGTTTTTATTTATTTTATGATGTTGCATGAATAAATTGTGCATTTTATCTATGGAGTCTATGGTACACTTAGGGGAAAATTTCGAACTTGAGTTATTGTATGGATAAGAAATAAAATTGATTTTTAATGGAGAAATAAGTTACTTGATTTATTCTCAGAATGGCATAAATAATGACAAATAACAAAGTATAATGGCTCTTACTACAGAGACAGTGGTAAATGGTAAATTAGAGTCACACTGTTGTACAGCACAATGCTAGCATTTTAAGTTGTTTATTAATAAATTATATGCTGTATGTATCTTTTTGTGTACTTTGTACAACCGGTTCAGCATCAATATTTTGTATTACTTTAAAAACACCCTATATTATTATTGTATTTGGATACATGATGAACTATGTGGAACACTCTTGAAATGCGATATGTGTACCCGACTAAAAGAATCTGTGCGGTAGATGCTTTGTATGGCGAATATCATATATATCATCATGGGTTAAATGTTAAAAAGGGGGTAACTGTTACTTTTTAACATTTTGTGTCACACATAATAAACAGTTTAGAATCAACCGACTCATTTGTACATCTCCTTTTTAGTCTATCGCCATAATTACATAGTGGGTTGTTTCATCTTTCATCCATGATCCGTGTGTCGGTCATTATCATAAGATGAATGGTACCAAGTGAATATTTAATTTTGAGACTGATCGGAAACATACTTGCCAACAGAGATGCAGTCATCATAAATTCTGAAGTCAAAAAGAAATTATTGCGACATCTCAGAAAGTGTGTGTGGCGATCACCCTGTATTTTATTACAAAAAGTTTGTTTTCATAAAATGAATGTTTCATATTTCGATTTTCCTTGATCCAAGATTGTGTCACTCTAATTTTCAGACTGATCATTGTAAGTTAATGATGCTAGCAATTACCACCGGTTGGATTTTTCTTATATTCCATATGTAGAGCTTTCATGGTTCCTTGATGTTCTATTTTCATTTTGTGACTAATTGGATACCAAAATAGCACATATTACTAGGCTTTGAAAGTTTTTCTAAAGTCCTTTAAATATGTTTGACAAAAGGGAGTGAATGGTTCTTTCTGGAATAGCATGTGTACATTTTCCTTAATCTCTTGGTTTCCCTTGGTCTCTTGATCATTGTTACAAATAACCGACAGACAGCCATATTTGATTTTGGAAGTTAAGGGATTTTTCGCTATTTTGTGACAGACCATGTGATGGTTCTCATTCAGATGTCTGGGTTTTTTGGGTTTTTTTTTTTTTTTTTTGCACAGAATTTAATCTCATATATTTTGATTCCTCCTTTCTTCACTTTGGATTTTTAATGGCTGTGGTTTAAAAAGAAAATTTAGATTTAATTCATTTGAAAGTTTATTCATTTATTGTCTTCCTGCAAAAGTCATTTATGAAGTGACTTGTCAAAATTATAGTGTATAGTTTAGTTATATAAAGCTAAAGTATATATATATATATATGTGTTTGAGTGTGTGTTTGTGTGTGTGTGTGTGTGTGTGTGTGTGTAAATCTTAGAAAACATCTGTTATGTATGAAAAAAAATGGACATCAGTTCACAGTCATACATAAAATTTAGTACCCTCATGTAGTCCAAACCATGACAACCATCAAATATTAGCCCAACAAAATTAAACAACAGTACATTATAAGGAACAGATGCTTCCATTACTTCAACTTGGGTGTTCAAGATGTAAACAAAATTACATATTTGCCATTGGCATTACTTTACTCAAAAATGCTTTAAAAGACAATGTAAAAACAAAACAGTATTTATGTGCATACAGAAATCAAAGGCAGAGTAAAAAATCTAATATAAAAACCAATTCATGACAAGAATACCCTTTTCAATTAACTTAAAATATTTCATAAGATAAAATGGAAGAAAATAATTACATTCAAGAAAGTTTTTTGATATTTCAAAAGGTTTATAGGGCCAAAACCAACATAAAATGTATGCATTATCCCAATATACTTTGTATCAAGTTGACTCAAATCGAATTTAAAGCATATTTTCAGTCTTGACTACAAAGATTTTTTTTTAATTCACATCATTCAATGATAAAGTTCTCACTTGTTGGATACTGTGTGCTATCATTACTCGAATGATACTAAAGTCAGTTGATTCAAAGCCATAAGCCTGTTAGGATGTAACCATTCTAAAAATATAAACTTAAAAGATACAAGTATACCCATTTCACAAATAATGCAAACATTTATGAGTAATATGAGATTAATCTAGGATTCCAGGAATATATTTATACCATTTTCTAACATGGAGGAATATTTTTTTAGATTGGGTGGAAATCCCTGTTCTAACATTTGTTCCAGGAAAAGATTGGGTGGAAATCCCTGTTCTAACATTTGTTCCAGGAAAAGGACAAAATGATATTAAATACATCTAATTTTTTATCTATTAATTGACAAAATACTAACATGTGCTATTATTTCAGATAAATTTTGTTTTTCAAAAAGATTAACATTACTTTTGTAGGTTTTGAAATTTGAGTATTTTTTGCATAAACTGCTTGGGGGGAAATTTATTGCTAAAAAGTGAAGCAATAGGTCTTGATTGATCTATGGTAAACTCCAACAGATCTAGATCTTAAATTAGCCTGAAATGCATATAACCCGCCTGTTATAATGTCAATGTTGATTTATTTCCAACATGTCACTTCTTAATCAACAAGCCAGAGTGTGAAGTCGAAAACTTCTGAGTCCATTGAAAAACTAACTAAGACAAGAAGATTTTAATATCAACTTGTTTTTTGTTTCATAAATGTATATTTTGAATATGTATTCCTTTTAGAATCCTCTATATCTTCCATAGTTTGGATGGTTTTTGATTTATCCAGGAATAAGTAGCCAAAGCCCAGTCCAATTATTGATATCCCTGTAAATATAATAAATATATATATAAACAATCTGACATATAGAGGAATATGATCTGTGTACTCATTACTTAATAAACTGAAATAAATGAATGCATCACTGTGTTGGAAATAAATTTCTGTAAAGAAAATAAATGTATACATGGAATGACTGAAGCCTATAATAAAGTGTCAAATACCTGTCTATTAAATATTGTTTGCATGTTTAAAAACCATCCAACTGGATAATAATGTCCCATGTATTTAAACCTATGGGTTGGTAGCTAGATAAGTATCATACAATTAATAGTAGCAGCCATGATTGATCGGTATTGAATAATGTATTTATTCCATGTTGATAATGCTGTTGACTTGAATAACCAAGTAATAAAAAAAGTCATCAAATCATATTTTACAATTACTGGAGTACTGGTATGACCTTTTAAGTATATCTTTGCAAAATCAGACAAAAACTTCGCCCTTGTACAGGCTCAAATTCTGTTGATGACTCCTTTGTTAGAACTTATTGTTTTCTGTCGTGTACTGGTCTAATAGGCAATTTAAAATAATAAACTAATGAAGCTTAGGAACTCTGACTGGAATTTAGGAATGGCGAAGTTCTATAATTTTCTTATTGTTCTCACTAGCTTGATTGTACATGAATGTCAATGTTTTGATAAATAGAGAGGAAGTCAAATCAGAGAGTTACTTGTTCTGCTTCAGCTACAGGAAATTTATCTTTAGCTCAAATGAAAGAATACTTGTCAAGCAATTTGTAGTCTTTAGTCTGATTCCTAAGAAATAATGGCCTTTATTCAGATTCCCGATTACTGTGTGATGAAAATGCCTCATATTAACATACCAACATACAAGTTCTCTTTCACAACACATCTTGAAAACAAGTGATTATTTGGTATTCAAACGAAAGTAAGACAAAAAAGAGTAAATGAACCATTAACTTCAGTATGAAGCAACCCAGGTATAGTAATGGGTTTGGGTGTCTGATGAAAACCCACAGGATTAAACTACATGTCACTTCTTGGGAAACAACTAATCTTTGGCAAACTGTACTTTTCAATCTTGTGCTCTAGGGGAGATAAGTCTAAAGATTAGGATTTAACACACTCTTTTAAGATGTTAGAAATCAGAGCTACTTGGGTATCTTTATAAGCGTGCAAATATTTTGAAACCAAGCAGGTTTTACATGAATAACTTTTATATTGAAATAGGCAATAATGTCTGTACCAAATTTTGAAAATGTCGGCCAAGTCAAGATTATCAGCATGTTTTATTGTTATTATTATGCACTTTTTAAAGCGTTGTTACAAAATGCAGAAAATTACAACTTTACCTGAAACAGTTATCTGTATTAAAGAAGATGGCATCAGGTCTGTTGTCCTATAGTGGAATATTTCAGCCAGTATATGTACGAGTCCCACAAAAAATGACAAAAGTGTTAATCCAAATATCCTGTGATGGATAAAAATAAACACATGAGTTTAAGTGAGTAAAGGCATAAATGTAGTTCAAAGTATCTTTAGCATTTAGAAAAAAAAATAACTTCATGGGCTTTGACAAAATCTAAAAACTTGTTGGTGGGACAATACCTTACTAATAAATGTAGCAACATTATAGTATTATATACACTGCAGTTTTACTAGCACATGATATCAGATGGAAATTGGTCTTCCCTTTGAAAATTGATACATTATTTGGTACAAAGTTGAGACTGATGTGAATTCATGAAGATCATGAAACCTAAGTATCCACTTGGATCTTCATACTTTACAGGTAATACTTACGGCTTATTATATATGTCTATTGCACAAATGAAGCGTAGAATTGCTGTAATTAGAGTCCAGACACCAACAATCCGACTGGTAAGACCACGATCTGTGAACAATTTCAACTTGTAAAAAATTTCATTTCATTAATGACAGATCCTGTAAGTTTTTATTGAACTTACTGTTTTAATAGTAGTTCTGCTCTTTGAACAATAAAAAACATAGATCAATGCATTTTAGAATATGTACATATGAACACAAATACAGTCATGAAATGAAAAATGATTTAAGACAGGCAGTAGTATAATTATCTATACATGTAGTTGTTCACCATTCTTTCGTTCAATAGCCATCAATCTCAACACTAATCAACACGCAAAATATACATATTATGTACTCTAAAATTTCATTCTACTTGCAACTCATATATGTATGGATGACATGGCAAGAGCATTATATGTTGAACAACAGTATCAACTTAACTTTTGCTGCCTGTAAACCAACCAGGGCATGTTAAAAAGATGATGCACTAATTATTTACATGTGTACTTTGTTCAAATTGCATAGCACTTCCTCACTCTTGTATACTAGCATACTAACACTAGCGAAGGAATCATATATTTGATATATGGAATAATGATAAGAAAAAATAGCAGGAATACTGTATACCTACTATTATTATTACCAAGTGTTCATAAATTTCACATGTAGACGTCCGATTTCCGTGCTAGTATTGACAATAACAATGATATTACTAAGATATAATCACTGACACCTTCTTAACATGCACTATATTCTCGTTGTATTATGCCCCTATGTAATATCTACTTTCGTTTTAGCGTGAATTATTTATGAGCAAACACACGTTCTCTATTTACCGTCTTTGGCGTTTGTGTATAGTCTATTTTTCAAAAAACTTGGATCAACAAAACATTGTAATGCATTTCCAAACGTCATTAGAGCAACCACAGCGATGCATGTCCTCAAAACAGATATTAACTGCAAACTTCTGCTCTTAATCATTCTTCTGTTCTAACTAGCCGGTCATTCGGGATCGTAGAGATGTTTTGCTAGATCTCAAGTAATGTTAACTTCCGGTAAGCGTTTGATTGATGCAGACATTGACAACACCGTAAACAATCTTCCTTCGTTTATGAAAAATGCAGATTTATAGATAGTTTGAAAGTGATTTTATTCAATTATAACACTCTAACCTTTTTATCTTATAAAAATGTTCTGAAGTGGAAATAATGCGCTATCTCAGTGGGTCTAAGGGTACGTTTATTACCATTTGTTCTCATTTGATACATGATTATATCGGTAAGGACATGCAAATTTTCCAATAATGGCTTAATATCATTATAAAATATGTTTTAAAATAATGTGTGGCTCAAGAAACACATTAATATTTTCACGTTTGGATTGATCTTTCACATGGAAAGTTCAAAATATTGACATATATTCAAATATACACTGTATACAAGCTTAGTTTACCATGTCGAAATCCAAACAACGGGATCAACTACCACCATTTGGAACACTCGTTCGTGTTTCTGAACCCCCAGAAGAGGAAGAAAAGGGTTGTGTAAGGGTGAAGACAGTTAAAGGATCTAAAGGTGGAAATGACGATGACACACATGAAGAAAACGGAGTTCTATTTTGGGTTAACAAAAGTGGATTTCCAATTGACAATAGGACATGGGATCGAATGTGGGATCACGTGTCGAGAATACATCCAGATGGTTACAGCATGATCAACAAAATTAGAAATAAATCTGATCTACCTCAGGTAAGATTTAATCAAATGACAAAATCTTATTCAATTGTACAAGCACTGTATGCTTAATATAAAGTAAAATGCTAAATACTAAACGTACTTCCAAATTATTGGCATAGAGCATTATGGTTAAAGATACATTTCTGTATTGCAAACTCTGGTATAATAGAAGATACAATTAGTTTATTTTCTTACGGCAAACAATACCATCTTTCGTAACATATCCGATTGAACCCGTATATTGATAAATCATACATGTGTTACTAGAAAGGCATTCCAGCATTGTGGTTATTCATAATAAGATGAATGACAGTGCAGCAGCCATTAATATTAACGAGGAGTAAATAATTCATTGAAAGCAAGTGCAATTGAAGACGTGTAAGCATGCTATCTGATGATAAATGTTGTATGTTTTGTCAGTACCACTTATATCTGTATCGAAAATCAAAAACAATTTTTTTTTCAGATTCCTATACAACAGGCACCATTAAACTTTCCGTCTTCCATGCCTGCACAAGAACGACTGGATAAGGTTCAAAACTACATGAAGTCGCTTCAGTATCCTTTAGAAGGGATCAGTCATTTGAATAATGGTAACAATAAACAAATTTATTAATACCCTTAATTGAGATAAGTGATATGATTTGAAGATAAATGTCAAAATTGCGCCACATACAAAGTAGTTGCTGCAGTACTTTCACGAGGGATATAAACTTCTTAACATTGATAAAATCACTCAGTCCAAAAACACAAAAAGGTCTTTCAAATCTGCCTGATTGATTTACTCCACCATTTTATGCTGAAGTACAAAACGTATTTACAAACCATACTTATAAAATTTTGTTTCGAATACAATTGGATAAATTATTGTCAGTGCTCAAATTCAGGGACGTATAGTATTCCACGTTCTTGTTAAAGCTTGACATTTTTTTATGTCTATCATCATTAAATGAAAATGGTGTTGCAGTTCCGTTTTTATGTACCAATTTCAGTTGTAAACTTTCAATCCAATTACAGACCAGATTTGGTTACTGTATAGTGCTGGTCTCAGAAAATGCTCTTTAAACGCATTTATCCGTTAGGTTCGAACGGCACTCACCGATGGGAAGGTACAGTGATTATATAACACAGAGCTCTAGTTTTCCCTCCATACTTGCATCTAGAAACAATACCAGACTTATTGATATATAGGTGCATTATGTACAGAGAACAAGAGCCATTAGTCCGAGTACCATGGAGGACGGGTTATTTTTCTTTTCGCGCGCTAATAAAAGATCATAATAGTATTCTATATGCTAGATAAATTTAAGGTGTCGTTCAAACCTGAATTTTAAGCATATCAGGAAAAAACTGAATCATTTACTGTGAACATACCGATTAATCCTTTTATAACATTCTAAATATAAACCAGGAATATTAAAGATTGTATATTTGAAAATACTAGCGTGTTTGTACGACAGTTGCGAAAATAGAAAGAAAATCCTTTATCATAAAATCGTTTACTAGCCGTCTTGTCTCACGCAAGAAACACTGGATGCCATTTTATCATGTGTCTGTTATGAATGTTTCCTTAATGTGATTAAGATATAATCATACCGGAACACAGTTTTTTGAAATCAGGAAGCAGAGACCACTATCAGGGTAAGTTGTTTCTGTCATTCCACATGTTTAATTATATTATATATTTTTTCATTTATCGCACATTGTTAGCAATGTATTATGATATACTCATCGCTTTATTGTTAACCAATTTTACAAGCAATATTATTGGTCCGATTTAATCATGTGAACACGATAGACACATATTTCCATGATTCATTATATCATGTTGCTTTATTTTTCCCTGTAATGAAGGTTGATGGACTGTGCCAGAGAAATGATTAAAGAAGCTCTTCCCATCAAATGCTTGGAGGCTGTGATTCTTGGGTTGTATCCTTCTGTCAAAATTAAATTATTGATGATTAATTACCTTTACATAAATAAAGATTATTGACTTTCAAGTCTAAAACCAATCTTTTGAATTGTTTAACGATATTTCTGAATTAGCTCTATCTAATTATTAATTGATTAATCATTTATTTATTGTAGATTAATAGTGTACTTTGTAAGATAATTATATTCAATTTCCGTAAACGTTTTAAATTTGGTTTTGATTTTAAAGACTTCCTCTTTAGTTTTTACCTTTGAAATATTTCGAAGATGGTTACTGCTACAATCTTGTGCAACGTCATCCTTTACACAAAACAGATTTTTAACCAATGGTTTTCTTGGTGTCGAACGCTTTCCGCTAAGTTTTAAGAGTGTGTTTGGTGGAAATGTACATAGACATGTAGTACTAGGGATATATTATGCTGGTAAATATGGTTCCATTGGTATGAGCAGGAGGGATGAACTGATGTACAAACCTGTTGTCTATAAGGTAATTTACCACAAGTAAAAAATATCATCTAAAAATGTACTGGACAAATTAAATCGAGTTTAAGACGTTTTACTAGACAAATTTAATCAAATTTAAGATATTTTCTCGACATTTTTTTGAGTCCTGGATGAATTCTATTTTCTTGTAACGTGCACGTGTCCAGACATTTTCTTCATAATTTTTCAGACATTTTTTCTCATAATTTGCATATATACTATGTATGTTAAATTCATTAAACGTTGCGTTTATACATGTGTATTAATGTATTTTATAAGCAAGTTACTGCATGTTTCAGTCTCTCTCGGAATTGGTTTTTGAATTTGAAAGATCTTACAATATGTGTAAGTAATTTTCGTTATTCTGGAAAGTATATTTGCACCACAAATACCGATCAATTTTGTCATGTGATTATAAATCATTCTGGTAAATGATATATTTCGTCCATTTTATATACCAATAAGTCATGGAAATTTTTTCATTTATTTAATGTATATTTTGTTGATATTTCTGAAAAACAGTAACGTTACACAGTCACTGTAGATATTTTTAAAAAATGATTAATAATTTTCGTTAGGAAAGCTAATTAGTATGATACGGAGTTACCTTTAATTCAATGGTTTCTAGAGAAGAATTCGTGTTTTCTATACAACTTTCTTTTGGAATATTATAAATTAAAGTAAAAGTACGGTAGCATTAATTACATAGTTTGTCCTTTCAGTTAAACATGACGTAAAGAAGGTAAAAATCGGGCTGCCTGTTCCGCATGATCCTCACAGCTATGAACTCATCAACTGGAAGGTACGTATATATATATATATCTGACATATCTTGGCTTATTTGATATCAATATTTATCTAACGAAATAAGATAGATCTATTTCTGTTAAAATAAATCTCGCTTTTAAATAAATAAGTGAAATACTGGTTTTTTTTTCATTGTCAGTTATTTATCATTAAAATATACTAAATTCCATATTGTCCCTCTGTCTACATTTTGTTAATGAACTATTAGTGCATGGGGATTTTCCCATTTCTTCATTGAAGATAATATATTTGTGCCTTAGCAAAAAACTATTTGAATAGTAAAACTGAAAGTCCCTTTAGTACTTCAGTAACAGCAGAATATACTGTATGGAAAATGTAAAGGCACATTTATTTGAGAAAAAAAACTGGTTTTACCATTAAAGTTTTTGTAGCTACATAAATTTATATGCATGTCTAATTGTAGGCCCTTACTATAAACATGAACAAAATGAGTCAAAAAGAAGTGACCAAAGACCTTGATGTTGTGGCCAAGGAAATTCGGACAAAAGTAAGAGTTATTTTGTATCATGTTGTTAAATGTTTCCCTTAAATTCAATTTTCTATCATACAACAACCTTACTTTTGTTGTATCATACACATTGTGGTTTTACCCTTTTTCCCAAATTTTGTTTTCAGTTACGTTTCATTAATCGTTCAATATCCGTTGTTCCTATTATATGGAATAACAGATACAGAAATTCGAAGTTAGCTGAGTTTCCATGCATAACGAAATGTCTAATTCTGGTTGCTATGGGAGATTACTTTATATTTATATTTAATATATGATGTATTTTTTATTAGGCCAAACTCAACTCTCTGAATCCCGAGGCTAGTTATGCGAAGGTAAAATGTCACCACTAGGTATATATAGATATATATAGATATGTTGTATCGTATTTAACAAAGGACGCCAGCTCTACGTAGTCTGTCAGTATTATAAACACATCCTTTCTATAGTCCACGTACATCACACTCGGAGATCTCTTCAAAGTACAGCACAGTCTTCAGAATGTGAATGTCATAAAAAGTCCAAATTTAGTTGTTTATAATGCGATTGAAGCAAAATCTTTTGTAAAGCTATTATTTCTACGTGAGCTTTCTGTACTACTACTACTTATATTATCACTATTTATTATTCACGTGTTTATGCATGTTTATTACACTACAGTGTCTCATCTGATTTTCACATTATTTCTCGTCGCTTTTTGCAATCTATCAACAAGTTTAATGCACATTCCATTCCATACAGCATGCTCGCCTCCAATAAAATAATACATTTTCGTGCTATAAAACCTTAAAATTGATATGAAGTTATAGTCTGTAGGTACGATACATCCGCCACGTTCACATTTCACAAATGTGTGATGCGTCTCATGTTTATTTCTTGATTCGTCTTTAGTGTTTCCCTTTATTTTTAACCCGAATATTTTGAAGCTGTAGTACATATTTATTTATATAATGTGGTATTATTTAAGACGTTTGTTGAGTAATGTGAATGTGATTTTATATTGGTGCGGATAGTTTAATGAAACGTGTTTTTAATCATTGTGGTTGATCACGATTGACTTGTTATTCTGTGAATATAACCATGGAATATGTTTTACCTATTACACATGTGTAATATAACTTATTGTGATGTCAGGTGTTGATAATGAAATGGCACACTGAAGACTCAATGTGACATACCAATGGAGTGGAGGCCACTAATAAGAAGCCGAAATGGCTTCCTGTGGAAATGTTCGTTTTCCACTTTACTTGAATTATCTATCATGTGATATGAGGGATCCTAATTTCTTTTCAATTTAATATTTGCTTTATGAAACTTAATGAAAACGAATATAAGATCATAAATATGTTTGTGTGTAACTTTTGTGTTAGGAATACATTAATCTCAATAGCCATCGTCGTTTGCTATGGAATCACTTTATCTATTCCTTACAGTAAGATAAAGTCGGAAATATATTTATCCCACAGGATTACATATAATGGATAAATGAAAAAGTGGCTGTAAATTCGCAAGAATTCGGATGTATGAATTACAGATACTAATCAATGAAGCCCTGTTTTCACAAATGACACTCAATAATCCCCATATGCTCACAATTTGTATCGAATTATATTCAAAGGAAAAAATCATCATCTTTTTTCACTCTGAATACTCACTCTGCCCGTCTCCAGAACGACTATGATATTGTGTCATTATCTATAGTGATTTTTTTATGTGTCAACGTACATATACAACTAGAAGATTTGTATTCACGCAGTGGTTTCTGCATGGATTGAAATGTATATTTAGCAGAAAATGGATCGAATTACTGCAAATTACATCTTTGTCATTTTACAAATAAATAAATGTGCACCATTTAAATCCGATCAGGGACAGAGGGAAGCTCATGACTGCCCTGTAGTAACACTTTACTCCAGCCGTAAGGTAGGCCAGCTGTGTAATACAGCATGCCCGCTAGTTGTATCTTGTCCTGTGCCCTGCTGTATATTCAGACCTAACTGCTAATCACTGACAGACTGTGCTATAAAGTCGATCCTTAGGGACTGTAAACTGAAAAATAAGATTTTTACAAGGTACGTTTTTTACCGTCTGTAATATCATAATACCCCTTTTATTACTATCACAATTGTTTATTTGTCAATGAATACATGTATAGCAATGATAAACACTAAACATAAACGCATATGTTACTCGACCTATCTTATGTTATACATTGAATTTGGAATAATGTAAATTGAATATATGATAACACTTATTCGAATTGGTTGATATGAGTGCCAGAATGAGTTGAGGAGTGTATTAGCCACCGTCAATATATCATTCAATAAGAACTTTTTATAATCTTTCCCTTGGATTACTATATTTTTCCTACTTGATTTGCTTTTTCTTTCTTTTTTTTTTCTTAAATTAATGTCACTTGAAAAAATAATGATTTTCAGCTTTGACAAATATTGCTTTTACATATACATTATACTGGTATATGTTTTTGTTTGAAGATGCTATTTATTGTGTTCTATCTTATTGGGTGAATCACACACGTCATACATTAACTGTCATTTTTCATTCATAAAACATGTTACCTATTACATATAACGCAATGGGATATTAATTTCCCTTTTTATGAATTTAAATCCAAGAAAGATGTCCCCCTTCAAGCTTGAAATTTGATACAGAGATATCGAATTGTGGTTTGGCTAGTTGTAATGTTGCTGCTAATTTGAATTGTAACAGGTACATCTTTGAGATTAGCCATCCATCTAGATCCTGTTCTTTGTATGTATTGTTCTTCAAATCTTGTTCTGGCTTTGTAGTACGCGAATCAAGGAATATATGCTAAAGACAGGTTGATATCGGCATGACCAGAGGTGATGTTTTGAAAATGGTTTGATAATATATCGATATTCGATACGAAATTAATTTGTATGAATACCACATTATTACACTTCAGTGTATATTTATTTTTTAATTGCAGTGTTTATTTTCCTTATGTGACCTATTGAACATATATTTTGTTTTTGGTAAGAGTTTGGATTGATTCAAGTTCTGTTTTAAATTTTCAGATTCCATCCATTAATGGTCATAAGGTACATTAATTCCGACAAAAATTTCCTTGCAGTTTACATGTTACACAATGCCGACTTACACATACAAACTTGTGTAGTAACGTGTCATATGTTTACGGTCGTACACAATTTTTACGAATTTTTTTAGCATTAGTGCATGGTGTCATGTTCATCGTAACAAGTAATTGTTATTGTTTTTGCTAATACACCAGCATGTTTTTAAACTAAAATATAAGAAGGTGGATTTAATTGAAAATGTGGCATGATATTTATTGTTTGATGGGACAAGGAAAACTTTATTCTCGATATTTTTGTAGTAAATTATTTAAAATACCAGTCGTTGTGCATATTGCATAAATTGAAAATACTTTCTCATGTTAAAAACGTAATCGGTCGTTAAATATTCATACATTGGGTTTGGTTATTTTCAAAAGTAAGAGACGGTTTTTTTATGTATGTTTGTTTTAAAGGAGAAACTACCTTTCAGTGAATGAGGATAGGACCTGAAAGTTATTTAAAACCATGAGATTACAGTGTTATAGTATACCGCTCATCTCAGAAATCCCATATCATCACATATTACCGTAAATAATATTATAAAAAGGAGTGAAAACTGAAAGAAAATATGCTTTATTTAAATCAGGAACTTAGATTCATTGAATGTGTTTTTATACAGCATGGACATACTCACCTCACACAATGTTGTGAACACCGATGTAATATTAAATACATCGCAGTTGCCAGTCAAAACATTTTATTCGGAAGCTTGTTTGTAATTCACCTCTACAACGTTTTAGTCTGTAATGATTAATTTCAGTAAGTTAACATCTGCGATGGAACGTGGGTTGTTGAAGAAATATTTGGAACATTTCGTTTAGAAATATCGTAATTGCTGTGTCTGTGATAGTATATCAGTGTTATCAGGTTTAGAGTATAATGTTGTTCTTCAATACAACCTCAAATCATTCCCTTATCGATGAAGTCGTGACCATGGACAAGAAGTATGCAATCTATAATCATAAGGTAGAGGATTCGATAAATCATGGTTTCAAGGTCATAGGTCATGATAGGACACGGATCAAAATTTTCCTCTGTCATCATCATTTTTTCTATTCAGTAGAGTTACGGAAATCTTGAGATTAGTCTATGGCGAACATAAATTTAGTGTACGAACTTCTTGATTTCAATTTTGTTGGAAGGAATTTTAAGTTTATCGCTACTAGTTTTGATCAACTTCAGAAGTAGCTTCTTAATCAGGAGTTTTTTTTAAAACGCATGCACCAGAAGCTTCCTTTTCTTTAACACTATGCATGAGTTTGGGTTTGGTTTAACTTCATTATAAATCGGTGATTACATTTCATTATTTAGATGTGCCAATTAAGTTAATGTTCGGTTAGGCTTCATCGCTGCAATACCGCATTAAATAAACCAGCAAAAATTATTCGTATGTGATATAATTAGTTCACATGTTTCTGCTTTGCTATTAAATTCAAACCATTGTTCGACCAGACATTTTAGAGTTGTTATATATTTGAGAGTTTGTGTTGTTTCAATTTATAGTAAAACGATACCTTAATTTTAATAGTCCCGGTCGTGGGTTACTCAGCCTTCTTCACCAAGGAAAAATATCACCTCTATCGATATGACCACTGGTAGAGACACATATGCGAGCAACAGTCTAAAGCAGGCATCAAAAATTTACAGATCGTGAGTACCTAGTTTGTCAAAATATTACAACTTGTCATCGCAAATGTTATGTCAAGCATACACAGATTTATAAATATATCAATAATTTATTAACTTAATGGTGTTCGTAACTTAAAACCTTGGAAATCTCACTTACCTAATGTCCATTATATACAAATATGGACGAGACCAGTATATAACGTTTAGAGTATTTATCTCAAATTAAAAAAAAAAATGGCGTGTTGACGTTATTATTATATATCATATTCATTAATAATTCATGTACAAATTTCAACATCTGGTTTGCTTCTTATACTCTTACATCGTTGAAATGTCATTTGTGATTTTATTAATATATTGCTGTAGTTTTCGACGATTTTCAGTAAGAATTGCGATTTTGTTTACAGATTGGTGTGTGCTTTTATTTTTTGCAGACAAACAATGGTAGGTTCATCCGACAATGGCGCCGTTAGGAGGAAATCTACAGATCCCGCAGACTATCAGATACGAATATGATGGCCATGTCATCAATGGCACTTGTGCAAGTGATCGTAGCTCTTAACTCGGCTGATTTAAAAGTGAGAATTCACTTCCAGTATTGATCACCGTAAAGTGTTATGTTACGTTGTATGAGTCTGATTACTTTGATTGTGTATGGTAAACTGGACTGAAATTGTACTGCAAAACTGTTACGGTTAATAAACAAGTTATGACTGTTGAGCGCTGCCTTGCGCGTGAGAGTTGCAGTTGTATATTCTAATAGAATTAGAGAGTACGATTAAGTATGTGAATGTGAATAACGTTTGATCAGTAAACAAAATAAGCAAGAGCAGGTGTGAAAAAGAGAGTTTTTAGGGGAGATAGTGAGTAACAAAAACCTACACGTGCAGGTGTGAACGTGTGGCTGATTAGGAAGACGGCGAATAATTACGGTAGGGTCTCATTGTAAATTTCCCGTATCCAAGTAATCTAAACATTTCGTATCAATGGTCACGATTTTGGTTATGAGGTGACTGAATTCTGAGACAGGTGCTCTAGGAGCATGATGGACTTGAAACGATTATGTTGCGTGACAGCTGATTGATTGTGAGTAGTTTGATTGTGAATCTGTTAGAGTGTGGCAGATATTGAGACTGACAAAAGAGATAACTGGATCACCAGGAAGACATCCTATTGTACTCGTAATGAGAATGATGTATATGAAATAATGTTGTTGATTTTATTTATTACAATTTATCTGTGATATAATTGTATTCATATAGGTTAATTATTCAAGTTGCTGAAAGCATGTTCCAATATGTTGACTTGCACTTTCAGTGTATTTTTTTTCGATATGTATTACTTTGATATGAGTGTTCTTGTTCATGCATCGTTTCCTCCCATATAATTCATATATCAGTTTATTGACAGCATAGTACTGCGAGTAATAGATTTTCGAACTGACACTTTTTGTGGTCTCTAGAATTAATGCATTATTTTAGAGATAAAGATAATAAAACAGTGTCATAACTTCAAATATTTTGAACTACTATTTGTTCATCTCAGTTTGGATGACGGAAAACTTGGTTAAAGTCGTATTTGAATTTATCATTCAAATTTAATCTAGTCAGTGGTTCGTTTGATGACTAATGCTAATGACTAATGACTAATGTTCTGAGGGCTGGATATGAACTTGGGCTACAAATTAAGTTGAATATAGCTTCCTGTTTTTGTTTTTTGTTCCCCCTCCCCCACGAGATTTGAGTATTGATTTTTGTTCTGTTTAAATGCTCATGCTTGCCAACAAGCACAACATATGTCATACGTTAGAAAGAAATTTACTTTTTTTTTCAAACGTGACTCTTTTGATTAATACTATATCATAAACTATATTTAACAACTTGCTGAAGCTATGAAATCGAATTAATGAAATGAACAAGACAAATCAGCAAAGATTCCGTGTATCAGGCGTTGAGTTTCAATACAAAGCACTAACGCCATTCAGAAGATGAAGAATATACATTTACCTGATGAGTATTACTCAGGTTCAGCTCTAGTAACTGTGGAATGTTAAATAGTGTTCATATATGTTTATTCCTACTGCTTGAGACACAGGATGAGTCGTAGCCAATTTAAAATTGTTTACAATCAGACTGACTCATTTTGAAAATAAACTACATCATGTTTAGTTGAATAATTCTCCATCACTGCTGTTATATTGATGGTACGACTGTCCTTTTTGTTTGCTTATTTTTAATATTTATTTTTGTGTGTCATTGATACATTGTTGATTTGATTAAAATGTTATTCATAGACAAAAAGATTCACAACGGTTTTATTTTTATCACATCTGTGAGGGCGTCTGTACTAATGTTCTTAAAAGTTTTAGTCTTGTCAGCTGGGGATATTTAAACTGAAAATAATGGCAACAGAAGTTATTATTTTTCACTTTTCATAATTTCATAAGTCTACCACAATCAACCTTGTTCAAATGTTGCTTTTTATTTTATTTTATTTTTTTTTATGTTTTTGTTTTTCTTCAGGCCTTTTAAAATCGAAAAAAAAATGCTGACATGAAATGCGCCAGTGATATGGTTCTCTGATTAATGGAAATAAAAGTTATGATAATATTTCTACAACAAATATTTCTTATCATTTTTGACAATAGTACAGAGTGAGGGGAGATAAGGGAGAGGTGTTATTTAGTAATCGGATTAAATTCGTTCAAGAAATAACGATATTTATTGTCCAAAATCATGGACTTTTTTTGTTCAGCAACATAGAATGTATTATTATTAAATAAATGATGCAAATAAGTGGTTGCACATACATAAATAAATATTTGCTTATACTTGTTCTCATCACACAGTTTTTAGAAACAGGTTCTTGCGTATTTATTTACTTTGACAAAAAGCAGCACGAAATCAGCACAACTGATTAATATTTTTCTTCATTTGAAAAGACACCAACATGCATTAACAAGTTAATAAGTACATAGATAACTCAATATTTTTTTCTCATTTTCTTCCTTTCCTGGAAAGACCACAATACATTTCCAAAAAATTAATTTTGGTACTTTTTTGCTGTTTTTAATTAAGGTATTCACCATTCGAATAAACTGAGAAATAACTTCTGTGGCAATTGTGGCCAGTTTTGGGCTTTGTCACTTGGATCTGTAAATTTGGTATTCAGATAACGTTGCAAATTTTTAGTCGGCTTTTTACCGTAAATCTGTTCATGGAGTTTCATAAAGCCGATGACGACTCTGTCATCTTCATCAGATGGCGGTCCGTTGTTTATGCGTCTGTCCCAAAACAATTCATGTTATGGCCATTTCTTAAGAAGAATTAGAAGCTTTTTATCTTATTTAGGTTCTCCGCTTGTGCATTGTTAAATCTTCGGACTGATCCGAAATACAACAAGACCGACAGGCGCCTATCAAGAATTTTACAGTAATAGTTTGTCACTATTTCTGGCGAAGTGCTAAATGGATACTTCTCAAAATTTGATATGTATGTTCCCCTTGGTCCCTATTTTCTTATTACTATAATTTGTTTATGCTGACCAGAAAAACAAAACGGCCGCCTATAGATCGTTGTAGCTATTTCTTGGGGTCATTGGATGAATCTCTCGAAAGTTTTGTATTTTGGTTTCTCTTGGTCCCTAGTGGTGTCATTGAATTTTGAGTCTGCAAAGAAAACAAAATGGCCGACAGCCGTCCATCTTAGGTTTTGACGATCAAGGTCTTTTACTGCTATTTCTTGGCAAGTACTTGATGGATCCGTCACAAATTTCATATGTAGTTTCCTTTCTGTCCCTATTGATGACCAATCAATTTTCAGCCTACTAGAAATACCAAGACCTCTGGGATCCCATATCTGTGATTGATCACACTAAACACACTATAATACAGAATATCTTTATTTTTCTTTTTTCTTTCCTTTTCTTATAAAATACATGAAATATGACTATAAAGATAAATCCATTCATCATAACAAATAAAGATACTGAGCATTCTTGAACATGATAAACAACATTAAGATGAGGACAAAGTCATTCTTATCTACTTTACCGATCTGACGACTAATGTACAAAAAGTACCCTTTTTAAGTAGTATGCAGATATTTTGTCTACAACAAAAAATATCAAAATTATAACTTTGTAACAATAGAATCATAATATGGCCTCACCTTTTCAAAAGCAACTTGTATGTTGTGGTCATGTGTAGGACACCTGGTAACTTTAATTGTACCTACATGTCCATACTTTCTCCCGAGACTTCACACCTCAAATCTTTATGTAAAGAAAATATCCTCAAAATTGTCACATCATATACATTGTTTTTCTTACTGTGATAAAAGCTGCACATGACACCTTGTAACTTAAGTGTATATTCACATTCTTTCTCCTGAAAATTAACATCCGAAATCTTGACGTACAGACAACATCCTCTAAATAATAATATATAATTTTATTTTTTTTTCATTGTGATAGTTTCAAAATAAACTATTTTATGTAATCTATACAACTGCAATCTCGATGTATCATTTTTTTGCATTGCTTTATATCACATATTGCCCATCATCAAAAGACAACATACATATATATCGGAAAATTGAAGAACATTGTGATAGAAGAACTAAGTAATATGCTTTTTCATGAAAATAACATTTCCTTAATACACATGATCAATAATATATTATCATATCAGCATAAAAATTTAAGCATCATTTACCGTTTCCTCTGTAGGCTTAAAAAGATAGAAAAAGCAATTGAAATATGTTATAATGAGCAACATATCGTTGTCTATAGCATTTGAATATGTAGGACAGATACCTAATTACAGCCAATTAATTATTGAAATCAGCATTTGCAGTTTTTTGCAATTTGAACACCTGCCAAATATCAATTTACATGAGAATACAAAACGTGATCTGACTCTTAAGAAATCATATGAAAAGCTGACTGGTATACATTTAACAATGACACAGATACAGGCACACTGGTGAGTTAGTCAAATATTCTATTTAATTCCATGAGGTAGTGAAACAAAATCTGTCACCTTCTGTCACTAAATAAGAGATCCAAGAGTGACCTTGGTGCCTACTATTGTGTGATCTTTATTTGCTCTTTGAAAGTTGGATCTTTTCCTTTCTTTTTTCCTCTTTTCTCTGCTTTTGCTCTTACTGATAAGAAATTTACCTGCGAAATCCAAGACAATCGCCGGGAAGCCATTTTTTTTTCTGATCAGTTCCAAAAACACACAGGTACAAGTAGAGACCAAAGAGAACATACACTTGAAACTTGACAGAAATCCATTCAATATTTTATAAGAAATAGGGATAACAAACTTTACTAGGCGAAATCCAAGATGGCTGCCTGTCGGACATTTCGTTTTTCTGATCAGTCCCAAACTCAAACAGATACAACTAGGGATCAATGAAAACATACACATGAAACGTGAGAAAAATATATGCATTAATACTCTAGAAATAGTGGTACCAATCTTTCAAAGTGAAAATCCAAAATTGCCAAATGGGCACAACTAGGGACAAAGGGGCACCTATACATGAAATCTGAGAAAGGTCTATGCAGCGAGTTCTCAAGAAATAGCAAAGAACTCAAGAAATAGCAATAACAATCTTTTTGAATACCAAATCCAAGATGGCTACCTTGTTGGCCATTTTGTTTTTCTGTTCAGACCCAAAATCAAGTGGGCACACCAAGGGACAAAATGGAATCTACATAGGAAATCTGGGAGAGATCTATCTTGTACTTCTCAAAAAAGAGTGATAACAAACTTGCACAGTCAAAATCCAATATGGAAACATGTCATCAATTTTATTTCTTGATAGTGATAACAAAAATTGTTTACCATCAGACAGACAGACGGACCGATGGACCGTAAAACTGAAGTAAATGTAGCTGACCTGTATGTCACATAACCCTGTACTCTTTCATATTAGATAATATCATACCATGAGTGTTTTGTTCAAAGAGACTGTAATATCCACAGTGCTACCTGACCACCTTAAAAAAATCTGTACAGTAGCTGTCTGTAATATTGAAACCACTTAGGATTTTATACCATAAACACATACCAACAAATGTACAGTTCAAGAAATTACTTAATTGATAAATAGGTTTTTATTGAGTAAGAAAATAAATATTGAAACATCTTAAGCCTACATCAATTCAAGCATGGAAACCAAAAATAACTTCAAGATCTTAGTAAAAACAAGTACTTAAATTATGACAAGATGCACACTAAATAAATAATGTTAAAATTAATTTAAATATGTTATGATAAAGAAGTAGTGCTTTTATGACATAATACTGGTGTAAAAATACTGTTGTTCATTCATACCATGTCAATGTACACTTAAATGAACATAGTTCAATGATTAATCAAGTATCAAAATATGTTATCTTTCATTGGATAGACAACATACAAAAAATATCAAAAATCTTTAACAAAATAAATAATGTTACGCAGGATGCTAAATTATCAACCTGAAAACACTATCATCAACTTTATGTTTTTTGTTATTGCAACAAACAATCATACATTAAATAATTTCAACAAAACAGAACTATTTTATAACTTGAATAAAATAAGACTAAAATGTATATTCTTTGTCAATGTGAAGAAAATAAACAGCTGGTTAACAGTTCAAACTTCTTTATGCCATTGCATTTTCATATGGATTTCATATTCTTATTTTCAGCACTGGTCCTCTCTCTTTCACTATATCAATCTATTCTGACACAATCAAATATCAGCTATGTGCATGTCTGTTTAAAATTTTTACATTATTTCATTATGTCAACTGGTACGGGCATATTTATTCTGTTTACTTTGTGAGCATCAGCTTTCAAGAAAGGTTTTAGTTGCTATCGGCTACCAAAAGAGGAGTAAAGGACAGCAAGCTAAGAATGTGGCATAGGAAAATAATTCACTAATATTTTGTTTCAAGCCTGCCTCAGTTTAAGCCTATCTTATTTATAATCATTGAAACAACCAGATATTTTTCTGTATACATAACATTACAAATGCTGCTTAGTTGGAATCATTCAAGTAAAAATCTGCTGAGGAGAGGAAGATGGTCAGAGGGGTGGTTTTTACAAGGAAAAGTTCCTATCTGGTTGAGCTCTTTCTCTGACATGAGTCCCCAGCATCCCAATAATGTTAAAGATCCTTCTTTGGCATCACCATTGTTGCGATTGTAAAAGATGAAATCCACAATCGAACTGTCATTTCCATGGTGTGTGGTCACTTCACTGGCAGATTTTCCCAGTCGCTCTATCCAGTGTCTGTAGCTGGACTTTAACACAAGATGATGCCACAGACATCCAGTGTCAAGACCCATCTCTGAGGTGATTCTTTGTATATCCCAAGGATTCTGTGCTGAAGAACTAGAAGGAAGTTCATTCTGACAGTGATCCTGTGAAGATGACTTTTGATTTGACGGTTGCATATCAAACTGATTTTCTTTGTAATATGTGCAGTGGTTGGAGATATTTAATTCAAACGGGAGAAAATTTCTAGGCAGATACATATCCATTCCTCTTCTGCCTTCCGTTTGACCAGACATAGTCTTTGCTAGGAGTCCCTCAAATTGGATATATCCACTAGCCAGGAATTTGTATAACTTGCTTTTTGGCACCAAGTTAAAGTCACCACAAACAATGGTGGGAATGTGAGTTTCTTCCCCTCTTGCAGTCACTGTGTGTGTCAATTTGTTAATCTCGGCCAGAAGAAGAACTATTTGTGCTAATTTGACGTCTCCTCGTCTAGGATTAAAGAGAAGATGGGTATTAGCAACACAAACCTCGGTTGGATGTTTCTGCTGATTGACTGGTTGTAGCTTCATTATCATGGCCACATTGTCACGGTCTAGGATCCTGAACTGTCTGTAATAACACAAATGACTGCATTTGACCATTTTGAACTCACTGGTCTTGTAAAATGTAGCACAGCCATCAAATTTGTCATCACCTGTCCTCTTCTGATACTCTCCCTTATAACCTGTTCAATACAAAATAATTGCATTTGATATTGATTTTAATATATGGTCTGAATATCTAAGATTTTTTTTAAAAGAACTGTTGGCTTTCATAATAAACAAGTTTTCTCACCAAGAAAGAATGAAGTCTCTGGTACTTTATACAATATCACTCTGATCACAAACCAAAATAACAATGAAAACAAAACAGACTTCACTGCGGCATTTTACGTTTCAGAAAAATGAAGCAAATGATATTGAGCATAAAATGTTATTCATGGTAATGAGAGTACATGATCTGATCCATTCATATGATGATACTTATTAATATTTTGCAACAAATTTTAAGGAAAATTACTAAACTGCTTATTGAAACCATCATAAATGTACATGTAGGTAAACCAACTGACACTGCAGCAGAAATATTTTCAATTAAACTTACCTAATTTTGCCAGTTCAGGTGTGAAGAATGATTTGTAGTGTTCCTCGTTAACCTCTTGTAGACACAGAATCTGATAAAATAAAGAAACAAATGCCACTCAGCTGTGGTAATCCATAGAGATTTGGCGCAAAGTCCCAATCCACAGTCCACATTCGGACGATGGGCTGAGAATTGGAGCCAAATACCTGTGTGATAATCTTGGCCTTCCTCCCTGACCTTGAAAATCAACTTGGCCCTAATGCCTAATAAATGGCACAAGTTGTATTCAATTCATTTTCATTAAAACTAGTATTTTCCAGTGTCGCAAAAAAAAAAAAAAAAACCTTGATCTTGGACCAATAACAACAGAGAACTTAATGTCAGAAACATCTCAGTGAAATCTCATCATAAGGTGGTGTCTTTGATATGTATTAACTATGTGACTTTGACCATCACCTTGTTGGAGACATGTGTTATAATTACCTTGGGCCAAGAATCTGAGTGTGTGGTAAATTATGTGAAGTCTCAATAAAATAAGTACAGAGTAATTTCTCTGAATGTTGCAGAAAAAACAGCAGTTAGGTAACATTAAGTTCTTGTGACCTCAACTTTTGATATGTGACATTAACCTTGACACGTATCAGTACTGTTCTGGTACCTAATCTATGATCTGAGAATCTTTTAAAGTTCAGTGAAAAACACTATCAATTACACTTATACAAGTGTAACAACTGCCTTTTATTCCCTCATTTTAACCAGTTAATAAAATTTGGCATGACTTCAGTGTCCACAGAAAAATCAAACACCAGTAAGTTAAGTTCTTTGTAACATACAAAAGTACAGTTATCTGGTAATGGTATAAACAGAAACTATACCTCATGGTTGACTGAATATTATTTTATAGAATGACCAACAGCAGTAGGCAATCAGCAGCTATAAATAAAGTCTGTTGCAATACCGAAAGCCTTCGACAATGTCAAGGTAGATTCTATAAATATCCTGAAGTAACCTGTCGCTAATAATTATCCAATTTAAAGCAATATGTTAATAGTTCTTTAACATTATAATAATGAACAGAAACTTAGGCTATAAAAAGAATAATGCAACATATGTCGAAGTTTTATAATCTAGGCCTACTTTCAAAAGATAAGAAGCTTATTCATAAAAAGGTTGTATAACTCATTGTATCCTGAAAAAAATTAAACATTTTGATTTAAGTATCCGTTAAAATCCTACCAATTGTTTACAGCAAGTATCATACAGTAGTATACTCATTAAGTCTTGTTTCAGCACTTTTCAAAATGAAAGTGATGTGCTAAAATATGATAGTATTAATTGCAATTTCATGCATAGTGCTTATTTGTAGCAATCCTTGTGGTTGCATAAGTTCATGAATATCTCAATTTTTCAAAAAAGTGTTTATTACAATATGCTAAATCTGATATTTTATGTATAATGTTTTCAGTATTGTGTTAGCTTTTGTCATTAATCTTTAACTATTTGTGTTTTGTGATTTTGTATCCTGTGATTTTCTAGATTCTGGAGAAACATTAAAATTGAAATGGTTTAAAACCTCATATTTTTTTTCTTGGGTTTACAATTACACTGACATCATAAATTAAAAGTAAAAAAAATAAAACTACACTTTGAATTTACAGATCAGTAATAAAAATAAATTGTATGTATACACACATATACTTACATCAGGCAAATGTTCTTGAATCTCTCGAAGGAGAAGATGTTTCCGATAATTCCATTGTAGATACTTTTCCTCTGATTTATAATACAAATACATGTTATCCTCCAGCAGGTTTTGGGCCAAAACATTATAGGACATGACTGTAAAGTCTGTGCCATGATGCTGAAGACGGCCAGATAAACACTGCCTTCCAGTGGTAGTCCATTCCCATGTCCTTTTTGACTTGTAAGAAGGGTAATAAGGTACTTGGTCTTTGTCTTCTACAAAGATATATCATACCATGTATATTACAAATACGTCTGAATTAACATAGCAAATAAGACTGTTGAAAGCTTCAAGCTTCTCTCCTTTCTCATATTGTACATTATACTCTGTTAGACTTTTAAATTATGTTTAAAAAGACCAAATTAGTAAGCGACAAATTTATTCAGTAATCTTAATACTAGTAGGATTTTTTTTTCTGGCAAGTTCAGATCATCATTTCCAAAATTTGATGAGTACAGTTGCAAGGAAATTTTATGGGTTTTCAATGATCACGAGTTCCCCAAGAAAAGTATTTGACCAGGACTCAAATATTTGGGTTCCAAAGCTCACTGTCATTAGAACTGTTTCTTATGTCACACACTCAGATGGCACACAATAACTAAAAGCAACAATCAACGGAATATGTTATTGCCTCATACATCGATTATCATATGGACAATACAATTTGGTTTCCAAATTTTTAATTATGCTAACCAGACCAAAAGGGAGTTTCGTCATTAGTTCCTACTTTCATTTACTACTTCATTTTTTTTTTTGACAAAATCATGTTTCATCCAAAAACTTAATTTGGTTTCTGTATACAATTAAAACATTTAAATCCTATTTTACATTATTTCATACTGCCATCCTAGCATATTAGAATCCATTCTATTGATGATGATGAAACATAACCAGGAAGGCGAGATACCATATCATGTGATAATTCATTATCTTCCCACAGAGGCCACCACAAAAATATCAAAAGTTTACTGTTATCATCACTAGTCAACCATCAATATCTCAAGTATTTGATTTTTTAATTATCAAATCATTTAAGAGCTAGAAAGAAAAGAAACTGAGTATGGTAACTTTGGTATGTGATAACATCTCTTTTAAATGTCATTGTTTCAGGACATATCCACAGTTTTGCATATACTATAATGCAGGGTTCAGGGCAGTGGAATAACCTGACACCTGAAATTCCTTCTTTATAAATAACAATCAACTCCATAGACTGGCAATGCCCTGGAGTATCACAACTGGAAAATCTCCTGAGAAATTTTCAACAATTTTAGATAAAAAAAGGTAAAAACACATAGGAGTCTGTATGACTCTGAAAACTGGTCTGGACTGTTAAACTACATTGTACTCCAAGATGAATGCATCAAACTTCATCAACTGAGCTATATGTTCCATTTGACTCTTCAGTCTATTTGTCCCCAGAAGGCTCCTGACCTAGCGATACTAAGTCCTTCAATTTAAGTCATCATCCAAACATTAAATATACTATGAAGAGCCAAATGCAGCACAGATCACGTGATACAGGTGTAGGTAAGTTAGTAACAATTAGAAGTACTACAACCAAGTGAGGAAAATGCTAGTTAAATCAGACATGGACTGTATACAAATTGTAAGCTGTATTGATCTATGTTACTCCTAAAACATAAAAGGCTGCTGGTCAGCTGATTTTCTTTTCAACATCTTTGTGCTGACTGTGGAAATTTCAAGCTATGTAAATCTCTTACATTGTTGTTAGAATAAGATTATGGATATCCTTAACCAGTGGAGGTCGCTCTCATATATATATATAGGAATATATATATCAATTATATTTACTCTTTTCCTCTTTTAAGTCCCAACTTACCTTGACTTAAATCTTTATCCTCTGTTTTATGCTTCTTTGATGGGGGATTTAATGAACACTGCCTAGCTTTGTTTTCAATCTCACTAAATGATTCAAACTGTCTTGGGTAACTGGAATGAGAATCACTTTCAAATTGTTTAGAATCCTTTAGTCTTGCAAACAGTGACCCCATTGGGTTATTTGTCACCTGATTTACTGCAGAACTATCTAAATCTCTGAATGGCATAGATTTGTTTGTCTCTCTGTTATCACTAGTTCCTGTTAAATCAATGACTACTGGGTTAACATTATCAACAGTTAAATCAATGATTGCTGGATCATCTTGACACATCTGCTCCCTTATCACATCCGTGAGTTGTGAACTAGTTGAACTGCTACCACTACAGTATCTCCTTTTCTGAGACTTTATACTTGAACTGCCATCTTCTGTCATCCCTCCTGCTTCATTGCTTTTTGCGTCCATAATACAGCTTCCATTTAGGACTAGCCTTGAAAACCTAGCAACAAGATTTTTCCTGTTTAATTTTGAAAGCATTTCTCTGGATATGTTTGATAAACACAGTTATAACACACGTACTTTATGTTTTATATGAGACATACATGTTACCATGGACAGTATTATATCTAAAACCATGATGCAAGTTTTTGACATATTGAGATATTGTTACGTATGCGTGTAAATTTAGTTCGGTGAACGACACTACTCTAAGTAAAAATAACCTCGCTACTCTCGCCAATTTCCTCATCCTGAGGTATACTCCATATTTAGTAGTTAATTCAAAACGATTATTCCAGGCAATATGCCATCAGCTGTTTCACATGTGGTTTCTAAAATAGGCATTAGTTTGAGAAAGGTCAAGGTTACGAACAAGCAATTTCATAACGAGGAAAGGCATTTATATAAGAAATAAAAATGTCCTAAAATATATCAATATATAATGGTAAAAGAATAATTACGGTATGTACTTAGTATATGTCTTCAACAAGTGCCGAAACAGTATAAACGATATCACAAGATGTGCACGCCTTTGTCATGGCGGATTCACGGTGTCGTTGACATTGCATAAGGTTTTCTGTTTAAGGGCGATAACTCTAATGATTTGTTCTACTTTCGGTTTGACTTCACACAAGCAAAAAATAAGAACACAACATGATTAGATTACTTTCAAATTTATTTTTTTTCTATTGCATCGATTCCAAATATAAAAATGAGTTTTGTTTTAGATTAAGTTATAACTAATACATTTTCTAATGTCAGAAATTTTTTTTTTATTTCCATATTGATATTAAAAATAAAGATAAATTATATGTCTTTTCTTCTCCATCATCAGGACCTTAATTTTGAGTTAACATTGATAAGATTTAAGTAAACCACTAGCTTTGGCAAATAAATACTACATGCACACAAATCCTAAAGAAAGGTATATGTATGTTATACTGCATGCTGCTTCTTATGACTGTTTCTGTTTCTCCTGATAATTGTTGGTCACCAAATTGTAAACAAGCATGACTAGTTTATTCATCAAAATTTGAAATCCTGGTACATACAATTTCAGTTTTACCAAGAACTTGAAAGTCATAATCCTAAGTTCATTAGCAATGGACTGGCGCTCCCTGTTTTGACCAAAGACATCATACATAAAATTAATCACAGCTTCTGGTGTGTACAACCTCACTTTGTGCAATATATTCAGCCCATCTGTAAAAGCCTTGGCCATAAAATCAAAATCATCTGGTGGATGTTTCAATGCTTGTAACAAAACTTTATTTTTTATTTGTTCACAAATGGTATATGTTTCCAGGTAACCGTTTAAACAAATGTTGTTCTGGTCTGTTATTCCAAGATGAGTACCAATAAATCTCCAGAGATAAACATAATCATCTAAATCGTTGACATTAGGTTGTATACCAAAATCTTGTGGATGTATAATGATAGCTGCAACAAAACCACTCTGTACCAATGACATATCATATTGAGACAGGTACACTTTTTTATCTGTTTTCTGTTTGGTCATAACCTCTGCCACAACATCGTGCATTTTTCTAACCTTATCGAGAGATTTTCTAGCAGGAGAATCTGCATCACACAAGTCACTTAGATGCCATTTTATAACATGTACAAGGGTCTGAATATAACGATAAAGAGACTTTCTGGGTGTATCTGATGCATTTGTAAACACCAAAGGCTCCAACAGATTGGAGACACTTAGTCCACACACTAGTGAACATAACATGGCAAATACGCAGCTGGAAATGTTTTTACGGAAGAACAACTGTCCTCTCATTAATTTACTGGCATCACAATGCCTTGGATGGTTATGGGGCTCACTAATCTGGCCACAAGATGATGTGTGAGCTCCTTTCATAAGGAATTCCAAGTTTCTGAATTCACATCTCTCCATGACTTATAGGATCATATTGCTCTTCAACAGTAGGCAGTTTCTGTGAAAAGAAATCATCAATGAATGTAAAAATAAAGAATACACATTTAACCTTTGTACAAATATGAAGATAGCTCTTTTTATGAAGAAATCTGTATAGATTAATCATGAACAAGAAATGGTCCTATAACAATGCTTTCAGATGTTCATATCATTAATATCACAACATCAACTTTCCAATGCATACAGTGAACATAATTATAAGACTTTAGAATACTTTACATATCTACTGCACGAATAAATAATATTCATTAATCAACACCATCAAGTCATGCAGAATAACCATCGAGTAATTAAAGAAAGATACACAAAATCGTTTACCAGTTTGATGTGAACAGAGGTATATCTCAGTCTGATTATACACAAATGTAGAGAGAGAGAAAATGAATCACTTAACATGACAAACAAATATATTACTAACGTTTTCAGGCCTCGCGGCCATCTTCAGGTGATTACATTACATGTACACTGTACGTTTCTTAGTAATCTACATTGTGGCGTAATGTTATTGTTATATTAAAAAGGGAGTTAATAACGTTATTAATTGTGTCCCGACGCAATCTTCAGTGCGTATTTAGGGACGGTTTAAACAGTTTGACCAAAAAATCTTCTTTGATGATTTGTTTTGACGTTGTAGATTCTGACATCTTATAGAACGGACATCTGCGGCAAAGGAAACTTTTTGATATACCCGTTCTATAATAACATTACATCACAAAGTTGGTTGCTAAGTATTTGAATTGAATTGAAGTAACATACTGTGTACATGCAATGTAATCACCTGAAGATGGCCGCGAGGCCTGAAAACATTAGTGATATATTTGTCATGTTAAGTGGTTAATTTTTCTCTGTATATACGATACACAAAGTTTTTATCATTTTAAATTATATATATATATATATATATTTATACCATCAATTGAGAAGGGTTATATAAGCACTGCCTGTTATCAAATCCATTTGTGTATATTTACACAGTAAAATTTGTTGAAATGATATGTCCTCAAATGAGAGCAAAAGTTACAACAAAATGAAATCGAAACCACCATGTTTACGAATCTAGACATGAGCATTCTACATATCTACATCTTGTATAAAAGAAATAAGAATACATCAAAATGAAGTTACAATGGCGACCATGAGAATACTTAACCATAGGTTGGGGAAGCAGGATTGTATCATGAGGTCTACAATATAGGGAAATTAAAATGACAGTCAGCTATATAGTTAAAAATAAAAAAAAAACTTGACTACAAGTTATCGCTTTATTTAGGTAATTTAATTTCGGTATTGTAACTAGTTTACGTGACAGAAAATATCAACATTCTTTGAAATTCGAATAACGTTATCCAAAATTTTGATAAATATCACAGGGCTATTGTAAAACACTGGTGTAATTATGCATTTGTTATTCAATCTCTGATACGATACGTCCGTCTCGTATGCTTGAAACTTTGTCAACCTTGAGCTGGTTGGTATCAGATTAAATTTATATATCGTTATCAATGTACAAAAGTACATGTGACAAAGTCTCTGTTTAGTAACATATATATATATATTTATTCTATTCTTGTCAACAACAACATAATAAATAATATTTTAAGCTAAATATTTACTTACTGTATGCTTCGCATAAACATGAAATATAAGCATAGTATCATAGTACATACCCGCAAGAATATACTTCACAACTTGCTGCCACAAAAATAATATTCAATACGACGAGAGTTATCTCCCAGTGTAAACACGTTGTAGATGTCGCTATATAATGATCATGTGAACAAATATAAAAATGGCGCTAAAAAGAGAGGCTGCAAGACAGAAATATTTGGAGGTTTTCGAATTAGATACAAATGCAACTGATGGTAATCAAGCATACTAATACATGTTTACTTATCTGTGATGATATGTATCTGGGCAATTTACAATTCAAAACTCTAATGTCCCTCGCATGGAGTAATGACAACTGATGCGAGAAGTTCATGGTGTTTTACAGTTCATGAAAAAATGTCACAAAATTGCTCCAAAAGGCTGATCAAAGCCGTCGCTTTTCTCATGTACTTGGTCTATTTTAAATCAGTTCGTTTGGTAAGGAACTCTTTATTCTTATTGATGATTTTTTAAAAGCAAATAAATGTTTTCTTAGAAAGTATTTTCTAGGAAAAGGTTATACCTCAAAGGGGAGATCACTGCTGTTAGTCTTTCGGCCGGATGCAACGTGACCTTCATGTACAGTAATAGTTTAAAATCAAACACACTTTATCATTTTTGGAAAATGATGTACACGTTTAAAGATGCAATTGATTTCAATATTTGCATGACGGAAAAACGCATCACATACGTATAATAAAGATTTGTGATATCACTTTGTTTGTAATTTATGTAAGTCGGACAAGCCCCACAACATGAAAGTCGCTAAAATAGATTTGGGACAACCTTTGGTATGAGATGATGCACTGCAACTGGAATATCAAAAATTTTTGAAATATTTTTGCTTTGTTTGTTTTTTTTTTATTAACTTTACAAACCTCTCAAATTCAGCTATATTCTTCGCCATGAGTAAACTGCATGTTATTTTCTAGTGTGTTACAAATAAATGTTTAGAGTTTTCTGACCTGACTTTTTACAATTAGCAGATTCACAACACGATCTGCATTCAAGTTTTACATGCTATATTATACACAGTACACAATTGATGTTGGTACCAAATAAAAACCCCAAAACCTCATGGGCAGGGTTACTTAATTTGGAGGCATTGATAGAGATTAGGAAAACTAGAATAGTAGTGTAAAACAACCAGGTTATTATGGTGAGTGTTAAATTCCATCCATGGATTCCCTTGGATGTGTTTTTCCCTCAATGTCACAATACAAATAGCAGTTTGACCTACTTGTACTCTAGCTCTTGGTAGCATTAACTACTTTAATGAAATACCTAGACATTGCATAACTTTAAATTGAAAAAAGAACTTTGTACAAATTCACACATGCATTCCTAATTTTACTAGGCCTAAGGAAGAGGTCAAGACATGATTTTATTTTCTTTTATATGAACTTATGAGTGCACTTTTTTTATTTCATTTACACGACAACATCCATAAGTTAATGGTCACTGTGATAAACTTTAATCTACCTGTGATGATAGAATTTTAATGATATATACTTGTTAGAAGCTTAGAATAAGGGATGAAGCTGACTCAAAGTGATATTGACCCATAACAAAGTCTATCATAGTTACTTACTGTATATTTCATGCATACTAAACTTAATGTAACAATGATGCTAGAGAGGCAGTTTCAAGAGTTTTTTTTTTAATTTCACATCATGTGGCCAAACAACATAATCAAATAACTTTTAGGACAAAGTGGCAAACAAAGACAAAACAGGCGTGATTTACCTAATTACATGCAACAACTGTAGTCACACATTGGTGAAACTTGATGAAGACTCGTGAAACATCTCTAAAACACATAATCACAATGAAAAACAAATAAAATACCAGGAAGATGTCAGAAACAGAATACAATTAATCACAGTGATCACAGACCATGTCAGTATTTACAACTACAGTAAAAGACTGAAAGGGAGAAAGGAGAACTGCCGAACAGAGACGAAGAGGATGCCAGCTAACATGTTAACATGGAATAAGGGATGAAACAGATGATATATCAACCCTCTCTTCAGACTGCCTGCAGTAAAGGAAAATAGTTGACTCTACACTTTGTCATTGCGTCAAGTAGTGAACTGTCATTAAGACTCGGTCATTTGCATTTGTAAAGGAAAGGCTCACAAAGAATAGTTTTTAATCACTGGTTGCCATAAACATTTTCTAAAATATATTCAAATTACTTGGATAACAATAGACAAAGAAAGATTCTATAAAATTTGTGACCTTGCATTTTTAAATTACAAATGAGTAAAGGGCCCTGGTTAATATAGGTACTTTGGTCTTAGTATATAGTTTGTCTTCAGCAAGGAACCATGTCTTCAACTCCAGTCAAAACCTGAACATCATCATAATCATTTCATTAAGTTTAGTTTTTGTTCATTTTGTTTTTTAACTTTTCAGAAGATATCAAGAAGGCCTACAAACAGTTGGCATTGAAGTACCATCCAGATAAGGTAAACTTGGAGCGTTTTTTAAGGTTAAACCACAGAATGAGCTTTGAAATATAGAACTACAGAATCTCATAAATGTTCATCGAAGCGATGTTCAAATAAATTTCAGTTTTCAATGAATTTGTTATTGGACACGACTAAACAATAAACTCCTTTTTTTTTCAGAACCTGAACGACCCAGAAGCAACACAAAAATTTCAAGACATTAGCAAGGCATATTTAGAACTAACAAGATCTAGTATGTTGTGTATCGTCTCTCTCTTGTTAGATTAAATAGGACTGAGATAGATATTTTTTCATACATTTGTTAAGATATTAAATACCAATGCAAGTCCAGCCACAATGTATGTTGGAAAAGTTTTCTGTCTGTCTCATGAACAATATTTTGACTTTTTCACTTTATTTGTATTGGTTATCGTTATCAGATAGCAGGCATATGTGTACACATATTTATTGTCTTTTTTCCATGAGGTTAGACTTACATAATAGGTAGGTCGCATGGTGTGACTTAGATAATAATTTCTAGTAACAATAATTATGCTATCAAGTTATCCATACAGAATTTGAACTGTGTTTTTTTTTTTTTTAAACAAGATTCTGTGTAACATTTATGTATCTATATTGTAACATGTTTGCTGTTATCTTTAAGTCAGTGTAACTAACTCAATGAATATTTCTAAAAGTTAGTTAATAAGAGATATTTTTAGCTGGGGCAGGTGAGGGGTGGGGGCGGGCAAAGACTACTAGGATATGTTATCATGATAGGTGAAAAACCTGATGGAAGTAATAACTGGAAAACATGAGATCTGTTTAGGTCTATCTTCTGTAGAACATGTCACTTGAGGAGAAGACAGATCCCTATTTTTTTAAGGGTTGAGCAATAAACTGTTTTATTTCTGTCAATGCCAAGGCACAGCGCCAGTCATCCAGCTGTCATCAACGTCAACATTTTCCTTTGAGCAACTTCTCAATTCAAGGTTGCAGAGGTCAAATTTATTAAAACATTGAAACGACTTCCTCTTATTAACTGAAAGGCCTGGTGGCATGATATTTGGCTGATAAGTTGCTAGGATAAAGCCCAACAAAAAGTTGGAAAAGAAATGACTTTGACCCATATTCAAGGTCACAGGATTAAAGACTTGTTAAAACATTTAAACAACTTCTTATTTAACAAAGGGCATAGAGGTATGTTGTTTGTAGTTTGGTAGGAAGCCCATAAAGTTTGGGAAAAGAAATTACCTTGACCAATGTTCAAGGTCACAGTCAAATTTGTTTAAACCTTTAAACAACTTCTTCTCATGAACTGAAAGTCCTAGAAGCATGATGTTTGGTAGGTATCTTCCTACAATGATGTCCAACAGAATTTGTGGAGAGAAATTACCTTGAGCCTTAATAAAGATCAAAGGGTTAAATTTGTTAAATCCTTAAACCAACTGCTATCGACTAACCAATAGATGTAGAAACACGATATTTGGCTTGTTGGTTCAGGGGATGAAGCATCACAGAAATTATCGGAAAAAGGACCTTGACCCATATCCAAGGTTTGTTAAAATAAAATTTGTTAAAACCTTCTAATAACTTCTTATGACTAATCACAAGGCATAAGAGCATATTTGCCATATAGGTTTCTTGGATGAAGTCTGAAAAATTTAATCCAGGTCATAATTGTCACTGTTTAGAGTTGGGTGTTGGAAGCTAAAGTGTGTTGTTGAAATTGGTTAGCATTGATAGGATTGCCCACTTTGAATGTGTGATAAACACTGATTCTATTTTTCATGTTCATTGAATCCTACTTGAGTGATACAGGCCCATTGGACCTCTTATTGATTGAATTTATTTTGGAAAATAGTGTCCACAGATCATTTGCTGTTAGGGGCCATATCAAGGGGATTTCTATTTGTAACAATTGCTTAGATAAGGCTCACTGTCAGAATCTACTGTGAGGGGGCCACAAAAGGGAAAATTCATCTTGATTTATAACTTTTCTATACCTGGCATGTAACTATTAGACCAGAAATTAACTAGTCATGGTTTTGTATTGTCAGTTTAATTGGAAGAACTGTGATAATGAAATATTTCTTGACCCTTTGGTGATCTATATGTTTACCTCTGACATATGATTGCAATTTTAGAACACAGCCAACCAAAAAAAAAGAAAAAAATTGTTAGGGAACAGAAATTAAAGAAGTTAGCAGAAATAAAGAGATGCCAGAAAGTATCCATTTCTTTACCTGAAGAATGAAATATGAAAATAAGTCCATAAAGTTGATTAAGAAACATTTCAGATATCTGCATGTTATATCTCTCCATGTATAAAGCAATAATTACCTGATAGGCTCTAGTAGGTGCGGGTATTGTTGCTTGCCAATAGCCCACCATCTATGTGGCCATTGGTCTATTGTTTTAGGTAATTTTCTGGCTACCCTTACAAAGTTTGAACCATGTTCCTTATTGAACAAGATTCCTTTGTTTAACATTCATGTTCTTCATGATGTTATACAAATATATAACTTTTAAGGCCAAAATCATATCAACTAAAACCATTGAAGCCATTCACCATTCTGGGTTTTCCATAAGAGCCGGTCACCGGCCAATTTGACCGGCTACTTTGATCATTTGGCCACCTACACCAATCCAGTTTCGTAATGATGTTCCATACACAACTACACGTACGCGGCAGGCCAGCCTCCTACTTTCACTACACAGCCTACTACTAACAAAATTATGGGAAACCCTGCCATTGGCAGATACCTGATTTTTTACTCAAAAATTCATATGCTTTTGGTACAAATTACCACAAAGCAATGCCTGACCAAATTGCTATTGAATATATAACTCTAACCAATCTGTCAAATAAAATATTCTATTGTTATATCTACTCTATAATGACTAATTATGTTTTGTGTTTGACCAAAGTTACTGTTTTTCATAGAAGGATTACAAAAATCAGATTTTTGTCTCCAAATGTATAAAGTAGATAAGGCTGAATAAATGCATCGTATAGGTTTAGGCCAGTTTAGGTCATTTGGTACCTTAATACTTCTTCATTTATTGTAAATCTTTTCTTACTCTCTAGATGTCCTGATCAAATCAATAATGGAATGATTTCATGATCAGAATAAAAGCTTTAAATGAAAATTCCTTCATTTGTATTGGTACAGATTTCTCATGTGTTCATTTCTATCAGGGGAGGCGATTTGTACCCAGTGTGGCTGTGGATGTGATTTTGAGGTCAGTGATGATGATGATGATGACGGTGATTATGAGGATGAAGAGGATTGGTACTATGAAAGTGATAGTGAAGAAATGGATGATAATGTAAGAGACTAAAAATCTTACAGGAGTTTTATAATCCCCTCCCCCGATCGGAGATCGAAAGGGGGATATCGTAATGCCACTGTCAGTCTGTCCGTAAAAGCATTTCTCGACAATAACTTAAGTTCCCTTAGACCAATCGAACTCAAGACTTTACACACTGCTTTTCTTGAATGAGATTGTTGGTTACTTTTGGTTTGCCTTTTAAGTTGAAATGTCAATTTAGAACAAGAAGTGAAAAATTAATTTTGCAAAAATAATGATAAAAAATGCTTTGCAATAACTCTGGTTTCCCTGGACTGATTAGTTTCAAAAATTAGGAAACAGTCCCTGAACTATAAACCCATCAAAGAGTAAAGTATCGTTTAGCAATACCTTGTTAAACTTTGTCTTTATGGAGCATTGTTTGTGATAAACCTTTGAATGATTGATCATATTCTTCACAATAAACTGAAGTTTTATACAGCCAGCAGTATGTCAGTATTAACAGGATGTAATCATTTATGCAAACACAAAAAGACAAATAACAGCATATTATTTGTTTGCAGGTCTTTTACTTTGGGAGAATATTTATGGACGTATTTTCAGAGTTCATTTTTAAAAGAAGTAAGTATGAGTTAACTAAATAGTATATTGGTTATAGAAGAAAGTCATGTTTGAACAAGCTTTGTTTGATTTATATTGTAGAATGAATAATAAGTACTGTATGACACATTAACCCAGGTCAACATGACTATTTGACTGAGGTTAAAAACCATTTTCACCTTTGATCACAGATGTAGAGAGTAGCTTTCTTGATATACTGTATAACCAATACTTTTCATGTGCATGCAGTTTTCACTCTGATTGTGAAAAATTCTTAAAGGGAACATAGAAATTTTAAATAGAGAAATCATTGTCGGACATGTGTACTTTTGTGATCCATTGAATATACTATGATATGTTTTCTGTTTAAAACAATTACAGGATTCCAAACAAGAAAAAGACCCCCGAATCAGAGATATACGGAAGAGGAACAGGAGGAGGACATTTTCTTTGATTTTATCTTCAGGGTACGGTAGACATCTTTACTGGAAAATTTAGTTTATCACTTATAATGCAACTCTAGACAATATTCTGGGGGGAAGGGGAGGGGATGTCAATCTTTCTACCCTTAGAATTACAAAATCTACTGTTGTTCTCACAGAGATACAATGTCATGTTTTTAATCTGACTTGTTTCAGTAATATATCATTAAAGTCAACAAACCATAAAGGAAAACCGCTTTAAAAATGTTAAAATAGATAATTGATTGATATGGTGTTATCTGGAATAGACAATATACAGTGCCTTAGCATGGTTTGATTCAAGGAGCCTGTATAGAAAAGTTTTAATGTAATATCTGCTTTGCACATACAAGTTTAGGACATGTACTGTTAATAGGTCATTAATTCTTCGTAGCGTTTTCTGTTTTATAGAAATACAGGACACCAGATGACAGTGACTATGAGCTGAGGGAAGATGATGTAAGTTTATTTTTACACTGACAGACATTTCATTGATTTATTGATTAAATATATATTTTGAAATTCATCTCAAAATGTTTTGAAGATGTAGTGAGCTTGCACTCTCCACACAGAGTTAGGAAAGGTAGTTAGGATCAACACCGATGTTATAATAGCACATTTATGAAATTTTCTATGGATGATACAATTTGACTTTTTGGTCTCCTCTTCCAAGATTGGGGAGGATGCTTATGTTGGTATGAGTATTCATGTCAACATCAGGTGGTTTTGGTTAATGTTTTGATGCAAGTGTTGTCTGACTTTAATAAATAAAAAGTATATAAAAGCATTATTTGTAATAACCTAAATATTTTAGTATATCACTTGCATTTTGCACATGTCTGCTAACACTTACACTTAAAGAAAACCCAACATTGATGCTGTTTAGGAGAGATGGGGACTTTCTTAATAAACTCTCTAGCTTTCAAAAATTTTATTGGATTTTTCTCAAAAATTTTTGATTTTTTTTTTCTCTTTTTTTTTTTTTTTAAGTTTAGAAATTACTATTTCCATATGTAAATGTACTTATAACTTCAGCTGAAGAAATTTCACTCTTATGAAGATTGGATCAAGTCAAGGGATCCAAAGAAAAGACACAATCATCGCATGCGGGTAAGACATAATATTGATGATTAACAGTCATATTTCATTGAGTGGGTGGGAACTTAGATTTTTCACAAGCATGCAGCACGAGTGAAAAATCCAGTAGTTTCACATTGAAGACAGCTCGTCAAATAATTCAAAGTGAAGTACATAAATACAACACATATATCACTTCTCAGATTGGCTAGGATCAATGTAATACAGTATTCACAATCTCTACCAGACATGTCATTCTTTATGTTATCCTATTTCACTCCAGGAGATATTGATATTTTCACTACAGATACTGTGATCTGATTTTCAGAAATGAGGGGAAATATTTCACTTGTTAACACTGAGGTTTTCACTAAAACAATTATATATTTCATCACACAAAATGTAATGAAATTGTTTTCATGTAGATCTTTAGATATTTGTTCATAGACTGAACACATGGCCTATTTTGTTTGCTCTATTTTGAAAACAGTTTGGACGAGTAGAATTGTAGTCAGCAGTCTTCACTACTGTATACTCTTTCACTCCTTTTGAAACTGGTTTTGTTTTGCTGTGTTTTCACTGGTACAAAGACATCATATAAAGGATTGTCACTGATACTGGGATACTGGGAGAGCATGTTTCCATATTCAGTTCTATTTTTCAGTCATTTACTTTTCTTGTGATAAATAAACTTGGATATCTATTGGTTTATCTGAGAACATTTGTATTGCAGAAGGCCAAAAAGAAAGCCAATAGTAAAATGCCCGGAGAGAAACCAAAATCTGTCTCAAAGAAGCAGCTGCTAGCTGAACAGCGCCGAAGAGAAAAGGTGACTCCCATAGTGTTAAGAATCTATTTTGACCCTGTCACTAAATCAGCAAAATACATTGAAAAAAAAACATCAAATACATTTAAAATGTTATATATATATTAAAGAAAAGAATGTCTGGAGATATGATATGAATCATTCCTGAAAGACATTGGTTACACCTACTCGGTAAAGAAAAGCACAAGTCTAGATTGAAAATGAGTGTTGATATTCCTATTTAAAAAAAAAAAAAAACAAGATAAAACTTAAAAATCCCAGTCCTTCTTGTTGGACCATTCAAGAAATTCCACTAAGGTTATCCTGGGTCTCCCTTTCTTGATATTGTCTACGACACACTTGGGCAAGGAAAACTGATACCCAATGATTGTATCTTGTTGAGACCCAGTAAGGCAAATGAGGAATATGTTGGACGCATACTGTGCAGTTATTAAAAAAATAAGGTTCTTAGAATTCTTACAAAAGATTATCGGTTTGAAAGATTCTAGAAAGAAGATTTCGCCATTGTATGAGAAAACAATGGAGGCCTAATGGAAAAATTAAAAGAAATATTTAAATAGCTGCTTCTTCATAGTACGGCTAAATTCATCATGTTTTTTGGTGATCTCCTATGTTTGTGATTAGGTATATGAATAAGTGGTGGTCATAGATGGTCTATTGCATTCTTCATATACATGTACCAAAAAGACATATTTTACATTAAAACTTAAGCCATGTTTGCTTTTCTTATTTTACAGGAAATGAAAGAAATTGGTGAAAACATACAGTCCAAAATACAACAAGGTAGCAAAAATTCTAAGAAGGCTCATCATGGAGGAGATCAGTGGTAATTGTAATACAATATACAATGTAATACTAATTTATGATATAAGGCATCAAATCTTAAATACTCTCTACATTTTTGTTTATTAAAACAAGTGTCAAATTTATTAAAATTTCAAAAATCATCTTCTGAAAACCCAGGTATGATCAAATCAGATGTTAAGTTAAATAAGTTACAATGCTAAAGTAGGTTCTTCTGTAATTATAAACCTATCAAAAAGTAAAGACTATGTAATGAACAGTTTTAGTGCTTTCAAAATTTGTATCCTAGGTAACACCATAGATTTATTGAAGGAATATTGAGATCTGCATAAATGTCACCATTGTCATGAAACTTTCATATGTGTTCACAAATAACATTTTTTGTTGAAATATTGTCTGTTAACATCTAGAAACATGAATGTCTCTCGTATTGTCAAGAAAGCATTTCTAATCACTTTAATTGCAAGGATATTAGCTTTGTCTGCCATGCATTGTTTATGACTGTGTTTATTGTGTTCCTTAAAATCTGTTATATACTATAGGGAGGAGAATAGGGCTCTGAAGGAGATGGAGATGATACAAGATGAGAGTAGGAAAAGAGAAATAGAGATTGAAAAACAACAGAAGAAGTATGAAGCCCAAGAGAGATTGAAAGAGAAACGAAAAAAGAAAAAAGAAATGAAGGAAATGGTAAAACTAGTGTATATCAATCTAAGCTGATTATTTAACTACCTAAGACCAGAAACTTTGTGGAATATTTTCAATACCTATTTGAAGATCTAATAATTCTTTTGATGGAAGTCTTGGTATAGGATGTTCAGTGAAACAAAAAAAATTTATCCTCCTTTCACAATTGTAATTTGTAAAGCATTCTTCTGGTAAAATTATCAACTATTTGATACACAATTTTCCAATTTGAAATGTACTAGTATAATTTCTTTTCCATTTTATATGTTTTATACAAAATATATCAATACCAAAATGTTGGTGATTTAACATACAATGGAATTTCTTAAAAGTAGAATAGAATTGATTTGACAAGCAGCAGAATAATAGAGTTTAGCCTGTCACTTTATAAAATGAGGTTTTCTGGGTTAAATTCAGAAAAAGCAAGTTCAGAGTGAGGCCAGAAAAAAACTACAGGACCAGGAGGACTTGAAACCTGTGATAGAGGATGTAGACCAAACTGACATTGTACAGCAGTATATAGACAAACAAAACCGTCTGTTTGGGAACAAAGCCAGTGATAACCAGCGGATAGACAACCAAGAACTCTTCCCAATGGTCAGAACTTGCACATATTTATATGGAAATGTCTTGTTTAAATTTCATTATTGATTTTGTTAAATGATTTCACTGTTTTGTTTTAAAAAGTTCCCTTTCTAAGGAATATTACTATACAAGTGTGTTTCCTTTCATTTTCATTAGTATGAAAGTATTTGCATGGAAGCAGAAGAGCTACAATTTAGAATAGTATAACAGAAAAGTACTACAATTTAGACATAAAATGGAAGGTAAATATGTAAATCAATACACTAAACTGAGTTTTAGGTTCCAGAGACACTTATTAGAATATACATATTATTAAAAGGTTTAATATGAAACTGTAATATAATATTTAGTAGATAAGTGAAGGAGATTGACATCACTAAGATATGGCAAATGTTTTATGCATACAAAATATAAAGACCAGCATTATATCTCAAAATGTATAATTTTCTTCGTCACAGGGAAATATGCGAGGAGATGATGTCTATAGAGAAAGAGACATGAAATCTGGACTCCTGAAACAATATCTCTTCAATGAAGACAACAACAATAACACAACTAATACTTCTTCAGAGAGCGTGAAAAGGGGAGATAATTCGAGTCTCTTGGACCACCACTTAAAACAGTACAAGGAGTTGATGAAGGTTTATATGTTGCTCTTCATTTCTATCTTATATCTATTGAATTTCGTCAGGTCATCTTTTATCTGAGATTTCATTAGAGAGAGGGGGTATAAAGAGTATTCAGATTTACCACATGAAATTGCACACCTTGTCAAACTACAGTGATCATTTGTCAAGTTTAAAAGATCAACAATTACATGTGATGACATCTGCAATTTCATCAAACAATGATAGTTATAAGCATTGAGCCATCCAAGTCTTACATTTTCTTGTTATTTCATGGAACATATTTGAGAAGTATGTCGACTACACATGTGGGCCCTCTTGGTGTGCATGTTTATTGTACATTGTAGATTATGTCATTCTTTTGTGTGCAGAGCAGCATATTGCCTCTTCGTGTATTTGTTGATACTAAAATCCTTAAAGGAATTCTTCTCAGTAACCAAAAAGCAGAGTGTGCTGATATAGGGCCTCTAGCATGATGGGAGGAAGAGCTAAAAGTTATTTCAAATGAATGACCTTGACCCACTTTCAAGGTCAAAGGGGTGAATATGTTAAAGTCTTTAAACAACTTATTCTCAATAACCAAAAGGCCCAGGTTGCTGATATTAGGCTTGTAACATGCTTGGGTGTAAGGCTACCTTGTCTCTTTGTTTGTGTCAGTTTATTCAAGATCTCGTGTGTTAACCGAGTTGAAATTTTTTTTCCAACTTGCAATTGGTTCAGAGTAATAACATTTGTATAGTAGAACATATTACGAATATGATTTCAAGTTTGAAGAAAGTGATCTTATAAACTAACAATGTCTTCTTTGTAAGAGTAGTTGAGCAGTTTTGAGCCTTTTGCATATTTAGGTCTTTTTAAATCAGATGATGGTTAAGGCCTTAAGGCCTCTTGTTTCAAAATAAAAATTGAAAAAAGATGGAGAACAGTCATGGATCATGGGTTTCTACTTTATTTTGAATATACTCATTGCTTTAATGACTAATTATATCTAAGTTATAGTTAATGAAACAATATATTGGTGTATTGTGTGATCAAATGAATTTATCATCAGTTTTGACAAATTCATAGAAAAAACTGTTGTGAATCATAAAACGATATTGCATCGGAAACTTTACTTTCAACTTGGTAAAATTCTCTCCTTTGCAGGTGCAGCCTGTTCGACATACAGAACAACAACTTAAGGAGGAGCGAACACGTCAAAAGGAAATACAACTTCAGCAGAAGCATCAAGAACTTGAGAAACTGCGTGACAAACACAAGGAAAATGTAAGGCAGTTCATCGTTTATAATATATGTTATATCTCAAAAACAATATGACTTTATGTGGTTGTGGCTGTCTTTAACAGCATGTTTATTAAGGGTTAATTGGTGATTTGGTTGTTCTAAGTAATTGTAATGTTAATTTCCTTGTTTACACAGTCGCCAAGTACTGGCTGCAGGTGAGTGGGTTTTTTTTTTCCAGAAACTCCAGCTTTTCTCTGCCACCTAAGCTTGGCACATTCTGGCTATTAATAAGATGTAAAACAACTATAAACTTAACCAATACTTTCTGCCTGGCTGTTCAGTTTAACTGGTTATCTGGTTGAACTGATTTCTGTTAAAAACACTGCTTAACTTTGGTTAGAATTACTGTAATGCTTTCTGCATATTTTCTCATCATTAGGACAGGAAAACCAAAACTTAAGTATCAATAGTTATTAAATGTTAATGATTGTGTTTTATTAATAATTATGCTGACTAACACCAACTTAATGTAGTGATCTGTTTGTAATGGTGTAGTTGTTGCTATATAGCATGATTAAGAAATACTTTTATGAGATTAATGGTAGTGTCAAACTAGATATAAAGTACTCCGTACTTCCTAGTTAAACAAATCAAATGTTGACTGTGAAAATTCAACTTCAGTCATGTAATTATTTGGTTTATCGTCTAGTATCAATTCAAAGTGGAAAAGAAAACTACATCCAGCTTCATCACACTGGAAGACCAGGAATTTGAGAGGATGAGGAAAGAATACCTTCATAAGCAACAAGATCTGGAGCACAAACGCAATGAGGAGGAAATCAAGGAATTAAAAAATAAAAGGTGTATATGTCTTTCTTAATTAGACATATTGTGAAATTAAGAAATAAATGATAGAAGATATCTTGTGTAATCCCTGGCCATGAAATGCAGGTTTTATTCATTGGTAGAAAAAGTGATTCTCTCTTGTATGATCCTCTTTCAGTTATTGTCAAATGATAGTCATAAAGTCATTAACACGACGCTATGTAACAAATTACCATTACTATCAGTACAATCACACATTTTCCTTGAATATGGCACATTTCTATAATGATTTAGAAGGGTTCACATAGGAAATGAGGTCGATACTTAACTTGATGTTACAGTTATTAGAATCTACCGCTGAAATTTTCAATTTTCACACAGCTGAATTGTTAACCATATCTCGTTACTAAATCTCAAGACCATTAAGATTTGATTAAAAACATATTAGAAACCCAGAAACCCATTAAAAATGGGACATGATTCTCATTCGAAATTTATAAAATGACCATTACTATACATACACCCATTTACTTTGAAAAGTCATCATGAACACCCCGTTAGAAATAATTGAAATATGACACAAAGTTGATAGGAGGATAATTACGGCCATACCAGTTTCAATGATATAAATAAGCATGAAGTGAATTAATTAATGCCTAAAATGTTTTGTCATTTTTTTTATTCATTAATGGTTTCCAACATTCTTGTAATGGCCTTTATTTCCATGTTGTAGAGAAAATTCATATTTAAATTGTTCAGACTGAATAAAAAAATGTATGTGATTGCCATTGACTAAAACGATCTTGAATCTTTAAATTCTTTTTATCATTTAAAATTCATGACTGTAAGGAATTCTTTACATTCATGGCCATCATCAGATGATGGGTTATTCAAAATTGTTCTGCATCTGTGGTTCATCCATCTGTCCTTAAACATTCTTGTTTTCACTATTTGCTGAGAAGAACTCTATGGATCTTTATCAAATTTCATATGTACAATTCTGTTGGTCCCAAGTTGTGCATTGTTCCACAACTTATCTGGAAAACAACATGGCGGACAGGTGGCCATCTTGGATTTTGACAGTTAGAATCATAAATATCCCACATTTGTTTGTATTTCTAAGCACTTCATATGCTGAACCTGGATGGCATTGAACAGTTTTGCACAACTTTCTTCTCCGAAGATTAAGTCTTACCTAGGCCCTATTGGTATATGAAATATTCTTTAAAGGGATTTTGTTTTTAACCTGTTTTCTGTGGATGATTTTACTATTATGGTACACAATACTATCATTTGCACAGACATGAAAAGTCACTTTATATAGTGTAATCCTTTACCATTACTATTGTCTCATGATATGATGGTAGGTACTCATAATTTTTTGCTAGTTACTTATCACTAAACACTGCTTTAGATACATGTTCACGTGATGTTGAGTCAGAGAATATCATTCATGTAATCCAGTCCTTGACATCTTGAATTTAAAACCTAAAATAATTTTTCCAATTACTAAATCATCTTTTAGAAAAAAAATATATTAAGAGTGTCATGCAATTATTAAACTTTCCTTGATGCTTAGGAAAGTTCATGGCAGTTGTATCTCCGATGATTTTAGAACATCAGGCACGTTGTGTATATTCTAAGCCATGCCACTTGTTGACTGAATTGAAATGTGCCATGCAGGTTACATCAAACCATAGGGATGATAAGACCACCTGCAGTGTCTACCACTTGCAATCAGGATTTTCTTGTTTTCATTCGATATTTGAAATAAATTAACACATAAATGTTATACTCTCACTGAAATGTCAAATAATTACATCATATGTTGATATGGCTATTTTTAGAATCCAAACTCAGAAATGGGTGCAGAAGGTGGAGCCTCCAAAGTGGTATGACAAGTCATCAAAAAATACTGAGAGAACAGGTAAATGTAATGTCCTAGTAAGTTATATGTAATTTGTCGAGTAAATCACATATTTCATGGGTAGTAAGGTTATCTATTATTGGAAACCTACAGTTTAATCTAATGTTATATGTATCATGCTCAAGCAAGTAATAACAACTTGGCACTGTCTGTGAAGTAGAGCTAAGCACATATTATATGTAAGGTTGAGATAAGTTATATATATTATCTCAATATATCAAGTTCAGTGTGGCAAATTCCACTGCTTCACGGCAGAATGTGCTAGCTTGGGATTATTTTTCAGGTCAGGAGCTCAAATATCAAGGTCATGGTATCTATTGATGGAAAACTGGTCACATAATCTCACCTCTACACTGGGATTCTTTTCAAGATCACATTTCATTAATGATCATGCCATTTATAAAAATAAATGACACTAATTATTGATACTCATTATGTCCTTTACAAAAATAAATGAAAAATGTGCGACATTCTGTTCTGTAGTTTCAGCACAGCATGTAAGTCCATACCTGTTAGACTTCTCTATTACATTTGTATAAAAGTGTAAAGACTTGGGTCCAAAATTGAATATTTCATATATGGTAATGGAGAAAATGTTTAAACATTGTTATTAATCTTTATTTTAGCTTGATCCTCCACGACTTCCTGTGAAATTTTACAATAAATAACAGGAGAAACATGTATTTTTAGAACAATTTATTATCATTCTTTTATTTTGAATAAATGTTTTCATAAGTGAATTGCCAAACATAGATCTGGGGGATAAGTATTGCTTTGCAATACCTTTTTACCCCACAGCCCAAAAAGGTGTGGGGTATTGCAATCACGCACGGCGTCCGTCCGTCCATCTGTCTGTCCATCCACAATTGCATACTGCTTATTATCTCAAAAACTACATTACCGGTCATCACCATTTTCACTGGGGATGTTGGGCCTATGGACCTACACAACCCATTTTGCTTTATGATAAATAACTTTTTCCATTTGTGTTCAGTTAGTATTAAACTGTTGCTCATGTTTCTGGGTTTAGAGGCCAGGCCTGTTATGTGTTGTACCTGTAACTGCCCTAATGTAGAGACAAATAGACTGCAATTATTACTACCACATAGTTAGTAACAGGTTTAAAAGGAATGTTTCTTTTATTATTTTTCCTTAGAACCTCCAGTTCCGAAGACAAATGTTTGGTCAACACGACAGCAGAGGCTTCAGAACATGGAAATGATGAGACCACGAAATGAAATGGATGAGGAAGCAATTCTTAGGAAAGTCCTAGAAGAAAGTCAGAAAACAGCAGAGCTGGATGAAGAGAGGAGGAGGCAGTTAGCGGAGAGTAACAGGGAGAAAAGACTGTAAGTTCTTTGAATTAGGCCTGCTTCTAAACAGGAAATATTTCATAGTATGATATTGGGTTATTTGTCCATTGATCTTTGGCTCAAATTTGAAACCAAAAACAGTTCAAAATTCTCTCTGAATGATTATTAAGAAATGACAGTGCCTCTAGTTTGATCTCTGCATTCAGATTCTGCCATTGGACAAATTAGATTAAGTTGGGCTTAAACCTTTGTCATGCGAGACAAATATGGTTAAGAAAGTTGATTCTTGACCTTCTACATTGCTGAACCATGTACACCAGATAGGTGTAAGTCTAAACTGTTTTTAGTTTGAGTGGCAGGTGAGAAATAGCCCTGTTGGTGATAATCATTTATTTAATGGTGAAGAATACATATCTGCAAGTGGATATCTTTTCAGAATGGAAAAAGAACTTGCTGCCAAAACTGTTTTACAAGAACCCGTAGAGAAGCCTTTCGTGAAACCAAAGTAAGAGGCCATTATAGAGATGATTTAACTCAGGGCTTTATAGTTTTAGGTGAATCAATTGTTAGAATACAATAGATGATTTTAATGTGACAATTAATTGTATCTTATTTGTGAGGATGAAATTACTGTATGAAAATGTAACATATACATATCTTGTATTGTCATTTGATATTGCCATCCTTACATAAAAAAAAAGATGAAAAGTATTTTGAAAATCATTAATTGTTTTATCTTTTTATAATTGTCTTGCATTTAATTATGTGGCATTTTTATTGAATTCTAGGCCTATTGAAAGTATCTGGGATGTAAATGAGGATCCTCCATTGCCTGTCAAGTCTGCACCAGTCAAACCAGTCGGTGCATGGGCCAATAAGCCTCTTATCAATGCAAAACTCACAAAACAGGAAACCTTGTCAGATTCACAAAAATTCATCACATCCGTTACCACTGATGATACATCAAAATATCTAAAATTGAGAACAGGTTTCAGTACCCTGCGCCCTAATGTTCAACTCCGCATCCCGGAAACGACGTTACCACATGATGATTGGGATGAAGATCTGAAGGATCAATATCTTCCTCAGCGTTCTCCAAGTTCATTTCATCAATACATGAAATGGCAGCCCATAGCTAAAGCTATGCTGGAACAACAGAAGGAAGAAACAAAGACACAACTTGGTAAATCTGTTGGTCAGTGCAACAATTTCAACATGAAGAATGATAAGGTAGTGTGTCAGTCACAGACAGTTCTCAGTAGGGACACATCTATCCATAGTCCTAGCAGTGATTCATTTTCTGGACAGATACAAGATAAAAAATCTCCCTGGATGAAAGCTGCCTCTTACTCTGTCAGAGAAGAACAAAAAGTGCAATCAACAGCAGATGAGAACAAAGAGTCTACAGGGTTTCAGAAGTGTCAGAAAGAAAAGAAAGAAAAATCCTTTGGTGAAGACTGGGAGGATGATATAGATGATGTAGTGTCAGTATGGCCCTCTACAACAGGACCCTGTGATCTTAAAAATAAGAAAACTTCCATTAGTAAGTGTGAAGACCATGCTCAACATATTCACCAGCAAGTGTCATCCAAGATTGGAAGTATACACACTGTAAACAGGGATTCAGGCCATGAACCCTGTCTTTCAGAAAAATTCCAGAGTCACAGAAATCAGACAAGCTGTGAAACACACATGACAGAAATACATCAGACCCCCATCCAAAGTGAATGGACAAAGTCTAATACAAGAAATATGTCTGCATCGTCAGAGAATGCTACAGACAAAGAGCAGTCATTCCTTCAGCCTCAGGGAACACAGTGTCTTGACTACAGTGATTCCAAACCTCAGGAAGTCCCAGAAGTGGTGTTTAGTAACAGGCTTGGTGAGTCAGATGAATCCCGACATCAGAGACTGTCAGAGCAACCTAGGCATACCCTACCAAGGATGCCAAAAAATCCTCACGAGTCATCTGAACCTTGTTCTCCTAATACTCCGATCGGTGGCAATGTGTCCAAACCTATCACAAAGCAGAGGGTGCCAGCCATATGGAAAAATCTGATAAAACATGAAGCTAATCCTCCAAAACAAAGTACAGATGAGATGTCAGATTCACAAGCAGCACCTGTCTTGGATGAAGAAGAAAACAATCAGGAAAATTTAGAGAAGAAAAAGGATTGGGCCAGACACCTTCCTCTTCGTCTACCTCGTCTTCCAAAAGCATTGCATTCTCTGAAGCGGTACCAACGTTCTGACAATATGTCTAATTCTGTAGCTTCTGTAGTAAATAAACAACTGCCTTCTGCAGAATCACAGAAAATATCTGGCCAGAAATTAGTGCGAGATCTCCTTAGTCAGCAAGCTGACTCAGAGTTCCTGAAAAGTCTATCAGAAATTGAACATGATGAACAATCATCCATTAGTCCAAAATCTTCGGCTGGGGAACCTAAGTCAGATGTTGATGAAAGCATCAACATTGTCAAAAGTGATCACAATCCTTTGATGAATGAAAGAGAATCTGCAGCTCCTGGCTGTGAACCAAGCTGCCATGTTCTCCCACAAGATAGATTGGAAGTTGATATCCACAGCCAACAAATTATACGTGGTACAGGGGAAGATGCTTCACTTTCTATAGAGCTTGGTCAAAGTGTCTCTCCAGAAAACCATCTTGCTATTTCTCCTAAAAATGTAATACCCCAAGGTGTGCCTGATCAACATATACTCCAGTCGTCATTACCTCGTGGCCTTCCTGAAGGTTTGCCTCCATACCTCATACAAGCCTATCTCCAGTATCTCAACCAGTCTTCCACGTCAGAGAAATCTGGTTCTGTCAATACTATCCCAATGCCAACTCCACATGCTGTAGCCCAAGCAGAAGCCTCACTAGTTGGTTACCCTGTAGCTACTGGTCTAGGATTAGGTGGTATGCTGCCTTTGTCTGCCATGATGCCTATACTTAGGCTGCCAAATCCGGTGATGCAAACAGAGTACTTACTGCAACAAAAACTTCAACTACTTCAACAACAGGAGGAGAGACTCCGACAGAACCAGCAACTGTTGATGCAGCAGCAACAGCAACTTCTTCAGACACACAACCTTCAGCAGAGCAGTCAAATTGTCGAAAGGGAGCTTGGAAAGACACCTGTGCTTTATGCAATGAATGAAAACCTGCCAGGTCTCCATCAATCACAACACATAAAGACTAGCAGTCCTTCACAGACTTCTACAGAGACACATAACCTCAATGTTAATCCAGTGTTACAGAATCTGGAATACAAACAGAGACTCATTAAGATTGAAGGTATTGAAATACCTGCTGGAGAAGGTGACAGTGTGTTGCAGGGTCAAGACATGAAGAAGTCTCAGTTTCAAAAGTCACCATTTCAGAATTCAAAAGGTGATGCTGAAGGAGATAGCAAAGACAATTTGAGACATACTGATCTGTTTCAAGAGGATGAAAACTATCAAAGAGATGGTATACAGCAATTCCACCTGTCACAAGTTCCTGAAAATTCAATGAAAACTGAACGGTACAACCCACCAACAGTTCTAGGGACCATGCCATCAGTACAACAGTACAATCCACCAACAGTTCCTGGGACCATGCCATCAGTACAACAGTACAATCCACCAACAGTTCCTGGGACCATGCCATCAGTACAACAGTACAATCCACCAACAGTTCCTGGGACCATGCCATCAGTACAACAGTACAATCCACCAACAGTTTCTGGGACCATGCCATCAGTACAACAGTACAATCCACCAACAGTTCCTGGGACCATGCCATCAGTACAACAGTACAATCCACCAACAGTTCCTGGGACCATGCCATCAGTACAACAGTACAATCCACCAACAGTTTCTGGGACCATGCCATCAATACAACAGTACAATCCACCAACAGTTTCTGGGACCATGCCATCAGTACAACAGTACAATCCACCAACAGTTCCTGGGACCATGCCATCAGTACAACAGTACAATCCACCAACAGTTCCTGGGACCATGCCATCAGTACAACAGTACAATCCACCAACAGTTTCTGGGACCATGTCATCAGTACAACAGTACAATCCACCAACAGTTTCTGGGACCATGCCATCAGTACAACAGTACAATCCACCAACAGTTTCTGGGACCATGCCATCAGTACAACAGTACAATCCACCAACAGTTCCAGGGACCATGCCATCAGTACAACAGTACAATCCACCAACATGCCATCAGTACAACAGTACAATCCACCAACAGTTCCTGGGACCATGCCATCAGTACAACAGTACAATCCACCAACAGTTCCAGGGACCATGCCATCAGTACAACAGTACAATCCACCAACAGTTTCTGGGACCATGCCATCAGTACAACAGTACAATCCACCAACAGTTCCTGGGACCATGCCATCAGTACAACAGTACAATCCACCAACAGTTTCTGGGACCATGTCATCAGTACAACAGTACAATCCACCATCAATCCCAGGAAACATTACACCATCACATCAATATAATCCCCCACCTGTTCCAGGAAATATTCAATCAGTAAAACAGTACAATCTTCCATCAATTCCACAACGAAATGCTGAATCAAGACGAGATGGATTTGATATACATCATGGAAATTCTCAAATAGTAGAACATTCAATCACAAGACCAAGGACTCCAGTCTCAAAAATGGAGAACAAAGATCGTGATATGATGAAGGATCCTTCAGTGATATCGGTTGGGAAGAAGTATCTCCAGCTTCCTCCTAAACTACAACGTCGACAGGAGCAGACTCGAGCTGTTCAACAGATGATCAGCAAAATTCACATGGATAGTCTTGAAATGGAACAGGTAGGTAAACACAGAGATTTTCCTTTTTGACTTTTGCCTTATCAAAAATAGTCATCATGCATTCACCTTAATTACTGCATCAGAATATTTTTGTATTTACATTTTGTTAATAATCTGTCTTTGTATGTTTTTATTTCTTTTTTTCTAGGATGAGACAGATGAAAATAAACCACAGAGGTGTTTTTAAGGAGAAACACAATCAACTGAATTTCTACTGTGCAAAATTTTGAGTCAGATATCTCATGTACAAAGATTATTAAGGAATATAGATCTTTATCATCAATGCAGGTTTGATGAGCTCTGAACAAGATAAATTCTTATTAATTGCATTAAGATGTTATGCACAGATAGTTCTTTGGGTTTGAGACCGCAGTAGCAATACAATATGGTAAGTTACTTAATAAACAGACATAAGTTTCTGTGTTATACAATGTTTAGAGACGTACATTTCCTATGTGTTTTATTTTCATAACAGTATTAATCAGTGAAGTAGTGGTTGATTGTTTTTGCATACAATAATTTATAACCTGATTAACCCGGTAATGTAAGCCAGGATGACTTGTTCTTTTTATACAAAGATAATGTATGAGTTGAAAATGGCCTTAAGAAAGACAGTCAAAAATTAAATTGACATATCATTCATTTATTGTGTTAAATCTGATTATTTTTCAGTTTTATATTCACTTTTGATTTACTCTTGATTAGTATCTTCCAAGAAAATTTACAAGTATTTTTTACTTTTCGATGATTCTAATTGATCAAACAGCTAACACATCAGGGCCTAAATATTTCAATTCCGATTCATTTAAAGCCCTCTTTCTGATTTTGTCTGAAACAATTCTTGTTGCTTCCACTTCGTTAGAAATTCTAGATGGACCATTCTCATACTTTAAAGACGAAAATCTTGGATTTTAACAATTTGAGGTGTTTTTTTGAAAAATATTGGATAATATGCACAAATTTGTATGAAGGTTCCCAAAGGTCGATAGTTTTTGCATATCTAACTTAAGGTGTGATCAGAAAAATTTAAATTACTAACAATGTTCTAGACAAATTATTCTCATATTTTATTTAAAGTTACATGTCAGAGCTGATTAGGATTACAAAATGTCTGACAGGTCGCTGTTTTAGATATTAATGGTGTTATCAGGGATGTTTAAAACACATCTTGATCATGTGATAACTGAACGTATATTTCTATTCCATACAGTATTTAGGGAATTAGTGTAAGGTCCTTTGGTATATCAAGAATTTGGATAGATATTCATTTATTAGGTGAAGAATGATAATGCAAAATGAAACTGGCCCATTCCTTGTACTCCTAGGACGTAAACATAAGTCTCAATAGTGATATCCTTGAACACTTTGTATGAAATTATTACTGTGATATGTATACCATGAAAATCTCTTGCCTATGTATGAATAATTTTTACTGTAGGTAATGTATAACTGATGGATAAAAAATACATTATTGTTGACAATAAGAGAATGAAGCTTCCTCCTCACATGGTTGTTGAATAAGTTTAGCCAGTAATACAGATAGCATGTATCCTCCCATTGTCTCAATTTATTGTTAACTGTTGAAATATCTTTCACTGTGGATTTTAATTTAAGTTGTGTATCCATTAAATTATATGACATTGCTAAAGATATTTTCATGTATATCTGCAGTAAAAATAGTCAATTATCAATACCTATTTAGAGATTGAACAAAAATAGAAGAATCTTGTAGAATAATATTTATAGCCAGTAATTACTAGAAACTGAAAGATTATTCATCCTTTTCATTTTAATGTAATAACCTGGAACTAGTTGTATTTGATTTCTTTTGTTTTGTGCGACTTCCTGATTTTTTAAGGAAAGCTTTGATTTTCAGGAAATTTTCGTTAAAAAGTTTTGTTATCAGATGATAAACGAAATAAAGTTTATTTTCAAGCCAAATCATGCAGTTTTTCATAAGACTATTGGAATTCAATCCATGTTGGTTTGGCTATTAAAGATAAAACATATATTTTATTTGGAAAAATGTGTATACACTGTCCAGATTAAAACTGACCATCAGTATTCCACCAGCCATAAAAATAGTGCAACATTAACCTTAACACTGGATGTTTATTTGGCTTGGCATGTTTTGTTTTCAGTGTAAAGTAATTCATTTATTCATTCCCATTCCCCATTGATCTGTGATAAGTCCTAGACGGTAAGAAGATATGTACTATTTAGCATTGAAATTTAATCTTTATGGCCTTGTGGGAATAAGGATTTGAATAATGATCTTTTGCACTTTGTATTAATGTTACATCATTTATCTTATTTGATATGAAAATTATAATCTTACTGCATCATTCCAACATATAACAATTAAGGCAAGTGATACAATGTTGTGATCTGCTGATTACCATTTCTGTTGTTTTATGATTTACTACGGAGCCCGTTAACTGACATGCTCCATACTTATTTTATTTCGTTTTTTCGAAATAATATTTCATTTTTTCAAAATAATATTTCGTTTTAACGAATTATTATTTCGAAAAAACAAAATAAAATATTATTTCGATAAAACAAATTATTATTTTGAAAAAACAAAATAATATTTCTAATAAACGAATTAATATTTCGTTTAAACGAAATAATATTTCGAAAAAACGAAATAAAATAAGTATGGAGCATGTCAGTTAAAGGGCTCCGTAATTTACTGATAAGTTGGACTTTTTGTTAATTTTATTTTGAGAAGTTGTGTTTTTGGAGAACAAAGTAGCAATTGTTCTTTTTTTTTTTTTTTTTTTTGTTCAGTGTTATGTTGTCAATTATAGAATTCTAGGTTAAAGATATTTTGTTTTTGGCTGTACAAAGTTGGGACTGAAGTGAATATTTGCCCAGTGACTCACAAAGTTATTTTGTTTAAAGGTGATTTAAATTTAAAAACATGCTTGATTGCATTTTGTAAGATTTGTTTTTTTCACTTCATACATAGCGTTTATTTTATTTACATATAAAATGGCTGACATATCCTGTGTTCATTTTGTAGTCAAATAGCTGCATAGTATATATATATATATATATATTGTTTCATTCACATGACCTTTAATGCAGACAGATATTTTAAGGAAGTCTTTTTTTTAAGTTGAATCTCTCTCCTTTATCCTGGATATCTTGTTTTCCCTGAAAGATTATTCAGTTTACCAGGCTAAAATGAAATTATACATAAGAGATTGCAGCATTTACATGTGCTCAACCTGGTCTTCTTTCTTGAAAGTAAATTTTGAAAGTAAAAGTGAATTTATATAACATAAGCAGTTAAGCTAAAATAGAGCTAAACTGTGAAAAATTGTTAATTGCAGATTTGGATTTATTAGAAGGAAATGTAGGCTTTATTCCAACAATGTTTTTGGTTGTTTTCTGTTCTACTACAAAGTTCTGTATTATGTTCACTATAATTTGCCATGTTGTCATGATTTGAGCATGTTTGGTATTTGTTATAAACATGAACCTGCATTAAGCAGGTCATGTGAACTATCTTGTAAAATTGGATGTAAATGGAAGTAGTAGCTACATATGTGCCAAGTTGATATTCCTCGTTTTGTATACTTATATGTTCCGTTGCTTGTTATCATTGTAAAATTATGTTGATAATTGTAAAATTCTGTTTTGTTCGAATTTAATATCATGATCTGGTTGATAACACATATTTACCTATGATATTTATGCTCTCTAGTACCAGTGTCCTCTAGATGGTCAACGTTATACTTTCTAGTACCAATGTCCTCTAGATGGTCAACATTACCTACAACAATATACTCTCTAGTACCATTGTCCTCTAGATGTTCAGTGTTACCTACAGCATTATACTCTCAAGTACCAATGTCCAGTATATGGTCAATGTTACCTACAGCATTATACTCTCTAGTACCAATGTCCTCTAGATGGTCAATGTTACCTACAGCATTATACTCTCTAGTACCAATGTCCTCTAGATGGTCAATGTTACCCACAAGATTATACTCTCTAGGACCAATGTCCTCTAGATGGTCAATGTTACGTACAACAATATACTCTCTAGCACCAGTGTCCTCCAGATGGTCAACATTACCTACAACATTATACTCTATAGTACCAATGTCCTCTAGATGGTCAATGTTACCTACAACAATATACTCTCTAGGACCAATGTCCTCTAGATGGTCAACATTACCTACAACAATACACCATCTAGTACCAATGTCCTCAAGATGGTCAATGTTACCTACAACAATATACTCTCTAGGACCAATGTCCTCCAGATGGTCAACATTACCTACAACATTATACTCTATAGTACCAATGTCCTCTAGATGGTCAATGTTACCTACAACAATATACTCTCTAGGACCAATGTCCTCTAGATGGTCAACATTACCTACAACAATACACCATCTAGTACCAATGTCCTCAAGATGGTCAATGTTACCTACAACAATATACTCTCTAGGACCAATGTCCTCTAGATGGTCAACATTACCTACAACAATACACCATCTAGTACCAATGTCCTCTAGATGGTCAATGTTACCTACAACAATATACCATCTAGTACCACTAGATGGTCAATGTTACCTTCAACAATATACTCTCTAGTACCAGTGTCCTCTAGATGGTCAACATTACCTTCAACATTATACTCTCTAGTACCAATGTCCTGTAGATGGTCAACATTACCTTCAACATTATACTCTCTAGTACCAATGTCCTCTAGATGGTCAACATTACCTACAACATTACACTCTCTAGTACCAATATCCTCTAGATGGTCAACATTACCTACAGCATTATACTATCTTGTACCAATATCTTCTAGGTGATCAAGGTTACATAAAACATTACACTATCTAGTACCAATATCCTCTAGGTGATCAAGGTTACCTACAACATTACACTCTAGTACCAATATCCTGTAGATGGTCAACGTTACCTAAAACATTACACTCTCTAGGACCAATATCCTCTAGGTGATCAAGGTTACCTAAAACATTACACTATCTAGTACAAACATCCTCTAGGTGATCAAGGTTACCTACAACATTACACTCTAGTACCAATATCCTTTAGGTGATCATGGTTACCTACAGCATTACACTCTAGTACCAATGTCCTTTAGGTGATCAAGGTTACCTACAATATTACACTCTCTTGTACCAATATCCTCTAGGTGATCAAGGTTACCTACAACATTACACTCTAGTACCAATATCCTCTAGGTGATCAAGGTTACCTACAACATTACACTCTAGTACCAATATCCTGTAGATGGTCAACGTTACCTAAAACATTACACTCTCTAGGACCAATATCCTCTAGGTGATCAAGGTTACCTAAAACATTACACTATCTAGTACCAACATCCTCTAGGTGATCAAGGTTACCTACAACATTACACTCTAGTACCAATATCCTTTAGGTGATCATGGTTACCTACAACATTACACTCTAGTACCAATGTCCTTTAGGTGATCAAGGTTACCTACAATATTACACTCTCTTGTACCAATGTCCTTTAGGTGATCAAGGTTACCTAAACATTACACTCTCTAGTACCAACATCCTCTAGGTGATCAAGGTTACCTACAACATTACACTCTCTTGTACCAATATCCTCTAGGTGATCAAGGTTACCTACAACATTACACTCTAGTACCAATATCCTTTAGGTGATCAAGGTTACCTACAATATTACACTCTATTGTACCAATATCCTCTAGGTGATCAAGGTTACCTACAATAATATACTCTCTAGTACCAATATCCTCTAGGTGATCAAGGTTACCTACAACATTACACTCTCTAGTACCAATATCCTCTAGGTGATCAAAGTTACCTACAACAATATACTCTCTAGTACCAATATCCTCTAGGTGATCAAGGTTACCTACAACAATATACTCTCTAGTACCAATATCCTCTAGGTGATCAAGGTTACCTACAACATTACACTCTCTTGTACCAATATCCTTTAGGTGATCAAGGTTACCTACAATATTACACTCTCTTGTACCAATATCCTCTAGGTGATCAAGGTTACCTACAACATTACTCTCTAGTACCAATATCCTCTAGGTGATCAAGGTTACCTACAACAATATACTCTCTACTGCCTATCATATGTCCTCCAGAGATCATTATGTTTTTGCTGATAAAATTTGTAACTTAGGTGATTTTGTAGGCGCTTCATTCACGAATTGATAGCTATATGAAACGATGAAAATTGATTTTCATTTCAATTTTAATTTGTTTTCTTGCCAATGTTTGGGTTAACAACCAGGAATGAAGTATAACGCATTTTTTATAATTTGTTCCAGTTTTTTGCTTTTTTTCCCTTTTTTTAACAGTCCATGCTGCCATTTCTGGTATGCAGGCAATTTACTACAAAACAAAGCAAATTAATAATGTGTTCATTGTACCCTAGTCAGTTTTGTGATATGATTATACTGTTACTAGATACAGAAATGTTGAATATAAATATTTGTGGTGTACTGTTAGGTGCACGTTTTTTTGTAAACTTTGCAAACAAGCTTGAAAAGATGTATCATTTTTCGTTAATTGTTCATTTTAGTTGTTCGTTTTAATTAAAACAAAGTTACAATACTGAACCGTCTACATTCTGTCTTTCCGAATAAATTTGACATTGAGATGTTTCCTATGTATATTTTGAAATGTGATGATGAACCACAGTACCCGTCACTGACCATTGATTTATGATACCGGCTTGTTAACAGAATCTTCATTCAAACACCAATTCGAGGCAACTATGGCAAAATAAAAACAAACGAAAAATTTGCATGGAGACTTCTGAAAGAGTACAATGAGAATAATACCAGGTGTCACAGAAGAGCAATAATGAAACAAAGAGCGAAACGCCGATAAATTAATGCTATATTCAAAGATATACCTTCTAGAAGTTCACAATGTGATCAGATGTGACAGGTGTTAAGACCTGGACAGCTTTGATAGTCATGCAGTCAGTTGTCACAAGAAGTAGCCCATCAACCAGATTTGAATTTTGCTCCCAAACCAAAATTTGGTTGACGTCCTTCTCTACCTTTAATCGGTGTTCAGTAATGATAGTATTGTATAGATCCTACCTATACATGACTGGGCCGTGGAAAAGTTCTATGTAGCCTAAATTTGTAAAGTTTGTCAGCACCAGTTAATGCATTAACTGTTTTATAAGTGTTTTTTTTTTAATTTAAACTGATATTTCCTTACATTGGATGTCTGAGAAATGAACAGTGTAACAAGTATATCAGCTTTTATTTCCCCTAGAAAAGTACCCCTCTTAAAATAAATAACAATCGAATATGACTTTTACCATTTAAAATTCAGAGCGCAGACATAATATGCTAAAGATAAACAAGTATGAATATGTATACTGTGAAAATATATACATATTTGTACTGTTAACACATGTATGTCAACATTTCTTTTCATGGGTCTTTGTAATAATATTGCGTTTGTTCATGCTTTGCCTATTTTCAAAGAATATAATTTTGAAATAACATTGTTGTGGTATATCATTGTCTTTGTTGGCATTGGTCAAATTTCCCGAAAGTAAATGATATATACAAAATACATTTTGAATTCCTTCCTATAGAATATATAACAGCAACAAAAATCAGTTTTCTTATATCTTTATTAATTCAATCCGCTTACATGTAAAAATCGAAGATATTAGAAAAAAGTACTATTTTCCAAATATTCTGAATTTTCGACCTATCCACAAATATTTTATAGAAGATTTTCCTAACTTACCCTCAGAGTTCAGCTCTAGTTGTTACTGAATGATAAAAGGGGGATAAATAAGCGAAGTATTATGCAGTTTTGTTATTTGAGGAGTATGTTCCTTACCAACTGTATCAAATAGTCATTGGTGAAACTTTTGATATTAATGATTTGTTTTTTTTAATGTATACTTCCTGGTGGACGTTACATTTCTTTAAGACTGGTGAAAAAATCTGAACGAACTCTCTCTCTCTAGATTTACGCTTTTACCTCTAGCTGCAATGAAGTAGGGGACGTTTCCTAGGTTACGGTAATAATTTTTAACATTATTGAACACATGTATGTTTTTGAAACAAAAATATGCGTATCTTTTACAGAATATCAATACCGAAGAAATGGTTATATCATAGATCATATGTCCGTTATCACAACGAGAAATGCGGGGTTCAACTTGGTTGCGCGAAGTGCATAAATGCTTCTAAAACTAAATACAGTATTTTCATTTTTGTATACATAAATAGTGTATGTAACATACGAACATGATCGTGTTTATCAAATATTCATCAATATTAATCAAAGTTTTTTAAAGAATATCGCCATTCTTTCCACTGCGGTAGTGTTGTCATCACAATCGGAAAATCTACTTCCGCTGTTAAATACCATGTCCATGGTCCCTCCAAGCTGATGTAACTCGCTCGCGTAAGAACGGACGCCAATAGTCGCCAGCGACAAGGATTCCTCATTATCAGTCATGTGAATGATGATCAACACGGTATTTTTGTTCACTAAAACAAATTTGAATTGCATGATATATAGAAATATATATTATCAAAAAAAGTGTTAGTATTTCAGAAAATTATAATATACAATATGTTCTTTCAGATATTCAAAATTTATAAAAGATTGGTAAGAAATTGTATTTAGAATGTATGTCAGCACCAATGAAATCATCTGAAGATGTTCTATTATTGGTGTAAGAAACAGCAATGATGATCAAGTTTACACAGAAATACTGCAAAGGAGAAGGAGGCACTCCTTCTTAGAAAAGATAACAGTTAGCTTTTTATTTTTTTAAATGCAGACATTAATCGGTTCTACTAACAATGTCTAATTAATTATAATTCAATTAATTATACACACTGATGTTTTAAAACACTACCTGGAATCCCTTCTAATGCCTTCACTTTTGTTCCAATGATTGTTTTTGCCAAACAAAGAACGAAGAGAGGACCATCCGTAATATCCTCCAAGGTTTGACATGGTCTGGTGTAAATATCTATTCTTTCCCGGATCATTCTGTCCCGTAGGAGTTGCTGAAGCCCCTGGATTACATTGTCAGTCATGGTTTTGCCCATTCCACTGCGCACGCTACGTATTCCTACAACTTTATAATCACAGAACATGCTGACGTACCAGACATGTATTTACATCACGCTGGACTTGTTAGTATAGAAATTAAATAGTGGTTCCAATTTTATCTAATATTCTCTCACAAATATCAGTCATAATGTCTTTAGCATACTATCATTTAGAACAAATATAATCATATTCTTTCTTAACAACTGACATAATTGCCTTATATTATGGATAGTTTACCTATTATTTTCTTTCGTTTTGCAGGTTGAGCTGTCAATGGAGCCAAGCTTGGGTGCGTTTCGATTAGATTATCTGTAAAAATAATCAGTTTGGATAATAATGACCTTGGTGATCAGCATACGTGTACAGTATATTGCTTGAAGTTTACATACATGCATAGTTGTGCCTTAGATATACGGAAATTAGTTGGAATATGTCTCAGCCGACGTTTACGTTTAACACAAACAGCGATTGAAAACTGTATTTTGCGAATGTTCGGTAACGCACGTTATCTTAATATACATGTAGATAAAGGATGTAGTCCTTTGAGAAACAAAAATGAATCTAGTATTCATCTTTTTTTAAGGAATAGATCGTAGAAATTGTATTAACAGCAAAAAATCAACATGTTGTCGCACTGCCTTTTCCGGTATAGGCATCAGAATACATGTACTTTTATATGTGTAACAGAAAATAATTGATTTTATCACATTACTTTCTTTTCACTGAAAACTTTTTTTTAAAATAACTGTTCTTGTTTCATTACAAAGTATGGGCATGATACTTGGATATAAAGAACAAAATAATGTAATGCTAAATAATGCTTCTTAATAAAGTTTCAATTGATTTAACAAGCTTTAAACTGTACAACAACAAAAAAAATAAACTTCAAAAAGGCTTAAATTCCTTCTTTGAATATCTGGTTTTAATTTTTTCCCAGAAATCTGTTTGGAGAGAGAAATTTTCGAGGATACATTTCATGATTAAAAGATAGGCGGTATCTGTACTTAAATGTTTTAAAATTTTCAAGAATCAAAAATCCAGCTGATATATTTGTTTTCGTGTCCTAAAACTCCGGGAGAGTAGTTCACCAAGTCGGAGTTCACGAAATAGAAATCTGATTTGTGGTGATAATTCATGCCAAAAAAGGTTGAAATCTACCTTAAACTTCCAGAGTAAACTCAAGAGAAGTACCTTGACAACGTTGAAATTATTGACGCTAATAACTTAAACACGCCGTCAACTATGCCGTTGAAAATAGACCACAAGAGAACTGTCTTCAAAACGTCATACAAATCGCTCTTTTAAAGTTTTTTAAGTTGAGTACAACTCTAGATAACAAAATCCAACACGTCCAAGATATTATGTTGAAATACATTTTATATTGAACTATGTCTTACTTCCGGTGAAACGTCAGACTAGTACATCCTTAACCAATGAATAAATTACGAGCTTAGTGATATTTTAGCACGTGCAATAGAAAAGTAAGTCAACTCTACTTGATTAGGTTTTGTAGACTGACGACTGTTTTACCAGACTACATAATTGTTACGGCAATTACGACATAATTTAAAGTTACCCATGCATTCTACTTTGTTAAATATCGAGTACTATGGACAAATGTAAGTCTAAATATATCCCAGAACACTGTGGAGGATAAAAGAGGTTCCTCGATGAGGAAGATAAATTGTATCTGCTACATTTCACGACTGTGGTAAACCACACCATACATAGAATGCCTATCATATCTTTATACCTTGCACAGAAGTGATACGTCAGTCTTCAAACATTCACAAATGCTTGGATAATCTTTTTATTAACATGTATTTCATGTTCTGTTGATATCTACTTCCGGCAGAAACCGTTTAAGAAGAATTTATTGTATCGCCACAATACAAAAATGCCGAGAGGATACTATTTTTCAGCAAAAATTGATTATGTTATTTTTCATGTAAAAACTTTTAAAGGGAGAGTGCAAAGAAGCCGGACTTGTTCAAGAAGTGTTACAATGAAGTACAGCCGGTTTTGATAGTGTCCATTTCATATGAAATTTCAGGTAAAGTTTTTTCTCGAGGTGTATATGAATTATCTGTGCCCATTTATTCTATTTTGTAAACTATTTGATATTAGAACTCATAAAATAGGTTAATGAAACGGAGAGGAATATTACTTTACTTTAAACGTTTAATATTAACGATTCATAAATGGTTCTTGGAGGATGTACACAACTGTAATTCATTACATGTGCCAGTCTGTTCCTGCTTCTCATCATGCAATAAGGTTTGCAGCGCCGATTTCAAAACATTATTTTCCAGTTGCAATGCTTGAAGTTCTTCATCAGATGTATCTATCAATAGAATAGTTAAAAATCATGTGTTAATCTACAGCTGGATATTCATGTTGTTAACACTTAAATTAATGATGAAGTACCTTCATATGTTGGCTCATTTAAAAATTACCTTGGATGTTTTCTTCCTCTTTTTCATGCGCCTCATTTTTCAACTCGCTGACACAAAGCTCATCATCATTTTCGACTACCAAAGAAAAGAATAAGAACAGCAGCTAGGAATTTCGTGAAATTGATTAGACAACGGAGACGTGTGTACGTTGATCATGGACTAGACCTATATATATTTGTCATTTTTTAATGTAAATGTACGATTTTGATGTGTAAAATGTCATTTTCCTCGTTTTTGTACCCCTTTGTTGTTCAGTGGTGACACCGGTATAACTTCAGTTGCGATGTTGTATCTTATTTCACGATTTGCGTTTAGGCTGTATACTATTTTGTGTCCTTACAGCGATGTAGTGTACTTTTTTGTGTGCTAAACGTATTTTATGCATAATTGATGACTGGTATATTTGTGGACAATTTATGACGTATTTTATGGACTTATGACGTGTTGTTTATTTTTGTGAAGTGACCACAACATAATTAAGTTTTGTGTCGGCGATAGAAAATAGCATACTTGCATATTTGTTTATAGCATAAATAATAGCCTCATATGTCTATATATTCTTGTACACTGATCATAGAACGAGCATATTTTGACAAACGATGATAGTACCAACGTTTATACATGTAGTTTGCACGCGTTATTGCGTGCTGACGCCGCAATATATCAACAACAGGGTGTTGATCATGACGTTGTCGTAAATTTCTATTCCGATGAAGTAACGATAAATTTCTAAATAGTGTCCATACACGCCCAAAAATTTCTGAAAGTCATTTGATAAACATGAACTGTATATTTTCACTTGGTAATACATGAACTCGGTCAGTTAACCTTGAGATTCAAACCGGAAGTTACTAATTACACCCATAATACAATACATGACCTCGGTCGGTAAACATTGAGATTTAAACCGGTTACTAATAACACCCTTAAAACCTTATCAGATATTTTTTGTATGGTTCTAATTTTCGCAGTTTTACCCGAAGCAATAACATTTTTTTCATGAATATCACGAGACTAAGGTTGGTTAATTTTGATCTCAATATAGTCTTTTTGTAAATGATAAAAAATCCAATTCTTCGAAAATAACTATATTTACTGTATATATCAACAGGGACAGTTTGAGCTTAAGCTGTAATGAATGTACAGTACCTGGGGATATTGTGACGTCACTCAATTAATACAGATATGTTTTCGTTGTCAGTTTTCCTGCCGGTTCCGATTTTGTACACCTTGTTCTGATTTGCCCTCGTTTTGTTGAATTTGAGTTGGTGTTATGACTAAGCAGACATATTTTCATTTTCTTATTTTATTTTATTTTCAGCTTTCTGTTTAAGCGCTAAATACTAATGTTAATATATTAATAAATATATATGATTTCGTGTATTTGTCAAGGAAAAAATGCCTGATAACGAAGAAACATAACCCTGAAGAAGCTCAGGATTAGTGGTAACTAAAGCTACTCTAACAATTAAAACAGAAACTTGCCACTTCTAATGATCTCGGCAATAAATGATGAAGAGGAAAAAATATTTGAATTTTGTGTCTGTATCTTCAGGAACAAACATGTGACATTCTGATTAACTCCGAGATGATTCTTCTAGCCCATATCAATTTACACTAGAAAAAAACACATCCTCACTGACAGTGTAGAGAAATGTCATTTGAAGCCCGACAAGGAGAGAGACTTCTCGCCGTAACGAGACAATGAAGTAAGGAGCATCATAAAACGCATTCTCAATAGAAATCTCTATACAAAATCGAAAGAGGTCAAAAGAAAACAATTCACTTTTGCTCGGCATCTCTGAACTACATGCAATTGGGAAAAATAACGAATCTAGGTTCTCAAAAACCAAAAGAGATCATTGGTGCATGCTGCGACCGTTAAAAAAATGTATTAAAATAACAAGGAGTCACAGAAAAGACCAATTATAGTTGCGTTAGATATTTACAAAATCAAAAGAAAAATATTCAGAAATATTAGGAATCTAAAGGACCACGCCAATTTTTCATCAATGTTAGGTAAGAAAAGATCCTACAAATGTTCAAAGGACGAGAGAGAAGGATCATTGCGCAAAAGCGAGTCTAGAGAAAGCGGAGAATTTAAAGACTTCAGTTACCTTGTCCGAAGTCCTCAATGGAAAAGGAATATAGGTAAAAAACCAAAACATAATTAACAATGATAATAACAAATAGAAGTAACAATATTGAATATTTAATAAGGAATGGCATTTTGTGTGTTCTTCAACTAAGTTATTTCTTCATTTTCATTTCTCATTTTGCCAACGTCCAGCAACAAACTGAAACTTGTACTAGTGGCATATGATTTCTATACAATAAAGATAACCGATGACCAGATTGTAAATTGATTGCTGGCCAATGGTGGGATATACAGCCACTAGACATTAAGATAATAATTAATTACTAGGTAGGATAGGCAATGACTTCACTTAAAAATAGGCAGTAAGTAGATTGTAAATTAATCACCAGTCAGATTGTCATCCAATATATCAGTCTTACCGTTCCGTCAAGTAAAGACAAAAAGATCTTGCACGGGTGACACGTCGTTATGAAGTAAATATTCAAAGTCGAGGTAGAATCTATTATAAATCAATATAGTCGTAAACCTTAGACAGGGGATCAGTTGGCACACGTATTTACTCATACATACCTTTGACGAGGTATTGTTCTTTGCGCAAATTTTCGATTTTTAAAACCATGGCTTGATTCTCTTCATCTCTTGTTACTGTCATGATCGAAAAAGACAAAGAAAACAATGAGAATATCACTACGAATAAAAAAATCTTAATCCTGTTCTTCGATCTGTATCCATACTTTCTATGAACGACCACTGCCTGCAAATACATTCGTCAGATAAAATTGCATTCAAGATACGATTGAAATCTGACACCTATATCTTCAAATCGAGATTAACAATACCTTGGATTTGTTCCTTCTCCTCGAGCTGTTTTTTCAGCTCTTCAAGGGCGATCTGCTTTTGATTACATTCAGCATTTTTTCGTTCTGCAGGAAATCAAACATAATATCGTTAATATAAAACGAAACATGAAAATCAAATCACAGAATGTTCATATATATTTGGAATACCACCTCTTCATTTTCTCAAAAAATCGTTCCCCTTCGGAGTACTGCAGTCGAATATGAACACTTGGTTGGCTACGATATATTACAAATAATATTTCATTTTATTTAACCAACATGTTAATTGACTTATCGACTGGAATATAAGGAGGCACTTTTGTTGCTGTGAATGATTCTAGAATAGCAGTTAGTGTTTTTTATACATTGGAATTTTCATCGGTGCTTGTATATATCTTTTTATCACACGATTAATTGACATGTCTTTGCACTCTTGGAATGGAATAAAATTTCATTGTGATTTAGTAAACCAGAATACGGGGATCTGCATAATTCTATTGATAATGATGCGATAATTATCAATGAGTTTTTTCTTAAGTGTTTTAATTATTTAAGCTGATACAAATTATTATTGTTTGACAGGATTGGAGCACGCAAATGGTATGACCTTGAAAGGTAACCTGGAAACCCATGTGGTCGGGTCGGTGACCCCATGTTTTCCTTTCATGTTTGATCGACTGGATGCAATACGAGTGAAATTACCACTGAGCCTCTCGGCGTCCTTACAGTTAAAACAAGTCGAGATTAATAAATGAAATCCTCGATTACCTCGATCTCTTATGCAAACGTCAATTTGTTGTTGTAAACTTTCTACTTTCTCATGGAGAGCCAATGTCATCCTGTCGACTTTCGATTTGAGCTCCTCTTTATCTTCGTTCATCTTCTTCTCCATGGAATCCCATTCGTCTGAATTTGTATTGTTAAACTAATTATCTACACCCAGGTGATAACAAGATATCCTCGGGCTATAAAAATATTTACTGGTAAATGTACACTCACATTATGTAGATTCGAAAAAGAATAAATTTGAGGAAATGAGTCATTAACAATGTTTTTTACAGAAACCATTTGCTATTATCTGTATACCTTCATGTGGTAATGTCGGTATATGTCATGCAACCTTAAGTATGTAATTTATTTTTACAACACATTGGAACATCAATCACCATTTTTGATGGAAACCAATTTTCCATTCAGAAAAACAATGTTCTCGAATAAGAACCATGGTTTGAATCGAAGGAATTGACCATTCCGAAAGCAATGAAAAGCTCACTATGAAGATATGTCTTTCGATTTCTGCAAGCTATATGTATAGCTAATGTTATGTGGTGACACATGTAGAACTATTTTCCTGTACATTGTTCCCTATCGTTGTTCGGCGTTGTTATACAAAACCTCCACCTATACATTAAGCGTGAGAATTGTATAAATACTTTATCTTTTATAATACTTATAAATAGATATAAACATAATGTATTTTGATAATAGTTTCCTATATTTCCTATAATTTCTAATAAACTTTATGATGGTAACTGTCAGTTTATACTATTCTTTTTATATTATGTATGTTGAGTATACATAAAGATATTTCCTTAATTGAATATCCGGAATACATCGTCCACGATCATCTTTCCAACAGGTTAGTAACATAATGCTTACATTTTGCTCTTTCAAAATCCTTTTCGAGCTGCCCTTTTTGTGCTGCCATCATCCTCATGTTTTCTTCGGTTTTACCTGCGTTTTCAAAATAACATTATGTACATGTACTTCTATTATATTGTCATTACAGAACATTTTAGATATTACAAAATAAATAAGTTTCATTGTGGCTATCTGCTGGATGAAATAAAATCATTTGACCTCTTTCCCCCTACTCATATCACTGTTTAAAAGCCATACATGATATGGAATGCAACTAATGAGTTTGTGATTTTGGAAAACGTGTTCCTATATTTCCCTTAAATTTTTGTAAGAAGTTCCCCGCTATGAGTTTAACCCCACTATGTGCTCATGATAATTGCCACAATGGTTGTTGAGACAACGGTTTCGACTTAATAAAATTGTTTTTCATGCCTACCTCAACCTTAACCTTAGCCCAAACTAAATGTCTTGTGATGGTGTGGACAGTACATTAGAAAAAAGTCCATTTTCATCAGTTTTTGTCAACACAATCACAAAACCCTTTCAAAAATGTTAGTCAGATATTTCTAGGTATTAAATAAAAGACGAAGTTAGAATACATGAGGCGTATAAAGTGACCAAATATTATAACATTTTGTGATTTATGTTGAATCCTAGTGTTTGATATTCTAAATTTTGTTATTGATATTCTTAATCTTTTTTATATATTGTAAAACCTGTTATTCATATTCTATATATTGCGTTTTATATCCCAAATAATTATATACAGAATACTGAAAAGAACCCTTTTCAATGGAATTGATTTTAAAACGTATCATTACCTAGTTTTATCAGTAATGCGTTGACTTCCTGCTGGACATTCTCTGACGTAGTCGGGGTGGTCAATCCTTTTTCAGCCAGTCTGGCTGTGGTTGCAATATAAAATAATATTTATTACAAGTTCCATCGCTCCGTTTTATAATTTCTGGTAAATCATACAGATCTTCAACAAATTTCAAATTTAATCCAATTTCTACACATAGGCCAATTTTATTACAATAAAGGGAGCTGTTTAAGTGTAAAAGTGCGGATTTCTTTTAAATTTTGGAATAAGAGTGCCTTGAATAAAAACTGAAGCACGTCATTATTACCTTTGTGTGATATCAAAGGTTCATCATGTTATGGGACCGATTTTTATCATAGAAGCAATGACTGGTTAAAGAACCATTCATTTAGATCATAATTCTAAGGCAAATACTATGATCTCGAACATTGATGTTGTGTAGCAATTGATATTAATGAATGCTAGTGTATATTTACCCGCATGTGAATTATTCCCTCCGGTATTCAATATGATGGGAAGAAAAGAATATGCACATGAAGGAATGCAAATATTTAGGACAATATGTCAGCTGAAGATTTCGTTTACAACGTGATGTATGTTTGTGATTTGATTTGATAAAATACGTAAATTGAAGGTCCCGAAATTTAATTTTGATCACTGAGTATTCGAATATCATGATGAAAACTCTCTAATTACGTATATAACGATATTACTTTTATATTATCTAGTGAAATTTTCGTTCCCTGTCAACAGAAACTTCCTGATAACATCGACTACGATGGTCACTTATAGAAGTGCCAAACGATTATTTAGGGAATATTTCCTTAAATCACTAACCTACCTATACGTTCACAATCATCTTTTAGGAAAGGTGCAAGACAATTTTCTTACCGTTTGCTATATCCAAATTCTGTTCGAGCTGGGCTTTTTGTTCTGTTACCAACCTCAGATTTTGTTCTACTCTACCTGTTCTCAAAACAACGAAACACGTGTTTTATGTTTTCGCTCAACAAGGCTTAATTTAGAAATAATTTCTTAACAGATAATATTTGCCCATTTCCCATTACCCTCACGCCAAAATTTTCTAAGAGCCGTAGACCTTATTGTATAGTTGTCGTCAGAGATTTTGACAAATATGGAATTCTTGAAACAGTACGTACGCAATCACATATTGCAGTTGTATACAATCTTAATCAATCCCATTGTGCGAAGAAACATATCCTGGTTGTAATGTCTTGATTCAGTCATAACATCACTGACATAACGGCCGAAATCTTTCTTTTCGGTGTTAAAAGGTTTCTGTCTTTGTTGTAATATCGGTTCTTATTGTCATTGTATTAGTTACATATACAAGGGCGATGACACTTACTATTCCAAATTGATTCAGACATTTCAATCAATTTTCAAAACATTGGTATTTCATTAATCTTTGCATTAAGTCACTTTACAGAAACATTTTCGACCTTCATAAAGAATCGGAAAAGAGGGTATTTTAGAAATATATATCAGGCATATTCGAAAAGAAAAGAATACATTGAAAGCCGTGTTGTCTTGAAAGCACAAACACAAAACATGTTTAAAATATAAGTCCAATGTTTCAAAGTAACGCATATCATAATTAGTCAAGATAATGATATTATACAATATGTAAATCGTTTAGGGCCAGTGGTGCCGCTTTTGTTCTACAGAGGTTATAAAACATGACGACCATTGTTAGAATAATGCAACAAATTAATGTTAAGTAATAAGTATACAAGTAAATTTTCATATTACATATTATGTTGTCCCGTTTTGTTATCTCTCGACTCATGTTGTCACTCAAAGCTTGTTTCTCTTCTCTAACTGTCGCAAGTCTTCTCTTTAATTTATCGTTGATCTTCAATTCCATTCGTAGAAATGTCTTCGCCTCATTTGCATCTAGTGCTTGGATATCTATTTCCTTCGTACCTTTAATCCGTGTCAAAACATCAAAACAATATGTACTGTTACCAATGCATGAATGGCAATTTAACGCTTAGTCCTACTAGTATTTTGTTCATCTATTCATTAATTATTTTTATGCTTAAGCAAGAATGAACCCATCTCTGACTAATTTTTTGTCTGGGTAAATATTTACCATCATAATGCTTGTTCATGTGCCGATATATCGTATGTAGGAATGCTGCAGTACATTCTTAATTGATCAGTGATATTATTTCTAGACTTTAGAGTTGTGTAACTGAACTCCCTTGTGATAAAGTGTATTCTTTGAACCTTTCGAAATTCATTTCAATTTTACAGCCTTTTTTACTATTCAGTACCTTTCGTTATATTTGAGTGTGCCCCTATCAACATCTGTTTTACCTGTAGCAAAAACATCATGATTGTGCTGATCAGATAAATTTCCTTTCGATTTTGATGCCGTTCCGTCGTCCAAAAGGGTAGAGCTGGCTTTATTTCCATCCTCTTCCTGTGGCATGTCTGTTGTTATCGTATTATCTTTTGATGGAGACACTTCTTTCCATAGCTTTACATACGCCTCGTCATCAACTTCTAATCTGTTTTCAAGGTATTTGTTTAGAATTTGTTGTCGTTTCAATTCTTTTTCAAGTTCTCCATAAGAAGAAATCATGGGAGAAATTTCACTTATATATCTATGTGCTTCATCATTGTTTTCTTTCAAACATTCCACTTGTTTTGTTAATTCATTTATTTTTCTGTGGAGAAAACTTTTTTCTCTGTCATCATTGAATTCACGTGGTGAAGAGTATTCGTCATCCTGAAAAGAATGTTGTTTTATATGGAAAAAAATGAAAAAAAAGTTAATTCTATACTGAATTAAAACATTGTTGTCCCCGATCCTCTACTTCTTTCGTTATTTATTAATCCATCCCTCGCTATCACTTTAACAGCAAGTTTGGTTGGTTTCGTTGATCACATGACTTGATAATGACGATATATAGTGATTTGATTCCCTCTAGCTCTTCTAGATTCCTCAAAAAAAGATTCTTCAGATCGCAAACTCTTTATCAAGATTAACTGCCTCTTAATTTGGAACGACCGAAGAAGTTCACACCACAGCAATAGTTAGTAACAAACAACTGTTGATAATTCTTAATAGCGAAAGGATCATTTCATGATAACCATGCTGTATAATAAGGTTACCTATCCATCGTTTCTTTAAACTTACCGATGCCTCCGACATGTCCGCCATCTTTCGTTTTATCAGTTTTGATGACTAATTTCCACTTGAACCAAACACGTGTTCTATCAGCGTGGATGCAGCTTTACAATTCAAACACTTTACCTAGGAAACACACAGTAGTACAAAGTAATGTGAAATTATTTTGTAAAAAATCAATAACAATTACTAATACATAAAACCGGGAAACGATCACATTGTATTTTCAAACTTTATGTTTTACTGGACTGAAATGATAAGTTACAGCTTCGTTAGATATTAAACAATCGACATTTTGGTATAATATATCCGGAATAATTCAATATTTGCAAAATATCTATATTTCTTCCATTCAATACTTTTTCACTTATTTTTGACATTTATTAATCACTTTACGAGAACATATATTTTTGGAAAAAAAATAATTAATTGGATGCAATTGTAATGACCTCGAACAATTACACAATAAAATCGCGAGAAAAATACATATTATTTTTCAATTTAAAATCTTAATTCTTAGGATCTGATATTAGCAGGAAACAGAACAAGTACAAAAAAGTACAATTTTCACTCCAATATTAAGTTGGTAATAATTATCAATAGGCAAATGTCAGTCATACATTCCTTTATTATAAGAACATTGTTGTGAGGTTTGGGACGATGCTCTGACACAGAGTTTTCCCGAATAAATAGAGAATCACTATACAGATGAAATCTGAAAGACGAATAGAACCGCCATCTAACATTATTCTAGGAGAAAACTTCAGCTCTTCTATAAAATTAGAAACAAATTCTAAACAAGTTATATTTCTGTAGTCTTAGATAACACGAAATATCCGTCGTGCAAAAAATACTATATAGACAACTGCCGACGACAGCTAATCAACCTTTCATTTTCCCGTCTTCTGTTCAGCGTTGAAAATAACTAAACATTGACTTTAGAAAGTTTTTCGTCTTCAATCTTTAAAACAAACTTTTTGAAGTCACACACAAGATCCTACTCATTATTTGAAAAAAAAACACTAAGGGACAGATATAAAGTCGGTTAAACAGTATTTTTAATCACTTTTTTATCAATAGCTTAAAGCTTAAAGTCGTATAATACGGCGTGAAAACTACATAACATGAAGTTCGGAACATTTTTATGGAAAAAAAATTTCACTTTTTTAATTTATCACAGAAAATTGAGATATTGAATACTATAGAAGACGAGCAGTATGCATTGCAAAATAAACGACTTAAAAACAAAATCGGCAGACACGGGCGGTCACGTGACTGGGGAAAGATGTCCTTCGTAAGCAAACTCACCGCGATCATGATAAAAGCAAGATTAGATGCTATTGCTTGGAATAAATAAAAATTTGATATCATCGTATGTTATCGATAAGATGTAGAGAAAAACTGAAATTTATTTGATTTTTCGTTCTTGAGATATTATAACCATTTAACGGGTTTTGGGGCCGGAGCCGGGTACAGCGTTTACGATTTCACACCTATCATAATTCGCACGCCATCTAGGTGTGGGGATGGCAGAACTGTAAAGACAGTCCCGAGTGGCTGGACATGGCGGGCAGCTACAAGCATACAATCATACATCGTATTGATATATAATATGTATTGGTGTTGTAAAGTATTAGGCTGTGTGCTGACCTGTCAATAACTGATAGGGGTTCACTAGTAGACTATTTTTAACTTGGTATTGTAGTATCCTAGGAGTTTGTAACAGGAATATGCATAGTCTAATTATATGTATAATTAATAGTAAACTAACCACTAATGCTGGCCAAGTCGGAATCCTTGGAGCTAAACTAGGATTGGTGATCAGGCTTCTCCAGGCTGGAGATGTTAGTTACAGCTTTGCCAGGGGTGTGAGATCGGTTTTTGGTGCAAGTACCTGCAAACTCTACATGATCAGAGAGCAACTGACTTTATAAGCGATACCCGCGGGTAAAAACATTCAGCGCGGATCTCACTTTGCGTGTATTTGTTATGTTAGTATTCGTAATAATGTCAGGCCATGGGTTTACCTGGCGGAATACTTGGGTAACCTGTCCGCCATGTGCTGAAGTTGTAAATTACTTAATTCCATTTATGAGCTTGGTTGTAATTTAATAAGAGGAAAAGTTTGTTTGTTTGTTTTTGTTTTTTTTGTTTTTTTGTTTTTTTGTTTTTTTTTTTTTTTTTTGTAAATAAATCGTATATAGACACATGTATTTTTGTTTTCGTTCATTTTGCATTTGTGACTCTTCGTTTTTTATCGATCGCGTCATGTGACCATTCGTTTTGTTGGTTTTGTATTTAAGCTGTTATTTTGTAATACATACTGTTCGTCCTAACAATTATCTCTATCTAATTTGTATATTTAGATGTTTACGAAATTAATTGTTCGCTTTGTAATAACGTATATTTATCTGGTTTGCAGCCCACATACATGTATATTAAATTTCGAAATCCGTGTCGTTTACTTAAAACGATCTTAGTACTGAAACTTAGTCAGGTTATCAACAACGAATATTACGTTATACATGTAGAAGCATTTTAGTTATTCTAAAGTCCACGCAATCACTTTGAGGTCACCGGAATTCCAGCTACTTTCGTTTTTCGTTTGACATACTTGTATGTATGTTATAAGTGCAGTAGACATATTGTTATCAGTACCTAAGTAAATAAAATCCTGATATCTGGTAATATTACTCATTTCATTTTTATATAGTTTAGGCCCCCGGCGTCAGCTTGATCAATCTGTTAATAAAGTTTATCAATAAACAAGCATTGCGTATTTGGTTTGTATGTTCCCGTATTAGAATTGTTTAGAGTGGACTTAATGTAATGTGATATCTATTTCTAAGAGCAGAACTTAATCTTCTCATTGTGATATAGATTTGCCTAACTATGACGTCATGATGTTACTATAGGTGTGCCATAAGATGTTTAGCTAAAAGTGATCCAAGGTTTGTAAAGAAATTCTTTTCTTCTCTCGCGCCAAGGAAACAATTACAGTTTGTATACCTGATTTGAAATATCAACGTTTAAGATTTTTACTACAATACGTACCGTTATTTGTTTGAACACTGTCCTGTCCTAACACTCTCGGAGAGAACGTTACGTGTTTCGTTTTGACTGCTCTAATCAACCCAAATTAGGTAATCCAACTTTCGTTTTTGAAAGTTATTTTTAGTTACATCGTTTGGCGTTTCTTTATTTAAACCAACTGCAATCTACTCTGGTTTCATTATATATAGATATTACACGTAAACGACAGTTAACAATGAAAGACTCGTATATCATAAAATACAGGCGTATCCAGACCGGCGGGTTTTCCCAATATGTATTACTGACTTGCAGTAGCAGTTATTACCTCAGTACTGTCAGGATATTTATTTATTTATTTATTTATTTATGTGGTCTCTTTTTCACGACTACTAAAAGGTGCATTGAATTTAACTCGAAATATATGTCTAATTTGATTCCTCTTGTACATTTTAGAAACTTAGAAAGAACATGGACAACTCAATAGGGATAAATGACGATAAGTAAACTAGGCAAGCGTGACGGTATTATATAGACAAATTTGAAATGACATATGTAATACACAACATTCCCACATTTAAAATATAACAGATTATATGAACATCTTTTCAACTACGGACTAAGATGCCAAGCACAAATCATGAATTGGGAGTAATTTGCAGGTACCTTACTTAATGTGTTAGTATTGATTTGATAACGAAAGTAAACTTCAGTCCGATTCCACGAATCGGTGGCCTGCAACGATACGTCACTTGTTGTGTGTTCATATTAGAGTAGTTATTTTTCCTTGTTAGTGTGTACAAAACAAAATATTAAAACGCATATTTAATGTAACACTTTATGAACATGATTTAAGTGAATGTCCCTGGGGGTGGACATGAACAGTGAGCAAACAGGTGTTTAACTAAATAAGATTACACTGGAGTTATAGCCAGACACGCGTCAATGAGTTTTAGTTATGTGTATATATCTCTCAGGGTTTTAATATCCTACAATCCATTCTGTTCAGCACATATTTCCATGTCTACCAATATCTTCAATGTTTCTCTCCATATCAAGGGGTTTGTGGTTACGATATAGGGAAAGAAAATCTCTTTTCACACCCCACGGATAACTTTATATTTCATTTCAAGTATGGCATTGCGACATACCCGTGTAAATTTGAATCTATTTGTTTGCATAGCAAAATCAAATATTTCACATTGAAGCCATATGCGTTTGTTGAAAAATTGTCATACTCTGTCGGTCTATAGAAATATAAGATCTGCTCACATATACAGTAAAGAAGCCGGCATTTTCCTTAACTATTACAGTACAATATGCACATACATATTATGCATTGATCCAAAAATGTTATAGTACATACACTCTATTAAAACTGGTATTCTATAAACCAAAAAAAGACGTGGTAATTTCATCAATTATCTCTATATGTGTAAAGCGAGTGTGCGAGACATACAAAAATTAGTCTAACTCACAGACAAACCGTCTAAATATAGCGCAACGGGAAATCCGGACCTGAAAGGTCACTGGGTCATAGAATTTATACAGAGTATTGGGTAAATACACAAGTGTGTTTACTGTTCACTAAAGTTTCTGCAATTTTATTACTTCATTGGGCTTATTTTCTGTTGATTTTATAATTTATTCAAATATTTGATTCTGTTCGGCTGAAGCAATCAGGGCCGCGCGAATCGATCAAGTCAGATCTATTTTAAAAAATTCAAACTGAAATATCACACGTTTGTTTATATGATATATTGATTAGTTGGATTTCCAAAAGAACATAGTAAAATGATTTTGTACATTTTTCTTCAAACCCATCCCATAAAATTCTAAATGTACGGAATATCTCTTTAAATGTAAGTGGTATGTACATGTAATTCCAAATTCCAACCATGACATTTTTCTAGATCAATAGAGTTAAGAAGGCTAAAGGAGCCTGATCTGAGTTCGCCTGGTTAAGAAGCTGCATCCACGATCTTCCGATAAATTAAAATTTCAGATATTTGTTTACAAATTATTAAGCCTTGAACAACATGACGAGAAAGTATGTCATCCATTGTGTTTTAACTTACACAAGTGCAACGATGGGTTTAAACATGCGAATAAGGATATTTTCTTATTATATTTGTGAGACTGTTCACGTTTTTTCTTTCTTTTTCCTCGATATTTTTCCTTAGTTGTAAACTTAATACCAACTTGTTGCCACTGATTTTGGCAAATAAGTATGTTTAACCAAAGTTTGATTAAAACATTATATGACACTTTCCAGATTAGAAATCAATGTTAAATTGAACTTTCAAGACTTGATACTTTAGAAATAATATAAAAAAAACTAGTTCTTAGATTGGAAATTGTCAAACTCAGCAAATATAATTGCTGAAATGCGATTTCATCGACAAATCATACTGTCACAGAGTAAAAGCGGTCCTTTAATAAATATTAGATTGTGGTGTGTATTTTCGTATCACACGTACTATTACACAACTGACCATCTGGTCCTACAAATACCTCCGTAGTGTAATGGGGTTGGACAAAACGTGTGGAACGCACCCAGACTCTTCCTGATCTTACGTAAAAATTATGGTGGCTTACTATTCACACGTAATGCCAACACCTGCCTGGGTGTCGATACACCAGCGGACAGGTTCTGGTCACTTCCTGGTGTATTACATAGACCACTGTAACACCGACTCCTATAAAGTATCCCACCGTCCATGGAAAGTGATCATCTTCTCGACTAGCAAGTAAGTGGACACTTAGCTTATTCTAGGTATAGAGACCGTCTTTTAGACATACAATATGTATGCTGATAATGCAAAAAAAAGGGGGCTTGAATTTTTAAGGATTTAAACAAAAACATCTTCAATGATTTTATAAGGATTTCTTAATCTTATCAATTACAGTTCGGCGTGAATTTTAAGGATTTTGGAATCTTAGCTATGGATATTGAGTTAGAGCTGTACAAATTAACATTACAGCTCGGCGTGAATTTTTAAGGATTTTGGAATATTATCTATGAATATTGAGTCAGAGTAACACTAATCAGCATTACAGTTAGGATTTTTGAATTTCATCAATGAATATCGAGATAGATCTAAAATAATGAACATCAGAGTAATTGTAATAGTTTAATAAGAAATTATAGGATTTACATTGTTTTTTGTACTCGATCTTAGATTATAATCAATGACATATATGCATTTTTTCAAATAATTACAAATCACATGACTATTAACGACTTGTTCATTCTGTTAAAACATCAGATAGCGGGAATTGTTTACATGTATTTCATTTTGATTGCGAATAAAATCATGCACTCAATTATGTATTCCGATATTTTATAATTTTTATTATTTTACAGATCACCATGATGAAATTCTCTGTCACTGTCCTCGCCATCGTCTTAGTGGCCGTGTCAGCCGATTATGACGACGGTGTGATTATAGGAGGTGACCATGATGAGTTCATCGGAGGTCACGGCTACGTCGTCAGTGGCGGTCACGGAATCCACCCTATTGTCCACGGTTCAGGTATGTACAAATGATTATACATACCATACATTTTGTAATACATGTTAATGAAGACGTCGTGTTATCTGTAATGTTAAAAACGAAACAGGAACAACGCAGGAATTATGCCAGACCCATTTGAAAAGTAGTTCCTCGGAAAGTTTTGGAAGCAAACGGAAGCGAGGGAGTGGACCTCGAATTTGTCAACCGGCACATAAACTTGAATTCTGCTGATATTTCGTTTAAATAACGTCAGTCATGAGTGGTAAAACAAAAATCAATGTTTAAAAAATAATATCCTGGCCTCGAGTGCCTGTGAATGGCACCAAGATTTGCACGCTTACGTTATGCTAGTTGTTTATGATTTTATATATCTATAATGGTTAGTCTTTAACTTAATACACTCGAAAATAAGTAAAAGCAGTCATATAGTCAAAAACTGTATTAATTCTTTCAATTTTGTATAACAAAACTAGGAATGGTGCATATCTCTAAAATATTTTGGTACCAAAATAATTAAGAGATCAAATGTCCAGTTCGATAATTACAAACAATTAGATTAATTAAATTAGTTTAAAGGAACTGTGCGTAGTAATTAAAATGACTCTGAACTGAAACGAACCCATGAAGGTCACATGGCATGTAGACAAATACATTTTCAGTTTACTTTTGCATACAGATGTATATTTCGACCTGTCAGATGAAAATCACGGAATTTATTTAAAACGTAGATTTACTTAGTTTAATTTCAAGGATTTTCTTCTTGTTAATGCTAACATAATGAGTATTTGTCCATAGGCATAGTCAAAGGTCTGCTATAAGAAATATATTATCATTAGAATGTGTCACAATTATCGACCACTCACCTACAACATTTCGTGTTATGGAATAATGAATTCTATTTAACACCAGGACTTGTCTTAGCGTGTCGTTAACACTTTCTAATCGTCAAACACAGTGGCTCTGTGCTGTACAACAGAATCAGTCTTGTATACTTATCTGCCAAAGTATGTTCTTTCGCGCGATTTTTAGCTACATCAGAAAAATGCTTTTTTTGTGTTCACTTTCCTGGCGATTTAAGCGTCTACGCGACTAGAATTAGTGATATTCAAAGTTAAAATCCAACCGAAAAAAAATCCGTAATTTTAATGTTTTCTTTGAGGAGCGGTAATTTCTTTTCAATTTTTCTTCCTCGACTCCTAAGAGTGGTAATTCACGAAGAACTACTTTTCAAATTGGTGTGTATTAGATACAAACCATTCACCAACAATCAGTGATTAAGATAACACACATGTAATACGGTGAATGTACCACATCGACACTTAGAAAGTCAACAAGGAAGATAGCTAACTATACATGTATTTACCGTACATTATTCGTAGTGGTAGCGCAGTTTGAACGATTTTCTGTTCAAAATAATGCACAAAGCCACGTTTAACATGTCTCTTTCCCCATACAATTGCTTTATCACAAGTTTACATAAGAATCTAAGAGTATTGTATTGTTTGTGTGATACAGGTCTTCCATGCTGGAAACACCACGGAGGACACGGGAAGATGGGTATGGTGACACATGACTACCCTACTGTCTACACAACCGGAAGTCACTACGCAGGATCCCAGATGTACAGTGCTGGTCAATACGGAGGCTCCCAAATGTACGATGCTGGACATTACGGAGGCTCCCAGATATACGGTGCTGGACAGTACGGAGGTTCCCAAATGTACGATGCTGGACAGTACGGAGGCTCCCAGATATACGGTGCTGGACAGTACGGAGGTTCCCAAATGTACGGCGGGGGTCAGTACGGCACTGGACTAGGGCAATATGGTGCCGGACAACAGATGTACGAAGCTGGCCAACATATGTATCCTGGTCAAACTATTTACTGATATGCTAATCTGAGACAGACTGCTGAATTGTGCTGAGTTATGGAGAGTACAGTGTAAGTAATGGTGGCCTGAAGCCCTGGAATGCCTCTATGGATCAGCCACAAATAACCCGTATTAACTGATGCTTTATATACAAACCTCGGGGCAACGTTTGACCGAAAGTTCAATGATACTTGTCCATTAATTTTTGCTTTTATGATATGATATTATTTGAAACTATCGGCAATTAGTAGAAAAGTATACATATGGCTATTGGAATATTCGGTCATAGTAACCGGGTTTCCTACAAATACGACAAAAATATTATACATGCCATCAAATCATAAATCGAGAGATATTCGAGTTCAATTCATGGTATCCAAAAAAGAGAAATTTATATTTTGTTTGTATTGTGGAACCATAATGTTAAAAAACAAGATTTTTTACTTTTTTTTTAGTGATTCTTTTAACACGGAACGCTATTAGCAAAATAATAGTAATGTTTAAAAAGTGTTGATGCTATGTGATGACAATTCGATGATGATTATTAGCCATTATAAATTTTTATAAGCGAAATGAAGTTTTTTTTTATATATATATAAAACAACAATTTGATTCCGATAGATATAATTTTGTAAATTGCTGTGGTTATATCATCTCTTAGACTGCTCTTTGGAAAACAATATTCCTTTGTCAATAACTCTACAAAATTCAAATGTTAATTTCTCAAAACTCTTAGATATGTCAGTTTTGTCTGTGAAGGATACATTCTTATTTTTCTTAATGTTTCTAAAAGTATATTGAGGTTGCTTTCAAAATAGTTGCTGGAAAAAGACATCAATTTATTTTGAACCATAATTGATAGTTTTCTTTATTTTCATTGTACATTTGTAAGGAGAATGAATTAATTGGTATTAAATGGTATTCGGTTTTCTAAACCAACATAAATTGCATGTGTCTCATTTGCAGCACAGTTCACAGCAACATTATTTACTTCTCAATTCGGGGTTTATAATGATAAACTATACTTGATTTGAAATTTTTTAGATTTGCCACCTATCGTTTGTCAAGTTTACAAGTTTTGAATATCGTAGTTCAGAATATTCTGTTGTATCATATGTTCTATATCAATTTATTCTTTACCGCAGCTGTCAGACATTTGTTCTGTTTTGATTAAATTTCCATTATTCTCTATTTTATTGTTACGCTACTGATCTCAAGCATCTCTGGAGTAACCTTCATAGGACCAGGAAGCTTTATTTACCAAATAATCTTAATATTAAGGGTTGTTCCCCACTCAATCGACACTTTTTATTTTGTCCGATTATTTTTTTTCTTCCTTGTCTTCTAGAACTCGTTTTCAAAGCTACAAAACTCACTGCTGAATCTTTGATGTACGAAATGTATATACAATGCAGTTTAATTCTTTGTTCTACATATACTGATTCTCTTATCATTATTGCATTGAAAGGTCCTCCTAACATTTGTGTCTTTCGTAAAGTCAGTTATGATGCATTTTTTATAAATACTCTAAGAAACATACTCTATTACCAAATTCACATATGATATTTAATGGCGTCACTCTTCATAAGGTATAGGTATGAAAAGACATGATTTGTGGTAAAAGATACTTACAAAATGCCTCGTGCAGTATCTCCCTCAAGGGACATTGTACATTGCAATTGATTTTTCTAAGATTTGGGCCAGCTACAGTCCCTACCATCGAGATCTGTTCAATACACGCCATGTAGTGGTTAACTTTAACAAAAGAGACGTAATTGGGAAGGCTGCTCCCAATGATATATTTACGGATTGATCATAGGTAAAAAGTTAGTAATATATAACTGTTTTGATACACTCAACCATATGTAGCCTATGAAGAGGACAAGATATCATACATATTACACTCTATCGTAAAGTGGAATTTATCCCGTATAGAGTTACTTAAATTTGAGGATTGTACAAAAGACTCACACGGCAATATCATTTTTCAACATATATTCTAAATTAGATACGGTAGATCCGAAAATAAAATCACACTGCATTATAAAGTGACTTCGGCTTCATCAGTGTGCTGCTAAGGACAATAATAACTTTTAATTAGGAAGCAACAGAGGAAAAATCAGATTGATTGAAATATATTTGAGCATGATTAATATGTCCGGTTCTGCCGATTTCCACATACAATTATACATTAAATTCTGTCATAAAAGTCTTTTATAAGAAACATCTTTCCACAAATTTAATCAAATACTAATCCATGACCATTTTCGAAATTCTAGAATCCCTCGATTTTTTTCAGTTTTGATGACCAGACTTGGACTTCAGTGATAAGTCTATCATCATCATGTGTGTTAATTTTATAACAATTAGGATAATGCTTCCATCCAAAATCACGTTTGAGTCTTAACTTGCTAACTCGACGAGAAGCACCTTAAACGTTTCTACATGCTCTCTGTAATATAACAGATTTAAACCCCATATTTCACATTCAGTTAAAAAGTGGTTCAATCAAAGATTTGTACCGTTTGGTATATTTACATCAACACTACTACCATGTCAGTATATAAAATAACCAGAAAGATGTATGATTTAAGACACAAAAAATGTCAACATCGCGTTATCATGGCGATGTTGATATTGTTGCAGTGAAAAGCTTGCCGTCAAAATATATAAAGTTGGTCTATTTAATTAAAATTTCGATTATCGATTTATCTTACCTTAAAATCATAAGTAAAAACATGCAAAATAACCATGTAGTGCGTAATATGATGTTTGCTCCCAAAGCGTTGGCATTTATAACGACCATGAAATGACAAATGAAGACGGTAAATGCACTTCATAAAATACTTGCCAGTATTTACAATCAAATCATCCTTAGTAAATTAAGTGTCAAAAATAGTTAAGGAAGTATTTCTGAGATGCCTATTTCTTGTGCTATTTCAAGATAAGTGCAATATCGTCAGTATTCAATACTATGTAGATGAAGTATGATTCGTCAGTGTTATTCCACTTTTAAAATTATTTATATCCATCGCCAAATCACTGATATGCTTTGAAAATATTATTATTGGCATTGCAACGTTGTTGATCTAGATGGTCTTACCCCGCATTTCGGATAGAGTTACTAATGCCTGTAGTCCAATCATCCGGAACTTTAGCATAATAATCAATTAACGAATAAAATTTAAAGGTATTTTTATCATATGATTATGCTTTTTACTCCACTATTATTCATGTCTGACATTTGAAAGAAAAATTTAACAGTAAACGAAATGTTGTATGAAAATCATTTATAGAATTAGAATACATACCGGTAGCTGTTTTTTATGTCTAGAAAGTAGTCAAGAATCATATTGACGTTCACGATTGTTTACAATCTGAGATATGATGTTGATGTGAAACGTAATATCTATGTTTACATTGACAAATAAGATGTCAGTACACACTATGTATGGATTTTAGTGTTTCATGTTCATCTTATCATTCTGTACTTGTTGATGTAATATTCAATGTATATGTCGACCTGCGAAGAAGTAATCAAATGTGTTTTGAGACCGTATAGATAAGATAGATTGAGTGTAATTATCTAAATTTAGATACCCATTAGGAAAGAGTGGAATTAAATATATTATACTTGTGTTTGCGTTTTTTCATTATTTTTCAATGTTGATGAAACATTCTAAACGAAAAATGAATTTGGTCGTCCTGTGTACCGCATATATGAATTGCGAAGAATTGTAAACTGCATTAAAGGACCTAAAACTGGAAAATATGTTATTTTTGTTTTTGTGAAGCACTATGATGGTTGGTTAACTCTGTTGTCCGCTTTTAGAATTTCGCAACTTGGTGTTGGAAATATGAAGCTGTGCAACATCATCAACTTTGGCTTTGTTTCGTACAAGTAAAATGCTTGATTTTGATTTTATTGCTGTTGTGCATGTAAACTAAATATGATACAAAAACAGATTAAAGGGATAATCAGTTCTTCCTAGATACTCACAAAATTTAAAGCTTTATCTTCGCGTAAAATGTTCCAAATCAGAAAACGGTATTTGAAAGTCAAGCTGGTTTTGGATCAACTAGGAATTGATAGCCATGCAATGTTAAAACAACCTGACAGGGACATGGTGATGTAGAAGACAATACTTGGCAAGATGTTAATTATTTGTTGTCTATTGACAAACAATGGCGAATGGCACAAACAAACTAAACGTCAAACTGAGCTTCTTGGCAAGTCGTGTATATATTTCTTTTAGCGAAAAAGCAACATTTATTTTATGTGAATCAAGTCATATGCTGCAGAACATTAAAATTTTCAATAGACAATTCTTATGTGATAAAACTTTTATTAGATCAGTGTGTCATACCGATGGTCCTCACTTTTAAAAAAGATGAAAAGGAAAATGAAATATTCTCAAATTATGGTCACAATATACATATGTCTGTAAACGTGCTAGATAATGATACAATCAAATTTTGTGATCTCCTAATGGAATGAAAAGAATGCTTACACCTGTGGTTATGTTATATCACGCTCTGGCGATCTTTACCAGAATGTCGGGCACATCGTCGTCATTTTCATCTGTAGAAACGTACATATATTAAGTGAGGCTAAAACTAGTATTGACGAATTGGATGATCCCATCAGGATACGTCTCTCCCCAAGCTGTATTGAATTTTATGATATATTGAAACCATGATAAGAGAATGGATCAGAGCAAAATTCTTTATGATTATTTACAATACTCTTTTTTCTATTCCCCTTATGACGTCACTTCCGGTCCATGACAAAGTTATTCATTACTGACAAGCATTATCAAAACAGGCGAAACTAGTGATTTCAGATACAAATTTTAGAATACACGATTTATTGGGCCATGAACGGAGATACCTTTTTAAACATTTTTTTTCACTCAGATTGACCTGCAAGTTAATTAAATGATAAAAAGCAAAAATAAATGTATATGTATATCCTGTTATAGTGGTATTCCTCTTATCAGTCCAAATTCATTCTTGATAGATAATTAAACGATATTCAGTAGATATGAATAGATAATAAGCACTTTTTTCACCGATATTCATTAACGACATATTGATAGCCAAAACTCTTTTCCACGGTAAGCTGTCCTAATCGATTACTTAAACATGACTGATATTAATATTGCATTACATCGATAATTACAAAACGTGTTTCTTTTGATAGAAAATGTTCATATCATTCAAGAATTCTGAGTCATATTAACCACAAGCAATTGAACTATAGACTTCTGTCAAGTTACTTAATGCATTCCCATAAAAAGGACAAGGAAATCCTGATTGATTTCCCATTAATATCTACATCGATTATTGCGTGCTTTCTATGATGTAATTCTGCTCCATTCAGAACGTGCTTGTATGATGTTAGGGAGGTATCACTCACACAGCTACTGTGAATGTGGGTTTTTCCACTTATTTATTTGTTACTAGTTTTGACTACACTGCATTGTTTATTTTGGAAAACGAACAGTAAATACACGGCAGTGTTTTGTAATTGCTATTTGAAATGTGTTAATTAAATGTTAAACATTCTGTTAAAATAATTTGGGATGGGTGTCGTTTTATGCTTATAATTCTATTTCATGAATCAGAAGCCTTAAACTATGGTTGCTGTTATCAATGCCCAAAAAAATGAATTGATAAAAGCGTTGAAGAACTGTGAAATAGTCTTTTATTTATGTCAACATTAAGAGTATTTTTTTGAAATTTTCAATACGTTATTGACTATACTTACTAACAAATACATACCAACAACAACATAAAAACGGATGCAGAAATGAAACATTGATGTCCGCTTGTGACAAACGTCACGAGCCGAAGTACGCTTTGTACCCGCATGGATTCTAGGGGATCATATTTATATACAACGTCTTTGGGATTTCCGTTTGTTCACCGTTTCGGTATCCAATGATCTCATGTCGATGGTTCCTCAAGAGAATTTGTTAACTTGTCCTAAATAATGACGAGCGCAAAACAATAAAGACAGCAGATGAATCGTAAATCTCGGTTGCCCTTACATTATAAAAAAAATAAATAAATAAAAAGAGAGAGAATAACGCCCTATGATATCAGAACAGATTTAAGTTGAGGACAGGACAGTCATTATGTTTTTGTTCTTGCTCCTCTGTATGCCGAGATTTTCCTTCGAATGCGACTATCCAAGCCCTGAAACAAAAACAACAGAACGATCTAAATCCCACTGTGGTTGCCAGGTTTCACTTTTAAATTAAAAACATGGTATATATGTGGAATTTCTTCGTCTCCTATCAATCGTTTCTTTTATAAAACATGTGGCATAAAGGTTTTACAGTGGTTTATTAAGACATTTCTTATTCGGTTGATTTTTCAACGAGATAACTACAAAACGTTGACATTATGGCCACCTTGTTCAGCTTGATAATAGTGCTACCTCTTTGTCACCGTAAGTAAAACTTCTGAAATCATCTTCCGTTACATCTTTTCATTCAGACTGTGATGGAAATTCATTGTTGTTCTAAAGCATTGGACCTTCACGAGATATTGCTTATTTTTTACACATTGAAATCATTAAGTATTTGTCGAACAACGTATTGGCACTTAATCTTTATCTATGTAACATCATGCTTTGATACGGCAATTTCAAAATGGATACTCATTGCAAGTTGATATTGCTTTAATTTATCTCCAAACAAAACCTCTCTTGTGCCTCTGCAAATAAGTATGTTCTAGACAATAGCGTTATACCCGTAAATAATTTGATGTCACAATAGACAGCCCGTTTTGTCAAGACCAGATCGATATTGCCTTGTTTCCGCGCCTTAGTGTGCTATTATAGTTATCAACTGACATGTTCTTAAATTCATTATCTTTTCAATAATCTACTTAAATGTAGACAATAATTGTCATTAAGACCACGGCAGACCAATTCCCATGCCTGTTGAAGGTTTAAGTGCAGTATCCTTTCAGTCAATTCCAAGGTTATATTGTCATCAAATCGTTATAAAAAGTTTAACCAATCGTTTGTTGGCATGGACGCCACGTGACTATCTTTTATGACGTCATTCATTATATGAGTCATGCTGTTATCGTGATTGGCGATGATTAGGCTTTCTTAATAAGCAATTTAACACGAAGTCAAAACATCGGACAAATTTCTTAGATAAAAGGTATGCTTATGAATATATGTATATGCTACGCAAATCAAATAGAGGATCATGAGTTTGCATTCATAAACGATTTATGAAACGAGTCCATATTACCAAGACTGTTTGATAAGCCTCATCTTAAATGGAAACAAATGTTTTAATGTTTTATCACATGGTTTACATAATTTTGCAAGCATTAGAAAAAACGGTATTTTATTAGACTGAAACAAAGCCTAAACTGATGAAATTAGATTATGCCGTCACAATGGAAAACTGAATTTTTCAGTCATAATATATATATATCTTAATATTGAAATATAACAATGAAATATGAATAAAAATATGACATTTAAGTAAAGCCGTCTGATAAGACATTAACACACTGACTTGGCATTAAACAATATCCACACAAATTAATTGTAAAAGACAACTTTTACACTTTACACCAACAACTCTTCAAAGTAACCAGAAGTTGTAATGTTATATATTTTTAAAAATAACCAATTTCTTATTGTTTTTATACTAATGCTATGCCACATACTGAAGCTGTTGGTTTATAAAAATTGTGTTAGACCAAACCTTGGCCACCATTATATAGAAACATATTGATTCAACGATAAAACGATTTACGTATTAGTGCATTCTTACTGTCTATAAAGGTCTATCAAGCAAACAAAGAAGTGACTTGTACACACAGGTTATATTTATATAAATGTTCAATTACTATGCATTATATTGTACAGGGAATCATAAAACACAACCTTTATAGACAGGTGGCCTTTCTATAAAGGTGGCCTTGAAGACAGGTTTGACATTTTGTTATAATGACGTTGTGCAGCTTACATGATAGTTCACTGTATATACAAATGTATTAATAAATTCACATACGAGGGGAAATATGTACACTTACCTTAACCTATCTTAACGCATACAACTACATAACATAACAACTATGTAAGTAATTCCACAATGACATAAGTATAGCTTTGTTAAGTATACAGGGAGTGGTTTGGAACTCGGCCTCGGTTTGAGTTAAAAGGGGTGACAGTATTTTATCCTGCCACATAACGTGCTATTCTGGGATAAGAGCTTTGATGACGAGTGAATAAAAATAAAGGTGTATTTTGTTACCCCACATTTTCTAATATGTTGTGCACTTTTGATTGAATAATCAGTTTATATTTCCGTGTCTTGATATTACTGTGCACGAGGAAACATTCAATCCGGTAAGATATCACATATCTTTAAGAAAAATTACAACCTCGGTAATTTATCAATTATTCTTCTAAGCCGGATTTCCGGGCCCACGTCCTGTGTAGTTAATCTGTTGAACGCTACATATATTCTTAATACAGAGGTAATGTGTACGATAATCATGTAGCTTTCTGAAATATACACTTTTCATGTGAAATAATTGTGATTCTTATCAATACGATAACACTGTGTTATTACCTGCAATACTTCATTCTCGTCCACAGACACGTAAATCCAAGTGAAAAGTTTTTTAGAGGTTATCATCTTTACTGTGTATTTTAACGAGTTTATGCCATCAACTTGTGATGTTACGTTATTCCTCGAGTATAAAATATCAAACCTGGAAAAAAAACAAGGTATTAATACATATATATAAGATACCGGTATGCTGCATTTTGAAGTTAATCTAATTATCGAAGTTCGTCAGAATATAACCTCTGTAAAGGATATACTTCAGGACCGATACATTTATTACATCATTGAGTTTATTCAATATACAGCAGCATCAAAATAAAAATTTATATTAACAACAAGGATTTCAAATATAAGTACTTGGCATTTGTGTGAATTTGTCTCATTAGAGTACTTATTGAATTCTGGTCATCTAGGCAGTTAATCACGAAATTGACGAATATTAGTTACACTAAATTAAATGGCTTTTAGCATATCTGTATATTGCATACAGCTAAAGTATAATTATAACAAGTACTCATAATGTGTAACACACAAACAAAATGCATGGTAATATTTGTCAATGTCAGAATATGATAGATGATGACGTTATGCCAAAAGCAATGCAAACATACCTGTAATGAACCTCTGGGTCTCGTGTATGTTTTAATGTGGACATAAATCCAACTGTTGTTTTGTTGTCTGGGCGCTCTATTTCCATTTTTTCTCTCTGTATTCTTGCAACGTAAAACATTAGATACAAGACACATCATGACATCCTTAGAATCAGTGTTTAATTGTCAGTTTCAGTATACGTGATACAATACAAAAACACGGTGAAGTATTTATTTATATTTCTAAGAGCTTTTTACTTCTTACTTTTTATCTAAGAAATCACTACTCTCGATCTTCAAACAAATAATAGAAACAAAGTAAAACAAATCAAAATCATCCTTGAGACAAGGCACATGATTTCTTTGGAACTACTCATAAAATATATAAATTGAACGCTTTTGTCTATGTTACGACTCATTTAATTAGTGAATCAATTATATGGCACTAGTAATATTGAACAAATCGCAATTGTGACTGAACAGGCAGGTAGACAGCAGTTGATATTTAACTGATCTAGCACCTAATGCACACGACGAAAAGTTTGATCCAACAACCAAGGTATTTGATTGAAGTTTCACAGAACACATTTTTATCACAATGAGATAGAAATTCGAATTTGTAGACAAGTCATTTCCTAATTGATTTGTACTGTCATAAGCATGCATTGTTATGAACTCGTTAAAAGGATTACCTGTAATAGATATCATCATCCTCAGCACCCCAGTCAAAATAAAAGTTGGAGTAGCCATTCACCTTTCTAAATTGTTGTGGAGTGAATGCTATGATTCCACCGACCAATATAGAATATTTTAACCTGAAACATGCATGTTTATGTCGGTTATATTCAACTTCACTTCTCTGTTATATCTATTTAGGAATATGTTATGTTCAGTAAATGATTGTTATTGAATTTTTTTTCAATTCATAAGAACGGAACATTTTTTTCGGATTCAATTTATATTTATTTATTATTATTATTTTTTTTTTTTATTTTTTTTTTTTTTTTCATTTTTCAGCTATCAATACTTTACTTGGTCATATCTTTCATCATCTTAACACATCACGTTGAATTAAAATAAAACAACAATGAAATTGAGTTATTCGGATATATATATCATGTAATATTCTCCCATGTATGTGTATATCATATATGATAAACCTATAGACAGAACTTTTTGTTTTAAAACGACAAGGCTACTTTACATATTTTATATGTATATTAGATAACTGTTAATTTCGATGTTAAATAAATTTAAGTAATATTTATCTATTTATTATCTATTTGATACATGTGGCAAAGGGTGGCGTTTTGACTGAGACTTAATGAAGCTATGCTATTTTATTCAATAAACGCACTAAGAGATCGATAACTTCCTGAGCACCGAAGTCCATGTACGTATAAACATACTTGTAATTGAAAACATCGACCCCCGTCACCAGGTGGCGTATCTTATTATCATTTCCACACTTGAATATGTTTCTGTCATCTTCAAAGATAGAATCGACATCATTGAAGATGAAGCAATCATAATCAGCTATTTTACTGGCCTCGGCAAATCCAACATTCCGCATCATTCCTCGATTGAAATGAGATCCTGGAGCCTATACATTAACAAAGATACTTTGATTACTTATAAAATGGTTTCGTTAATATCGCGAAACTATGTTGATACTAATACAGTAGTTACAAAGTTTACACAAAGAACCGTAAAATATATATATGATAAGGAATGTTGAACAAGGCAATTTCTCTTTTGATATTCTTGATTCTAATAAATGAATAAATAAATGATACATCAAAAATTGTATATTTTCATTATAAACGCATGAGTAATCCACATATAAAGACATGACATACCTGCATGCTCTTGAACACTTTCTAAATCTAAATTCTTCTCTGTAATTCTCCTTTCTAGTATACCTAATTATAACTATAATTAGATTTCCAGTTAATGTCAGAACCAACACTAAGCTATGTCCATTTTGAAGAATTCAAAATTTTCAACAGAGGTCATTCTGATTTTGGAGAAGATGATATAGCACACAACAATATCCCGATATACGATATGTTTATAATATATAAGAAGTTAAAGAATACACATAATTGAAATTATGCTATACCAACACCATTTTTATAGTTTTAAGATAAGTAATTATATATCAATGTGATCGGCTAAAAATAAAATCACCTGTTCAACAACATAGATCGTGAAATCTACATTTTGTCTTATGAGCTTCGGTATAACATTGAAAAGGTAAATCTTTAGATGAGTTTCTCGATCTCTAAAAGGTAAGATAATAGCTATCTTAGACTTTGATCTGCACCCAGTAGGCTTAAAACGTCCACCAACATGGCTACTGGGAAAAATGGATTCCAGTGAAGTTAAAGATTGTGACGTCATTGTAAGAGTTTCACGTCCTTCTGAAATAATACAGAAAAAGTTTTCAAGATTTATAACCAATGTTAACGTATAAATATAATTATGAAAGTACGTATATATTCAAAAGTCTTAAAGGATTGCTTTTACAAACTTACATTGTAATTTGAAATATGTTAAATAAAGTAGCATTTTATCTGAGTGTGTGGTATGAGAATATTTTCTCATAAATATCAACATTGGAAATGAAATGAAAATCAATTGAACAATTGGAAGAATTGGAATAATGAGAAACAGAACGACATGACATAGTGCTTTATAAACTGCCTCTTTATCTATGTAAACCTAAAGTCAAGGCAAAATGCCTTGTATTAAATCGTTTTCTAAAATACGATTTAAAATATTGAGTGTGTCACCTGAAAAAAATTGCATTATCAATGCAATGAGTTTGGATCACGATATACAGTGAAGTTGTTTTTTTCATATGACATTAATATCATGTTCTCATGACCGCTTTATGTAATCTACATTCATTTGGAAACATGAGTTTACATCACAGCATCATGACAGCTTTTTCCAGTGTGGCTCTCGATGAATGGATAAAACATTCACATTCCTGACATCACATATTGTGCTTTAAAAAAAGATTATATATTCATGAATTGAAGTGAAGGAACTGCAATTGACAATGAAAACATATACATGTAACTGATAACTGAAAAAGGGATGCTGCTGTCAGAATGTCACACATACTTTTCAGTTAAGTTCGGACATCAAAGGTCATATGCTCATTAGTGTTATATGACACTCTGATATATGCCGGTGGAGTGTACCATACCGAAAATGTAAGGACTTTGGGGTCATAGGAGCTCTATGTGTGAATGTTGAAGGGTTAGCAACTATAATTATAGAAAAAAATGGGCTTATGGTGGTCGTGAAAAAGATTATCGCTGACCTTTTGTGGTTTCAAATTCTAATAGCGTTAACTGACTCTGAAAATTCGGTTTTAGTAGTTCTGATAGGACATCCACCAGGCATTTGTTATAGATTATCTAGAGTACACGACTTATCTATTAAATGGATTAAATGGTATTTTCTTTTAATTTAAATTATTTTATTAATATCATTATCATTTTTATGTTTTGTAACAGTAGCTAGTTTAATTCTTTCAATCGAAAACAGTGTTAGCTTATCTCTTATATGTTTTAGATATTTAGTCTCAATTGAAATGTAGAAATAAAGGGTTCTTCCTTTCAAATTTTCAATGAGCCTAATGAGGAAGGACGGAAGAAGGGTGGTGGTGGGGGAAAGAGAGTTGGGGGAGTGGGGTAAAATCCCATAAAACAATGAATTGAGAGAATACTTGACCTCTTAAATTATTATTATTATTTGGTATGATACTTCCAAGCTTTGCCTCTAAAGATTTATGTTTACATTAAGGTTCAGACAGGTGGTTTTTAGTGCGGTTAAATTTGAGTTGAAATATTGAGACCATTTAAAATAATACGATCAGGTGTTCCGGAAGAGAAATCGTTTTATGCTTCATTCCCTTGGCGCACCCTTCTTTTGATAACTTCGAAATTGATCGAGGGAGCACCGTGTTATTATGAAATCTGGTTATGAAATGAAGACCTGACTCCCTTAAATATGTCCTCGCATCATACCTGTAACTCCAACTCAAGAATCATGGCGCAAGTTGCAAGTAACATACCGCGATGCCCTTATGTGACCCGGAGCTAACACAGACTCGTCTGGAAGCTCGCACGCCGGGAAAACGGAGCATACGCTAATACAAAGCAGTTACCACGCGTCCAGCACGCTAGATCTACGCAAAACTCACCGAAAATATCCTGCATGTTGCAAAATTTCCAAACACAACAAAACCGTGTAGCATGCCGAAATGGTGTGAGTGTGCATTAGTCCTTCCCCTTCGCCTTCCCCCACTACAAATCCGAATATTTTAAAATTTACATCAAATTATACTTTTTAAATTGCATACTATGACAGAGTTAGTGAAGAGTAGCACCCACCTCTTCTTAGTAAACACAAGGATGTTTACGTCGATCGAGCGGGGCTTCGCGAAATACTTTCTTACTTTTTTACCATCAACTCCAATCAGAGTTTCCCTTCAATAAATATATTTCATGAATAGCAATAAATCTGCCGAACGGGAAAGGTGATGGACACTTACACAAATATACGGGAATAAATACTTTTGTACTTTTGTATTCAATTGATCGATGTGTAATTAATATGGGGACAATATTATAGCTGTCACCTTATAAAGAGTGTTGCACATTGAGCTGTTTGCACATTCGACAATGTATAGACGACAGGTTGTCACAACTACGTATTTATGATACCGTATATCGGGATATTTTTGCGCAGTGCAACATCCCAAAAAAGTATGTTTTGTAATTTTGGCCTTTTTGAAATTTTTGGATTTCAGCGTCTCAAAAATTTGGAAGGCCTCTCTTGAAGACTTGAAGTACTTCATATTGATCATAGCTTACATTAGCGTAGAATTTACATTAAATGGAGATCTAACTGACCAGCCATACCACAGAAAGGATTGATATACCGACTGTATGTATTCATTATAGAAGTATTCATGACTAGAAAGTGTTCAGTTACATGAAGACACGTCACCCCTATAGATGTATTACTCACGCCACTACAGTTAAACACGTAAATTTTGCAATTTTTAGTTTTTGCGATTTTGAAAGGGTCGCTAAATCCGCAAAAATCCCATATACAGTATATCTACACCTTCACCGGTTGGTTTTTTGCTGGGTTTATGGAGTTTTAGTACATTAATTTTTGGGCGTGCTCTCTGCACATCGCAATTTCACCTGAAGATAAGAAGGCCTGCGCTATGAGCTATATCGGCCCCTTACATTAGAGCACATTTTCTATACTTGTAATAAGACCAAGCTTGTGATTAGCTGAAGGTTTCTATTGTTTCCATTGTGGCGTCAAAATAATTTGAAAAAATGAAAGAAAGATATATCAGAGTGAGTGTATCATCATTTAAATTTTTTTTTTTTCAAAAAGTATCTTAATTTTGTGATGAACAGAATGGAATATGAGTTTTAACTCCGTGTAAGACTTATGAAACTCGCTATGAATTTCAATAAGGTTGGATGGAAGCACATGTAAGAACCTTTATATATAACATCAGATATCTCATATACTATTTAAGATATATTATATGTCTAAATAAGATATGCCCTGTACCAATCAAGATATACCACATAAGATAACACATGATATATAGTATAATTTAATGAAATATTTTATATGTATCTCATATATAAAACATCTTATTTACTTCAAAAGATTACTGATAGTTAATGTGAGATATATATGTAAATATATGATATCTTATATCATATATGGGCTATCTTATATAATTGAAATCTCGTTTTTGTAAGCATTTATTAGACCGCTTAGGGATATGTGCTCGATGGCGAAAAAGAAAATGCTTAAGTTATAATTCTTCAGAACGTCTTATCGTATATAGAACAATAGATTACCACGACACGTTCAACTACATATCTACCTTGTGAGAGTGGTCGAGTTATTTGATACTTATAGTATTCGATATATTCTATAAGACGACGTTTCACTGAATATAAGATAAAGAATATAGATGTAGTATATCATATATCTTATAAATAATTGAGATAATCTTTAAAGCATACAAGATATTTAAATAGCACCTGATGCATTTCTAAAAACGATATCTAGTATACTATATAATATATACATATAAGATATACCAAATGATTTAAATAAGATCTGGATCGTCCCTGTTCCTTGGATTAATGGTAAGTTGGCTTGTCATATTCAACAGTGACTGAAGCTTGGTTACAGACTGTTTATATCATACTCAGCTGTTTTTTCATCGTAGATTTTAAACGATTTTAACACCTCCAGAAGCTATATGAACAAAATTATTGGAAACCTTAATTAGATTTAGCATGTGATTGAGACAACATTATTGTTTAGAAAGCAATCGTGCGACAAGAAAAAATGGATCATAATCGTTTGTTAATTCTCATTTATTTAAAAGTTTTAAAACAGTATCACTGTAGCCATTAGAAATGAAATATGTAAAAATTTTCGAGTTTCAGTGTGAGGAGGTGGATTACATATCTAGCACATTTCTTAGCTTCATTGCCATTGCTCCTGGAGGTTCACGAGGAATTTAAGATTTACAAGATAAAACAGAAAAAATATTCCATTGTCAATATATAACCGTGAACGGAAGAAACAAACAAGATATACCTAATCAATAACGTCATTTTAATGTATAGAAATACATCTTTCTTTGCATCTTTTCTGACAAAGCTATAATAAATATACGAATATATCAAATTTTCCCTCAGGCAGCCTTAAATACGAGACTCGAGTCCACAAACCCGGACTTGCAAATTTACGAAGCATGGTCGCAATTGCATAATCTAAACAATGACCTTGATACGTTATCAATGGTGTCATGAGTGATAATTTTGAAAATCATGCATTATATAAATATCAGACATTATTATCAGACTTAAAGTGCATTCTTTTAATGTTTCACAATCGAGCTAAGGTATTGACTTAATGGCATAAATGTTTAGTATGATACACTGTTATAAATTGCCATTGTCTCGAGCTGCCAGATGTGTCATCACACATATGTGTACATATCTCCATTAACATAATTTCAAGTGTCATTGTGGACATTAGTGTGTCAGAAAAATTCTAGGACGTGAATTTTATCACGTGATTTCCTGTGTTATTTAGCATATATGTGTAATATTTTGTCTTGTTTCAGATGTGTACAAAAACTTATTGTGACGTTGAAATATTGAAATGACGACACACACGCATAGTTAGCATGCAAAGGATATCATAGATATAGAACCGAAATGACTACAGGATTGAAGTTCTGCAATATGTATCTGAATAATTGATCATGTAATAAAAAGCATCTTAGAGTTGTGTCCATTTGAAATATGATTTATGAAACTCGTCACTGTAATTGAAAATTCTTTAGCGTGATAGGTTTTAATTCGGGTATTTTGGTTTCCTTCAAAATAGTCACAGGAGCCGACATTAGTGATAAATAAGGATTGTTTAATAATTTCCTGGTTGTTGTAGAGCTATTTGAAATATTTTAATATATGAACAAGGTGAAACCTCAGTAAAATATTCCTCGTTCTATGTGGCATATCATTGATCTTTTTACTAGTAATATTTATCTGTCGCGTTTGATTCGAAATCCTAGAGCTTCTTTCCTGTAACATATATCCTGTCATTGTCGACAGCTGACTGTAATACAGCTGGTAACGGTTGATAGTCGTAATCATATCATTCAGGGTGTCGTACTTCCTCGTCGAAGTTGCCACTAATGAAAACACTAATACGTGTAGATATGTTATGAATTGTGAAGGTTTCGATTAAGAATATTCAAATTATTTTCCATTAACAACATTTACCTGTTATGATATATGACCCTACGACATATCTATCAATGTAGCTCGGTCTGACAGCAGACCTCAAACATTTTAAGGATTGTTAAATCTGATAGTACTTGATGCGGAAAAACAAAGTTTATTGAGGTTAGAAAATGCCTACTCATAAACTTTAAAGTTTCCTTGGTATTTTAACAACTTCTTCCTTTTATGTCAAAACATGGGTGAAGTAACATGATAATCTGCTGCTATCCTGTTTTCATTGTACTCTTCGCCTGTTGTGTGGATACCTGTCCTTTTAAGTCAACTGACAATTTATAGGCCATACTGTCCCTGTACTATTTTATCTGATGACAGAGACTGGCGCATTGATGTATAGTTCCGTTTTTCATTTGAAAAGATGTTTTTGTTGTCTATTTTTAAATGCTTTCTACTACTTTTTGAGGTTAAGAATTTTAAACATATTATCAACAAGATATTACTACAAAACTAGCCCACGTGCGTTAGACTTCACAAATCCAGTCCCTGGTGATAAACAGTCGTGCGATAGCATAAATGGGGCGATTTACTTACAACATGTGGTTACTGTGAACTCGCTTATCTTTCTTTTGTTCATATTTGCCCTACTTTCATCGACTTTGAGTTTGAATTAAGGTAATATTGGTAATTAAGTTTCGAGATAAAAAATGGCATTTTTGTAAACTAAATTAGCATGGGAAAACAATATCTATTTAAGTATATTAACATACAAGTATACTTTCTATTATATAATCCTTTACTTATATGTATGGCCTAAGAGTTATACTACAATAACATGTCAACTCTGTAGATGTTAAGCAAATCAACTTCCACGTTGTTAAAGCTGTATGATAATGTAGTAGAAAACGGTCACCTATATAATTCTTTCTCTTTTAAAGTATCCTCATCGCCATAGTTCACTGAACACGGTAGTAGGACAATGGAAATTATCGAATACTTAAAGTATTAGTCAGTAAACATAGCGAATATAATTAATATAATCTTATAGTCTTACACGTTTAAATGATGCATACTTACTTAAAGCTGAATAATTAGTATAACAAACAGGCAAGTCCGGCTTGTAACCATCTTGCTTAATCGTTGTCTCAGTGTAGTTCCCTTGTGCTCCATTTTCTCGGTCATTCAAGATGAAACGAGAAACGTTTCCTTTGGAAATCTCAATACCTGTCACATGTTCATGGCTATAATAAAACCCATTCACCACTAAAATAATACCAAATGTCACTAAAATTAGACGGATCCCTCGACGCGGTACAGATGTCTTAGAAGCACTTTTACACATCGCCATGTCATACTCTTAGGTTGACACCATGATGTTGTCACTTCGCTCGCTGTGCTGGACTGACTGTGTCTACCGTACGCCTTGTAACACATTCGCTGGACGACTCTCTGTATTCATTACACTATATAATAAGGTGGCGTTACAGCTACATACGTTCATCATTTTGCGATGACATGCTTAAGTAAATTCAACTATAATTTCAGCTTAATGATTCCAATAAATCGGCATCCTAGCGAGGCTTTTAATGGTCATTAAACTTAATGTTTTTTTTAGTTAAGAAGATAGGCGCGGCGCTTGATATATTGCAAAAACCTAACTATAAGGTAAAAAAGATTTTATAAATCAAATAACGTTGGTTATCCCTCCCGTGATGTTGTAATGTGGAGCATGGCTATTTCCACTACCTATTAGATTACATTGAGTGGTTCTTATCTACACATAAAGTCTAGGTTCGCGAACAGACTATAAATAATAAAGGTAGATGGATTTTAAATTGTATATAAATTCAATATACTGATTTGTCTAACATCAGTCAGGAGTAGTTTGATAGAAAATCTGTAAACAATAGAGTGAGTAGAACAACGAAGGAAAAGGCTAAGTGAAACAGCTTGAATGAATACCATTTGATATGCATGGGATGTGTCACTTCTGTCGACAAGATATTTGCAGATACAAAGATGTACTTACATTTGAAATGCACACCACTCCTATAATTGTGGAATCCTGACAAACTTTGAAGGTAAAAACAATGTTTTTCCCTAGATTTGTAATAATTGGGAAATATATTTCTAATTTATGATTCGAAATTTTACTTACTGTACATATAAACATAAGTCTCATTATACCAGAAGTTTTACTTAATCTACAAGCATTGTCTTGCAGTATTTCCTTATATGCAAGACCGTTAAGAGAACTCTTTAGAATTCCCCTTGAGCACCTAGGAGTTTCTTGATTTCATGTTGTCGGAAAGGCGTTTCTTCATACCTTTCCAATATCAAGCTTATTCGTATTCAACTGCTTGTTCCCAATATCACGATTTTAGTGCATAATGTCAAAAACTGACAAATGCAGATTGATAAATAGTACGGGGGGGTTTCAGGGCGTCACAATGATCTCGATAGGAAATTATAGCTGTTTATCTTGCTCTCATATTAAAACATGACGAGCGTCATTAATAAAGCAAAGGACGCTTTCCCTAATGGAAAAACTGGTCGTTTTCCTCCTCTTGTACTTTGCACTTTTTTCAAGGGTTTACGTGTAATTTTGCCTCTGTTCATATCGTGCCCTAGTTTTAATGAATTTGAGTTTGAATTGATATTCTGTTGACATATCAGCGTCCCCGTCGTTGTTTTTTTGTAATTGTTGTGTTGAAACATACATTGTATGCTTGGAAAGTTACCTATATTTCAAATCATATTTCCATGAACGAGTTACATACTGAAGACAAAGACTGAGTTAGACATACCTGTCGCGGGAACAGAGATAGGGGAAGCGATTGAAAATTTCAAATATGACAAAGCTCAGTCAGAACACTGTTTATTGAGCACTTTATTGCTCCGTTTATCGTTTTTTAATCATAATATATTGTATAAGTAACGCTATTAAGTCAGGTGGTAAGTGTTGTTGTTAGACAGGGGTTAACTAGTGCAGTTAATAATGTTTTAGCACTAAAGTTCAGTTCAAATGCACTTTCTTAATAGAAAAGTTACAATACGATTCAGAGATTTTTTTGAAAGCATTCGATTTTGTCGATAGGGTTACCGTTTGGTATAAGTTGAGTTAAGTGGGTCCAGAAAGGAAATTGTTTTCTTCTAATAAGTTCCGTTACAAATAAATAAAAACAAGTTGTCTTACATGGAATGGTATACCTAGTGGTATTTTATGTAACTGAAGTCGAAGTTATACATTAATAAATCATTTCATAATATGTATTCTCATTTCATAAATACCTGTAAAAGAGTCTATATTTCGTGATTTGAATCTGTTCTTTGAATATCAGTCGACTACCGAGAGTTACTTTCAGAGATAGTTGAAGGTCTTGAATGCCTTCTTCACAACATATAGAGATATACGATTCCTGGGTGTATAGCAATGTCCGCTAACAAAATGTAGGCTGTTTCTGTTCTTTATGGCCTAGTTTTATTACAAGAATTCTTAATTAGGGTTTAATACATGTTGTTAACCAAGAATGCAACGCCCTTTTTCTCGCTGTGTTTGAGGTGTAAAAACATCCATTCTAATTTTGAAATAACAATTACAGATTTTTTTATACTTATATTTGTAATGTACTCTCGTACGGATGTAAGATATAAGGGACCCTCGTAAAAATACAGGAAGGAAGGCAATGTGTAATGAGTTGTTTTGACCTAATTGTTGTAATGTGTAATTACACTTTTACGAGACTTCAGTTTTGGTTCAAATTTCTAAACCATAAGGACTGGTTGTGCTCGCTTCAAAGAAAGAGAGGATAACCTAAATACAACTGAATATGATTTGACAAAGAAAAGAAAAGAAAACAATATGTTTTGTATTGGAAACTTTAAGTAAATGTCACTCTATACAAATTTTGTTGAAAACGCCATACCCAAGCAGCTTCGTCAACTAGGTTTTTCTTTTCATCACACCGTGTGAATGATAGTTACAAGTATAATAAAGAAATCAGCGTCATAATTGCCACATGTAGGAAGTCTTTAATCAGGGAAAATTGATAAAGCACTTTATTAGCAAATGTCTACTTTGGTGGAAAATACGTGTAATTGTTACATTGTAAGTATAGATACTATGAATATATATATATGAAAGAAATGTCATAACATCATGTCCGAATATAAATAATTTCATTATCATCTGCAGTATTTTTATTATTATTATCATCATTTACCAAACTCTTTACATCATACACAATTAGACGTAGTAATGCCTCTGCCGAATAAATGTATATTAAAGATCGTAGAAGACTTAAGGAGGATCGGTAACTAGTGTCTAGGAATTACAATTAATCTGCTTTCAGTCTCTCTATCTACCACCAGCCTTTCTTTTGTACTGAATTGCCCTGCAGCTGCTAATTTTGATACGATGAATTCTCATTCTAAGGAAATCTATCGGTTGTATCAAATACGTGTCAGTGAAATAAGAGTTAGTACGGCTATATATGTACTTGTAACATTCTTTAACAGTGACCTAGCTTTTTCTCCTATAAATTCAGAGATGTTTATCAACTTCCACTCAGAGACCTTAAGAACTCTCTGCTCCATCCACAAGATATTTGTTCCGCACTGGTAGTAATTGTAGTTCTGTCACAAAAAAAAGACTTCATGTTTATGGGCTTATTAGTCATGTGTGAAATTTATTCTCTTCGACAAGCTATATAAAAAATAAGCGCAATTAACCAAAAGTTTTACCAGAAAAGTGAACTTGTAGCCATTCCAATCTAATTACAGTAAGAAGGGCCTCATTACATCATCGTTGCCGTACTCTGCTCGCCATCAGTTGGATAGGAAAGGAAGTGTGATGTCACTTCTCAAATTACTTTTCTCATTTACGTTCCCTATCTTGTTGAAAAGCGTTATTACTTTCTACAAGACAATTATTTGTTTTGGAGGTAATATTTGAGAATACAATGCCATATCTACATATTATCATATCTTTTAGGATTATGTACCTTTCATTTTCTATCCGAAAGTAAAATAGAACCGAAGTTAAAATAGTTAGTAATGCGCCACAAAGCTATAGATGTAATGGTGAACTATTTTCAACGTAAAAATTTAGGTTTGGCGTAGAAAATTGGGTTTCAACGAAATAATGTGTGTTTCAACTTACAAAATTTGGGTTTATTTCGACAGTTATGGTATTCAATATTACAATTGTACTTGTCAGCTCATGTAGAACATCTCGGGTCACGTTGAATGATTTTCCTGATGAAATATCCGTATCCCCTTATGCGTAGGCTATTAACAGAACGAAAACATCGTATCTTTACAAAGTGGTCGTCTTTCCCGTAGTGACATTAGTTGCCAGTTCAACCGCAAACAGCGACCTTTAAGTGGCCGCTTTTTTACCGTGAGAAAGGGTATCAGGTAAATCATTCGGGTTTCAAGTTTCTATGCGACTAACCCACTTACACATACCGATGGGGTAACTATGCCAGATTGATACCATGACCACCGGCCTAAATACTACGCATAAATACCCATTTGCTGTTCAATGTTATATGTAAATATTATGGAAAGGCTCTGGTAGTGTTTCGTAACACCACATATATGATACACATACAGTACGATAGGAAGGCCCTGTTGGCCCTATTTCTGGAGAAGTATCAAATGAATCTTATTTATATTTCATTTGTAGGGACTAATTTGTCACTAGCCGAGCATTGTCCCATTTCTGAACTGATCCGAAAAGCATCATAGCCGACAAGCGGCCATCTTGAATTTTTCACAGCATATTTTTATCGTTATTTCTGGAGAAATACTTCATGGATCATTCTAAAATGTCATGTGAATGGACCCCGTTTTCAGACAAACCCTTAGTCCCTAGTTGTATCCTAAGATTTTGGTACTGATCTTAAATAAATGACCCACAGACGTATATTTCTTCAAGTTTATATATGTATCCCTCTTGGTCCCTTAAAGTGCTTTGTCCCACTATCAGACTGATCTCGAAAAATTACAGCTGACAGATAGGTTCCTCTCCATCCCGAGTTGTACTCATTCAATTTCCAGTCTGGTTAGAAAAAATAAAATGGCCGACAGGGTGCCATCTTGGATTTTGACATTGAAAGTTTGTTTTCGATATTACTCAATAAGTGCTGGATGGATCGTTCTTTGGAACTGTCTGATAGACAACACAAAGACAGGCGACCATTTTTTTTTTTTTTTCTTGAAGATTTATCCTTGATATTTCTTTTGGAGAAATATGCTCAAATAATCAAAAGCAAACAAGAGAGGGAAAGAGCAATGAATGGAAAACGTCCAACTTCTAAAGAAGAATTGAAGACCAAACAATGGTGGGCGCTAATATCCGTCTTGGATCTCTTGTGTTTGTTGGGTTTATCGCCCATTGAACAGCGATGGCCATTTTGAGGCGGAGTCTCTCTTAAGTACCTGGTGGCTACCTAACTGAACAACATACGGGTGTCCCGTCGAATGCCATCCGGAGAAATTTGGGTGAAGAATTTTGCCTAAGGACACATCCAACCACGTCAACACAGACCGGTCCGTTTCTCAACTTCTCGGAAAGCTCAAGATATTTTGTAGTTCTTCAAAATCTATAATCTATTAATTCAAAAGGGCGAAAAGGAATAGAAAGTAAGCCAACACGGATATGAAATGCTGAAATAGGGATAACACAGCAATTTCTGTTTCTTCTGCGTAGCCTGCACAGATGACTTTGATTAATATAAGGCTCGTGTTATTAACCTCCCACAACAATATCTATGTGTGACATCAGAGTCTAATCCTGGTATGACATCAGGTCTTATCCTGGTGTCCCTTGTGCCGCCGAAATAGAGCACGCTGAGGACAGCTTAAGTTAATTCTAAGATTTAGAAAAAAAAATGCGTGTTTAAGGAATACCTGTTTTGATATTTCAGTTTACATCAAACGAGGACATTTTCCCTGCGCCGAACATTGTCTCAAGCTTCGGCGATATTTAACGTGTACCCCAAAGTCGTATAGGGAATTCTTGCTATGTACATCATTGTATGTATATTTCCGGAATATGACTTTACATGTTTGTCATAATTTACTTACTGTCCGATAGGAAGCTGGGCATGTTTGATGCCCGTAGATATGCCTGGTAGTCATCCTGTTCTCATTGGGAAACGTGATTTTACTTTTTTGAATGGCAAAGATTAAAACACATTGTCTTACCCTCCATGTGCGTTCTCATGGCTGACCATGTAAGTATTGTGTTCATATTTTCCCTTAGTTTGAGTTGAGTTGAATTTGAGTTTGAATTGAAGTTCTACTGACAAGTTCATGGTTTGTATGTCTTTATTTTCGTATAGTTGTCATTATATTCACTCATATTTCACACTCTGTAAATTACCACAGTGATACAGTATTATCTGTACTGTTAAGAGACCTGAAAGTAGACTCAACAATTCGTGAATTTGCAAGTGACGTTTCCATTTGCTTCCTGGTAAAGACCCTGGCCTTGGTCACCAAGTGTGACACTATTGGTTTTCGATAGGAAATAAATCTATTGAAGAATTCAGGAAATATCGTGTACAGGAAGTTATGTCTTACAGAGGCTATTATATTTAGAAAGGTATTTCATCATTGTGTGTTTTTATTTCGGTTTTCATTTTGAAAATTTTTGAAAACATTTGTAATACAGAAATGAATGGAACTATTTTTCTTACAGGAACATTTACTATTGGTTTTCCTAACCCCAGCATTTGAAAACATTACAGTTTGGGCACATGCTCTTACAACAAAGCTTTATAGTTGAGGTTCTTCCTATTTTTTGAGTTTTAAAACTACCTGTTCGGAGTAATAATAGGACTACTTTTATACAAGATTAGCGCTGTCTTTCTAGATTTAGTAGCGGTATCAAAATTATTCATTCAGCAAAATATTGATAGTATATACCTCTCGCATGTGATAAAGATGGTCTTTCATAATCTCGAAATATTTCTGTATAAAGAACCTCATCGAATTTCAGAATCAGCAATTAGGGCAATTGTTATTAATTTTCCATCCAATAGCATAATAAAAATGAAAAAAATACTACTCGCCCAAAACGACTGGAAAAAATTACACCCGGAGATCGTCAAGATCTTTTCATTACTGTTCCGAGAGTTGGACTGAACTTAATATCGATAAATCCAAATGCAGGTAAGTCATGCGAGAAGGAAATCTTTATAAAACCAGGAATCATGTGAGAATTGTTCTCTTCACTCTTGTGACTTTAAGGTCAACCTCTAAGAGCAACGGGATGACCTGTTTACCTATCTACAGTTGTATATTACTTTGCCAATATTTCAAACTAAATCAGTTTCGAGTAAGAGGACATTGAATGGATTATTTTGATATTTCGATCTTTAAAGAAACATGTATAATGCAATATAATCCATTCTCTCTATCGCTTTCCAGATTTAAAAATTTAGGCCCTTAGCATCACCAACGAGTCCTAGAAGGACAAAACAAAATGTAAAATACTTTTTACTTCATTATTTGGCTCTACTGTATCAAATCCTAAATTTGCATCGAAAATTTTTATTCACTCATCTGTTTTTGTACAATCGTTGTTAATATATATAGAACATCACATTTGAGAAATATTTCAGAAAGATTTATATGAACAAGACAAAGTAACTGATTTATCACAAATATCTTCACGTCTGACTGCTGTTATTCATGAAGGATATTTATTCAAATAAGCAAGGTTGTAGTTAACATTGGTATGCAGGACATGTGTCAATGCATTCGCTCATTTAAAATAAAAAAAGGTTACTCTTCCGGAACACCGTGTTTTATTCTTCTTGTACTTTTTCTGAAATGTCCATGTTAACTTTTCTTACGTTCAAATTTTGCCCTAGTTTGATGGAATTGGAGTTTGGATTATGAATATGTTCACTTGTTGGTATTTTATTGGTTTTTAGTTAAACCTCATAGCTGAACACGAACATGAACTCGAACTGGGTAAAATAAAGACAGCTTAATAAGGTATTGTGGGACACAATTTATTTGCATAGGCAAACCTTGCTGTGTATTAGTGAAAGATGACATCAGATCTACCACTGATACACACAACAATATTATCCACCACATTCATGTGCATATCCAATCCTTCACAATATTAATGGACGTTAGTTCGAAAATTATCTAAACTAACAGAAAAAAATATTGCAATATAATGCAATACTTCAACATTTCTTTCACAAGAAAAATGGTAATTATTTTAGTAATATATAAATCAGTGAAAATATGAAAGAAGAAATCAAGTTTATCTAACAATTCTTGTTCTTCACAACAAAATGAATTCCACACAATAATGTTTGTTTTATTTTTATATCATGAAAAAATGAATAAGTGTGGTTTGATATTGATAAAAAAAAATTCTTCGGTGAGTTTTTCGGAATTAAAGTATAGTCAGCAGGAAGTAATGTTCAATTTCGCAACTAAAATATTGTGAAACAAATTGTCTATTTAACACATATACCAACAGGTATTGTTGTATACATTTTGGAATGGAAAAAACATAATAAGCAAACATCACTTAGGATTCCTTAGGAAACCTTGCAGACAATAAAATCATACTTTAAAGCTTCTTCAATTTAATAAAGCCATCTTTCTTTTTTTTCCTTTTCACACAATTATAAAATTTACAAACTATACCATCCAGTACTTTCTTTACGCAATCAACACTTATTTACATACATTACATACAGCACATCAATATTCTAGTTTCACCGCACAAAGTACATATTTATAAAATTGGTCACAATCTATCTTAATTGATCAACATCACATTTCTTTTTCCATTCACATCCAACTCCACTTTTACAAAATGGTGGTATCCTTTGTTAACACAATGCATAAATTCTCCAATTGTTTATAACTTTCAGAATTCTAAAGCATCAGTTTTGACAGAAACTGCCATTTTCCTCTTGAGAATTCTGTCATATAACTTTTCATGGATATATTGAGCGGGATTAATGTACTTTTCAAATACCACTTTAATCAGAAAACTGTCAATATTATGTAAATACCCAGTCTGTGATAATACCTTTCTGTGTACATTGTACTTGTAACAAGAAAACTGAACAATTTTATTGAAATCATCCACTTTAAAGATTTTTTTTTCTTTTTTTTCTCAAAAACATGTACAAACGTAAAAAAAATTAAGGGGTTTTCATTGATCGAAGATCCTGGATATCATCTACAGCTAGCTTCATTTATTCCAGTATGTTAGTATACTAAACAGACCCGTGGAATCGATGATAAAATATTTTTCTATTCAAAACTAACGATAAAATGAGGGGAATAATGTTAGCATTATTTGAGAAAGAAGAAAACTTTGAGGTAATTAATGGCATTTGACAAAAGTTATCTATGATTGACTATGAAATCAAGAATGATTTGCAAAATTAAATGTACTTTATCCTTATTACTGTAAATAACACAATATAGAGATATACCTATATGACATATTAGTTTTTTTCATATCAAGTTTATCTGAATTACATTCAGTTACAGAAAAGCAAATTGTTTTAAAAGAAAGCAACTTTGAATAAATATCTTCTCATTTTAAAAAAATCTGTACTGTCTCTCACCTACTCAGTACAATAACATAAGCAAGCATAGAGTTTAAATGCACAACAGGCAAAGGATATCACCTAGTGTTGGATCAACAGACACTTAGAAATGTATTATGTTTGAGTAACAGAATTTAGAAAGTGTTACTGATGTAGAGGAATGACATGTCTACCTCAATCGCCTGTCTGATAAGAAATCTGAGACAGGATTGATGTAGCAATTTTTTGTTGTCAATGTTAAGACAATTTTTCACAGGTCTACGCCTCCAAATACTAAAACAGGGTCTCAAACAAAATGTACCATTATATGTTGTCATGATAATGTAGTGCGATATATAAATATATATAGTCCACTGATTCTTAAGATAAAACCAACAATCAAAACCATCCTTCCAGAAAACTCTCGACAAAATTACTGTAAATCACTAACATTTCATGAATATTTTATTTTGCGAACTCACCTCTACGGACTAATTCATGAATACATGATTTCGCAAACTCTGATCCAGGAATGACTTTGAATTCGGGAATGATGAGCTGTTAGAGATACAGACTCTGGACAGCTCCAATATCAGCAAGCGATAGCTTCATACTGTTCGCCATTTTCTTTATAAGTGTCCTTAAAGAGTGATCTAGTCATGTCATACATTGTGTGTCCCTACTAAATTGTATTAACCTGAACACAGGCTAATACATGAACAAAAAAATCCCTATAAATACTCGTATACTTTCATGTTTGTGAAGTGAGTTGTTTTCAAGGTAAGATGACAGGATTTCAGTTTACCAGATGTAGTGTTTAACCATATACATAGTCACATGCTTAAACTAATTCTACAGTAGTCATAACTGTGGAATCATCTTTAATAATTTTCCTGCTGTTTATTTTGTGATTTAATAAAACAGGTCTTTTGCATGTTATCAACTCTGTTGTAAATATTTTAGCACCTTTCAAACAAAAAAATGGTATCTGACATCAATTGTGGCATACAAGCTTGACCCCTGACCCACAGCTGTACATTTCAATCATTTTGTGAAGTTCTAAAGAGCATAATATGGGGATGTTGTTAAATGCGAGGAGTTCTTAAAATGTTCGAATTTGAAAGTAACATATGTCTAGCAGATTTGTTTGTAATAATATTATTAGGTATATATAAATTCAATGGAAATGTGAACTGAGGCAAAATAAAGTTAAAGAATAATAAGGATGTCGTCAAGAGATTTGTACAAATAATCACAAAAGATAAGAATTTGCGATTGGCTCTCCTTACATTTGAACGTGAAAATAAAATACCACACGAAATATGTGATTTACAGTAAGTTCAACTGATTGTTTTGGTAGGTATGTAATACTGTATAAATCCAATATTGTGACTGGATTTCCCATGATGTCTGCATGAGAGAAACATAGCTTTTGTGATATACATGGAAATAGTTCAGATAATATGATCATGGACTCATTAAGATATAATCCATCGCCATTTGAAATAGAGAAAACAAACTTTGCTTTTCACCCACAAGATATAAAATCTGGAAAGTTGGACTTCTCAACTTCTCTTAAATATTTCAACATATATTAGACACAGGTTGGCACCACAGGTCAAAGTAATAGTACACTACAGTAGATTCAGTCGGCCTTCTTTGGTCGTCTACGCCTGGGCTTGGCATCTCCAGTCGGTTCTGGCTTTGATTCCTCTTTTGTAGCCTTCCCTGTCTCCTCTTCCTCCTCTTCCTCCACAGCCTCTTCCTCTGACTGAGAATGCTGTGTGTCATCTAGTATATCTTCTGTTTGGGAATCATCATCCTCTGTATCCTCCTGTGACTGTAAGGAGAGTAATTTGGAATTTAATCAGACAACAACCTCACTCTGATATATATACAACCTCACTCTGATATATATACAACCTCACTCTGATATATATACAACCTCACTCTGATATATATACAACCTCACTCTGATATAAAGTAAAAGCTTTTGATCATCATTGCAATATCAACTCAGTCTACACTCACAGTACACACATTGTATACATTATGTTTGCCTAGCTTTAATAACCCTTAGAATCGGAGTCCTAATAAGATGTATGAAATCTGTAATATATCTACATTTGTATTCGTTGGAAGATTAGGCTACCTAACTGTACATGACATATACATAATATTGCATCAGTATTTTGTTTCTGAGAAGTCAATATATTTGATCACTAGAATACTACTTCTAAGAGACATACTATTTACCATTAGTATTAGTCAGACACAAACGTACCTCATTTTAATGAATTTGTAAAAATCTCATTTTAAGGAACTTGTAAACATCTCATTATAAGGAACTTGTAAACATCTCATTATATGGAACTAGTAAACATCTCATTCTAAGGGACTAGTAAACATATTATTCTAAGGAATTTGTAAACATCTAAGTTTAAGGAACTAGTAAACATCTCATTCTTAGGAACTAGTAAACAACTAATCTTAAGGAACTTGTAAACATCTGATTTTAAGGAACTAGTAAACATTGTCATAACATTGATCAAACAATTATTTCCTTTGAAGGACCTAATAAACATCTTTATCACGTTCTAACTTGCCTCTAAATCTTCCTCTGGGTGCTGCGGGGTTACAAGTCTCTCTTGTGGTGGAAGTGGAGGTAGATACTTGGTAGGGAACACCATGTCACAACAGCACACAATCAGCTGATAATAACAAACGAATGAAACCTTATTTCCTTGTAAATTTGTGTCTTATGGCATAAAAAACTTGCACATTATGTATCTCACATACCACTATCATAGGAAATATATCATAATCAGAGAGTCTATGTGCATATCTATACTTCTTTCTTTCATTATCAGTCTGAGTTTCTGACCCAAAACCTTCTATAATATTCTGACTGAATTAATTATAGTATATCACAAATTTATGCGATTGGCTTCAAAATTATTAATTTAAATAATCATCTACTTTTACTCCCATCAAGCATCTATATTTCTTCACTAAATTTTACATAAAGTTTTTTTTTTTTAAACTATCAACTGTGGTGAATTGTGAAACATACCAAACCAAGAATCAATCCCAGGCTTATGGTCATGACAGCAAAGATGACATAGCACGCCCACTCTGGGATCCCGTATTCCGCAGTCATCACATTGTACAGAGCCTGTAGATCATTGTAGGAGATATGTCTGTTATGTTTAATCAATCAATTTACCAAGTAGTTGATATTTAGAGTCACTAGAATGATATAAAGATGAGAGGATGTGATATCTAATGTGACTGCTTTCTTATTCCTGTTCTGTAACCTATATCCACCTGTGAGAGAATAATATGACTTTTATCTCTTCTGTATGATGTACAATTTATTTATAAACACTTGGGACTAGAATGTTGCAATTCAGCTGTTGCACTTTCCAAATATTATGCTTAATATCAAATTTTAACCCATGTATTAAATGCTCATCAAAAGGAAATAAATGCTATTTGGTTTGTTTTCAGTGTAAAAGTATTCATGTTTCCACATGTGCTGTGAAAATGACGTGTTATCTAAATAACTTCATTAAGTGTTGACACCATGGTATTGACAGTTTCTCACATTTCTAGAATAAGGAGCATACATGAGTTGTCTTTCTTAGTAAAGACAAATGTATCCTTTCCCTAGCATGAAGGATAAAAATATATATTATCTTGTTTTGTTTTTTCTTAATGTATCTTTACTTTTAAGAATGGACTCATCAACAATGAAAGGTGTGAACATTACAGAAATATTTGCATTACAGCATTTTATGCAGTAAAATAAGTCAACAATTTAAGAAATGGTCACCATTTCAGGCATTAAAGCACAAATATTTCCAACTGGTAACACCTATATTCCATACAGATGTAATAGAAGGTAAACATTTACCTACAAAAGTTGATTCTGCTCTGCATAGCTTATCCTAGTGTAACTGTGTTTATCTAGACAGTGTATACAAATTAATAACCTATTGAAAAGGAGGTAGGGTACCCATTATCTACTAGGTATGATATTTACCAATATATTAGTACAGACTCTGGACCAAGTCTGTGATATATTTATACAATATACTGGGAATATGTTATGATATCTTAACCTTATTAATACTGAAGTAACATATTACCCTTATTTGCATTGCAGCCTTGAAGAAGAAACCAACTGCTCCCATCCTGTAAGTTAAAAAAAATAACAATATTAAAGGTTACTACTATTTACTATTACAATCAGTAAATACCCAGTAAATATGAACGCTATTTTACACAGTATCTAGAATATTAAGAATCTTGAACAAGCTTTCATTTTATCTGGGTATTTTACAAATGAATCTTAAAATCTAACATTTCACGACGTCTCTGACTCAGTGAAATTAAAAAATTCATTATGAGTTTCATAATTAAATTTGATATTAATGGAAACTAAAGCAAGATCTTGTTTATCACAAAATATTTAATTTTTTACAAATATTCTTGAAGAGGGCATTTTATTCAACAAACATAAGACAAAACTGGCAATATGTTTCCTCTTTTAGAGACATCACAACAAACACATGTATGACACCATGAAGTTATGATATTGTAAATAAAACAATAGGAAGCATCAGCCAATTACAGCTCTACTTAGTGCTTAAAACATGATGTAATAGGTATTATAACGCTGATAACTTTGTGTCCAAAGGGAGAAAACTTGAATGATCTTCAAAACACCATTTGCAGTCTCTCACTCCATCACATTTTGTAAGATCCACTAGACACCATGTGTCTTTACTCAGTGTCTCATTGGGTTGGACACTATATTGTACATAAAGCACTCTTTATGTTATGAGTGACATAAACGTATATATACATATAATACAGAGATGGGAAACAAGTCTTTTCTGTGATGTATGACATGTATGAAATTATCTCTTTACTCAATGTTTCATTTGGTTGTACACTCTTTATGTAATTAGTGAATTACATATACATTGTGTACAAGCACACCCTTTTCGTGAAGTGTAGTATATATATGTACACACAGTACTGAGATCAGGGACACATGCTTTATGTGATGTGTGATATACACAATTATGTACTTACTGTACTGAGCTTGGGGATAGATACCACACCACTGGTTCAATCTCCTCCCATTTTTTCTCATCAATAAAGCTAACAAGCTCATTTTCCTTCCGTCCTCCTTTGTACTGTCTGAATACTCCATCCTTAACACTGAAAATCAGAAAGTTGGTGTCATGTCATCAAATTCATGTAAAAGCTTTTCTTTGTCCCAAGTAAGAGTTATCGGTATTTGTTTATACTCAATGTGTCAAACATTATTATGACTCTTTGTTGATGCCATAGCAACTATATGATACAACTGTATTGTTTTGACTGGGAAAACCTCTTGGTTTTTTTTTTTTGGTTTTTTTTGAGCCTAACTAGATATCTAAACTTTTTAAAATGACATCTATACAATATGAAACTTTAAATCCTTTGCAAAAAAGTCTCTTTTGGCATGTCAAGTTGTACCAGTTCCTGAAATTCCTGGTATATTTACATTTTTTATAGACAATATGAAGTATGAAATGTATAAATGTTTTCCCAAGTTTAAAAAGACCATCACAAGATAACATATTATACAGATATCTACACTTACTGATACACAGTAGGGAGAGCAGAGACAAGGAACCGCCCACTCAGTCCTGAAACAAAGTAACAGTTAGGGTGATACACTAACATATATGACTTTAAAATCTCACCATGTGAATCTCTTATATAAATCAGACACTGTCTAAAAGCAAATGCAATTCCATGAAGAAGATGTATGTATTATTTTAACTGCCTTTATCATGGCTTCACTCAACATTTGACAGAAAATTTTAAAAACATTCAAATACATTTAAATCAAGTATTGCAAGTACATATGTAGATCAAAATATTGCATTAGTAATGCAGTTAGTAGACAGGGCTACAAGCATCGCAAGCTTCCTGTCAAATCAGGACCCTTCCACAATCTACGTGTTCGAGATGATGCATTGCTCATTTACAGAAAGAGATGTAGGTACACAAGCTTTAAACTGAAATTCAGGTAAAAATCAGGTAAAGAGGAAATCAGAGATCCTATTATCTTGATTGATTTAACAACATGCATTTTAAACCATTAATGAATGTATATACTTGTTAAACTTCTTCAGATTTTTAAAGACTTTTAATATGTATTTCAACTTGAAAAGGTATTTTGTCTGTCAAGATATTTTTTATCCAATCAATTGGTTGGAAGTTTACAATCCATGCTACCATTAAAGTTCCAAGCTGTTAAAGGCGATCACATATGATATGCACTTTTGGTTTGGTTGGGGTGTTTTGACCACTATGCATTTCGACACACAATACCATAAACTGTTCACTGCACTTGCTAGAACGTTGAACTTAGTGTAGTATAATCAGACAATCAGGACTTCAGAAGAGCTACAATTACCCATTAAGGCTAAATATATTCATAGGCAACTACAGGACTGTCATGTGAACATTTTTATTATAATACAAATAAAATATTAGTTACACAGTTTGGTATAATAAAAAAGAAAGCAAGACAATGTCCTGCTACAAAGTTTTATTACATATTTTATTGCTTTTCGACTGAAATGGAAACTATTTTAAGATCATATTTCAGTACATTACAATACATGTATACATTTCCATCTGTCTCCTGAGAGTCTATTTTACACTTTGTGTCTAAAAGCAGGTGAAACTAAAAAATGCATCACTTATTTTTAAACATTACACCGTAGAGAAAACTGATATGAAATAGCAGAAAGGATTACTGAAAAAAGAACGCAAGTCTGAAAAGTGTGTCAGTATTGTTCTACAGCTCACTTTCACAACTTGTTATTTGATCATATTACATGTACATTTATAGTCAATACCATTACAAAAAAAATCAATATAAACAGATACTATTTATACATCAACACATGGCAACCTAACTCAATGATATCCTCTTATCAATATTTATGCAAACATTGTTAGTCGTTTGATGTAAGATTACCTCATAGAATACATATCAGGCTTTGAATCTGAGAATGTTTATCTTGTTTTGGGCTACAAATATCAATGTCACTAATTTCAGATCACATGAGAAACACATCACATCATTTGGCTAATACACACTTAATGTCTGATTTATTTTAGGTTGATTTAAGAAAAGTTTCAACAAATATTTTTTAAACCTGAATATTTCATATACATAGGGTGACTGACTACACTCTTTGTGTCTTGTGCTTACTTGTACACCATCGCTGGAAATTACAAAAAGAGAAACTTCCTCGCCATAGTAGAAATTCCTTCTATTAACGCGAAATAACTTCTATTTTTCATTATTCATTTCTATTTCTAATTTACTTATTCTATTAAATTTAAAGATTCCAAGTGTGCATTTGTTCATTTTTGCATCAAAATCAGCATATCCTACATTTGACAGAATTATCTTAAGTATACAAAAACTGTCAAAATGGTAGCTAGGTGGCACAGAATTGACATTATCAAATACTTTCTTCATCTGAGATTAGCAACAACATAATCAAAACTTGGGAAATACGTCAAAAGACCGGAGTTATCTCCCATAAACTATCAGTCTTTCAGCACAATTTTTGTGCATGTTCAAATACATAGCAATATACATTTTGTTAAACACGCCTCATCTATCCATTTTAACATTATAATTAGTTTTCTTCATGCTGACCATTGTAGAGACATTGATCTTGTTTACCTGGATTTTCTGTGACATCCACAACACCAACTTTAAAGTCAAAGTCTTCACCCCATTTTGCAAAGCTAGCCCATGTTTCTGTGAAGGCACGACAAGCAGGACACCAGGGAGCCATACTGTTGATATGAAGAAAGAGAATTCAGAATGATGGAGATAATCTTGATTGTCCAAAGAAAATGGAAGGTTCCATTGACAGAACAAGAGGCCAAGTATACAGATGTGTTAAACCATGTTATGTCACTTAGCAAGAATAAAAAAGTTAATATATACCACAGGTGCTTATATACTGTCAATGAAAAGTAGAATGCCTCCTATTTATCCAGTCACACAACAGAGGATGGCTTCTTTGATACATTTTTAGAGTAAGAGGGGATGTTGGGGGAGAGGGGTTTGGGTTTCTGTTTGGAGAAGGGAGATTTGGGGGGAAACTGATCAGAATCACAACATAATGTAACATCTAATATAACTTGTTTGAATTCAGAAAAGGTGCCAAATGTTTGACTCTATCACCAGAAGGGATAAAAGATTAAACCAAAATGTACTTCATTTTGGACAAAACATTTGTTTGCCACATACCATAATACCATAATAGCAAGCCTCACATACATTATGTGTATATATATATTTCTTTTTTTCAAATATAAATCAATATTGCCATATTCTATGATTAGTTAATTAACACTGATTGATAATTAATTATTGACCTACTTTAATTTATCAGCATATAGTAAAGTCTACATGGATAATATATATCAGTCATACAGGTAGGCCCTATGACACCTTATAAATATTTTCATTAATAAATGATGACACACCACACACTGGTCATATCAGTCTGATTAAGAACGATATGTGGAACCGATCTAGACGGGTCAAGCCCCCTAGGGATGTAGTTTAGTTACTATTCAAATGAATCATTCATACAAACATTCAAATTTGCAAGTACCAGTTCACTATTTTACATCCCCCGCCTCATTTTATATTTCATATCATGTCACACACTATTTTAACTTGAATTTATTAAGGCATCACATTCCTGAAGATGAATACAAGTATTCCCTTTTCTCCTGTTTGGTAGGATCTTTTTCATCGCTACCTTTCTTCAGACTGGAAAGTGCAATTATGTTTCAAAGTGTAAAGAACCTGCATTAAATGCAAAAGGATTTGATACGTTCCTATCCCACTAATCACCTTTATGGTAGTTACATAGAATCAAGACAATATATCCCTTCTCATAAATATTTCATTGTTTTCAATATGGTTAATATTAGTTTAATAGCTTACACAACTGTAAAATATAAGGAAATTCGACAGTGAAATGTTCATTTACAAACCGAATACTCCGTCCTCACATAGACAGAATCCAACTAAACGTTACAATTTTGTTTCTTGCTGTTTAAAAATATGGCAATGTCACACCAGAGACATATATATAGGTGTTATATATGTCTCTGGTCACACTTATAACTAAACTTGTAAAAACAGCTCTGATGATAAGGTTGAGGTTTTATGAAAAAGTTCAGAAGCATTACTACTGCGAAATTGCTTTTAGTTTCATATTTTTTCGGTACTGTATATTTATTGTTGCCTGCATTGTGTTAAGACTACTTACATAAAGACCTAAATATTACAGTAGACTACTATATACGTGTTAGGATTATTACTAAAGACAATTATAAATAAGCTACTTTTTTATAATCTGATAATGTCACTTACAATTCCACCATCCATTCTCCTTCCAGTGACTGTGTCCAGTTGTTTTCGTTTATGGTTAAAGGTTTGGCTGACTGTTGACCACACAGACAAGCCGATATAAGACATAGAAGAATCAGATTTCTAAAAGCCGCCTTCATGCTGCTCGTGTCGTTACTCATCGAATGAAATGTAGCCACGCTCACCGTCTAACAGGAAGTGTTTTCTGCAACACAACACAAATTTCATCAGAGTTATCCCCCTTCGAGAGTGCCGCTATAACTTGAGGTTCGACGCTCAGCAGAGACACATTAAGTTTCTTTTACTTGTGTTCAAATCGAATATTACTACAAACAAATGTTTTACATACCACAGCTAAATCTCTATAGTACATTTGCTCTTTTTCTTCCTTTCATATTTCAATATCAAATTGGAATTTCTCAAATTACAACGGACTTATAGGATCTAACATGAAAAGACCCTTTTTGGGACATTACCCAAGTCCAAAATGGGGTTATTTTCGTGTAGGTATCCGATGCAGCATTCATATTTTGAAACAAAATAGAATATCATGATTGAAATGAAAATGTCATGTTACTTTAAGTAATAGGAGCAATTTCATACACACCAACTTTTTATATATTTCTTTTTAATATTTACTACATTATGTTTAAAACGCAATTAAGAGAAGGGAAAATGATATCATGCAAAAACACAAAATTCCTTTCATATTTTTAAAAGTGTGAAATAGATCAAATGGATATTTCAATGGAAAAGTGGCTAAAAATTATGCAAAAAATTTTTTTTATGAAAAGCATATATATATATATATATATACAGTCTATATAAAAAAAAACGGTTGTACTAACAGAAACCTTAATACAAGGACACAGTTTTTTCAAGTTTTAATGGATTTTACGTACACTGTTACGGTCTTTCGGCCTTTCAGCGAACGAACTATATTCCAAAATAAACTAAAAGAAACACAAATATATATATATACAGATTTTCCCCCACTAAAATCGGATTCGTATGAAGGAAATATGGCTAACGTTGAGATCGATGAACGGCACCAACCAGTAGTTTAATAGTTGCCGCCATGTTCGATTATATACAGAGCTGTCACATTAACATGTTTAAAATCATGTTAAATAAGAAAGCAAAGCGAGATTGCTAATAACAAACCATGACAATATCCAGCCTTCCAATCATGGCCGAGTTTCCTCTAGACATCGCACGCTGGATATTTTTAACGGACAAATATGTTCTAACGTCACGTGAATAATCATCATTAAATCAAGTTAACATTACCTGGAATAACAATTCCTAATGTCTACATCCCGATCATGTGTCTTGATATATTCTGTAACCGTGTTGACTGATCTGAATCAAGATGAGGGGGTAAACGACTTCGGCGCATGACCAGAAATTAGAATCAAGCCCAATACATTGCGTTGATTCACATTTCAATTGCCATGAGGAATTGTCAACGTTTGCTTGTGTAGCGTATCTCCAGCAACATCCTTGTAATATTTGTCAGGAACGACTCGGTGACAAGTAACAGCCCTGTCAAGTAGAGATCAGTTGCAGGGTTGAAAGCTGAACAGTTTCGGGTTCTGGTCTAACAAGTGTTAGGTGTTATTATTGTTTTAGGTAATCACGCACATAAATTGTGAAATATTGTATTGTTTATGTCTTTTGTTTATCGGATCATACGTATCCTATTTCATAAATACGTCCATGGTCGAGAGTTATAATCGTATAATATTTGTGCCTGTATTTACACTTCTGTTTTCTGGACGTTTTATTTGTAAAATGAAGTTAATATTGTACAGTTACCTGTAAAAGTTTGATATATATATACACATAAGGAGAAAGTTCGTCGAGAATTAATTTGTCGTAGGATCGAATCCTTATCTAACCGTTGTTTCTATAATAAAATGTACGTGCTAATGACAACGTACTCTTAATAGTGTATTTCTATTTTAAGGATGTTGACAATGTATACAAGAGGTAAGATTTGAAAACAATATTAATGATTTCGTGTTATAATTTCAGGCTAATGTCGGGGTCTGGAAAAGACGGAAAGTTTTTAATGTTTTAAGTTCCTGAGTGTGTGATTCATCTCCATTCTATAAATAAACATTCTTATCTAGTTTTATATTCCAATGACACCCCTCGCTCTGTTGTCGTGGGGTACTTAATGCCCAGTCTCGCTGTCTAAACAACAATGACGACACTGTCCTCGCCCAGGGCCAGTCAGTAAAATAGTACACAAAATATGTATGCATTGTTAGCTTGATATACCAAAAGGACATGCCGATTTTTAATATTATAAAAAAACAATGCATCAATTTTAAACAAACTTGCACTCACTTTTTGTATCCAATATGAAAACAAATTTGGTGATGTGCATCTTTGTACAATTAGACGTTTACAACATATAATAATGTTCGTAGACATGTTTGTATATATACAAATTAACGTGTTGAGGTATTTTCACTTCCTCGTTTCCGCGCCACTGCCCGCAGGTCTCTGGCCTCACTGTGAAGTTTAAGATGTGACGTATACACTACTCCATTTAATTCAAAACACTCACCCAGCACAGAAACGCGTGTGATTTATCGTGATCGTTTGTGATTACAGAAAATCTATGGACTAATCACACTTATTACAGAGATTACCAGTAAAGGCCAATACTAGGTATGTATTTAGAAATGTAAAGGTACTTATGGTCCAGCACTTGTTTATATTACCTGGCAGTCATAAAAGGCATCCGGAATGTTTTAGGTGTACATATATGTATGTGTGTGTGTGTGTGTATCCTTCGACATACTTTAAGGAATTTGTATTATTGCTGACATGTATCACAAACACCAGTATTTGTGCACGTGCTTGTACATCACATGAAATCGACGCATACAATACAGTATTCATATACATATCACAAGGGACGTAGATAACTGGCTATCTACGTCCCTGATGTCACTTACTATAGAATTCACGATGTGTTTTAAATGCACGTACCAACAAGAGTAATCACTGTCACTGATTAATGTACTTGTTACATGTACATATCGATAATATATATTTGTATACAAACATGGACATGTATGTTAGATACGTAAACGATATACATGTAGATAATGTTATCTATCTGTAATGATGCACTTATATTAGTGTGTAAAACTTCGATACTTACAACATATTCAGTGCACTCAATATATATGTACCCCACGTGTACTCCCGCTTTTTGTGGAAGAATGGAAACCCCGCTAACTTGTACCACATGTATAAAGACAACAACCTAGAATATGGACATGTGAAAATGAATCTCACTCAAAATCGATACAATTATGAAAAAACGTGAAAAAATGAAAAACGACATTTGCCATGTAAAGTTTAGGATAATAAAAACCGAGATGGTTACAGCAAGACTTTAATTATTTACTAGCATATACATTAGTTGCAATCCGTTTGTTTTGTTGGCTATCATATTACACTCTGTTGTCCGTGACGAGCTGTTTATACAGAAAATCTATTCTATTCTAAATACAATCTACACACATCATCAACAGACATTTGTATGTAATTCTATAAAGGTAAAGTTGTTGCTTTGACGTCTGTACACAAACACACCTATAGCCTGGATTACACGTATAGCAACAAGCACACGAAATTACAAATTTACAGGTGAAAATATGAGGTCACATACTTTTTCGTATATTGATCTGGTGAAGGACATATCAATCTTAAATTGAATGATCTGACATCTGACCTCAATCCATTTGGTGGCGTTCGTTTTATTTCCTAGGGCGATACCCATACGTGATCTGTTTGGTTCGCGTTAAGTCTACTATACCTTATTGAACGTATCTGTATCTAACTACTGTTATCATACATCTATCTGTACCTAACCACTGTTATCATACATCTATCTGTACTGTACCACTGTTATCATACATCTATCTGTACTGTACCACTGTTATCATACATCTATCTGTACCTAACCACTGTTATCATACATCTATCTGTACTGTACCACTGTTATCATACATCTATATGTACTGTACCACTGTTATCATACGTCTATCTGTACTGTACCACTGTTATCATACGTCTATCTGTACTGTACCACTGTTATCATACATCTATCTGTACCTAACCACTGTTATCATACATCTATCTGTACCTAACCACTGTTATCATACGTCTATCTGTACCTAACCACTGTTATCATACGTCTATCTGTACCTAACCACTGTTATCATACATATATCTGTATTGTACCACTGTTATCATACATCTATCTGTACCTAACCACTGTTATCATACATATATCTGTATTGTACCACTGTTATCATACATCTATCTGTACTGTACCACTGTTATCATACATCTATCTGTACTGTACTGTTATCATACTGTTATATCTGTAACCACTGTTATCATACATCTTTCTGTACTAACCACTGTTATCATACATCTATCTGTACTGTACCACTGTTATCATACATCTATCTGTACTGTACCACTGTTATCATACGTCTATCTGTACCTAACCACTGTTATCATACGTCTATCTGTACCTAACCACTGTTATCATACATCTATCTGTACCTAACCACTGTTATCATACGTCTATCTGTACCTAACCACTGTTATCATACATCTATCTGTACTGTACCACTGTTATCATACGTCTATCTGTACTGTACCACTGTTATCATACATCTATCTGTACTGTACCACTGTTATCATACATCTATCTGTACCTAACCACTGTTATCATACATCTATCTGTACCTGTTACTGTTATATACCATATCTGTACTGTTATCATACATCTATCTGTACCTAACCACTGTTATCATACATCTATCTGTACTGTACCACTGTTATCATACATCTATCTGTACTGTACCACTGTTATCATACGTCTATCTGTACTGTACCACTGTTATCATACATCTATCTGTACTGTACCACTGTTATCATACATCTATCTGTACTGTACCACTGTTATCATACATCTATCTGTACTGTACCACTGTTATCATACATCTATCTGTACTGTACCACTGTTATCATACATCTATCTGTACTCTATCATACATCTATCTGTACCTAACCACTGTTATCATACATCTATCTGTACCTAACCACTGTTATCATACATCTATCTGTACTGTACCACTGTTATCATACATCTATCTGTACCTAACCACTGTTATCATACGTCTATCTGTACCTAACCACTGTTATCATACATCTATCTGTACTGTACCACTGTTATCATACATCTATCTGTACCTAACCACTGTTATCATACATCTATCTGTACTGTACCACTGTTATCATACATCTATCTGTACCTAACCACTATTATCATACATCTATCTGTACTGTACCACTGTTATCATACATCTATCTGTACTGTACCACTGTTATCATACATCTATCTGTACTGTACCACTGTTATCATACATCTATCTGTACCTAACCACTGTTATCATACATCTATCTGTACCTAACCACTGTTATCATACATCTATCTGTACTGTACCACTGTTATCATACATCTATCTGTACTGTACCACTGTTATCATACATCTATCTGTACCTAACCACTGTTATCATACATCTATCTGTACTGTACCACTGTTATCATACATCTATCTGTACCTAACCACTGTTATCATACATCTATCTGTACTGTACCACTGTTATCATACATCTATCTGTACTGTACCACTGTTATCATACATCTATCTGTACTGTACCACTGTTATCATACATCTATCTGTACTGTACCACTGTTATCATACATCTATCTGTACCTAACCACTGTTATCATACATCTATCTGTACTGTACCACTGTTATCATACATCTATCTGTACATAACCACTGTTATCATACATCTATCTGTACTGTACCACTGTTATCATACATCTATCTGTACTGTACCACTGTTATCATACATCTATCTGTACTGTACCACTGTTATCATACATCTATCTGTACTGTACCACTGTTATCATATATCTATCTGTACTTAACCACTGTTATCAAACATCTGTCTTACGTTTCTATTTTCACTTTTCAGCTATCTGTACATCTAAAAACTTTCTGATACTTTGATAATATGTCCAGTCTGCTTATGTTTTCAAGAGCTTACTGTAGGAAATTGTATTGTGAAATAGCTTCTTTCAATTTAATGTTTATCTATTTTTGGATTCTCCTTCACCTATGTGTTGTCTCTATGTATACTATAACAGATATAATGGGACTGCTCCTATAACACCTCAGAAAACAGACAGGGTCTAGGAAAATATGAATCGTTATCTGCCACGACATCATTGTACAATAAATATAACCCCCTTCCTAAGAGTCTAGATTGCGAAGAGCAAATACCCCACCTCTATCTGTCTTCACCAGAATCGGGTGTTGTATGCATCCATATCAATTGTCTTGACTGCGCGGCAAATGATTTTTATACCTTATACAGATAATATTGGTAGGGACGTTTCGGTCTTTTGGAAAAAAATATCAAGACCATTTTTTAATGTCTTGATTTGTCTCAGAAACGCAGCATACCATCCACATGTATTTCTGAGAGATGAGTCCATTTACCTTATACGACTCCACCCACCATGTCACTTTTCTATTATATATGTATATATATATATATTTACTATCAGAGATCATGTTGATATCGTCACTCACGACTGTATATATATATATATATATATATATATATATATATATATATAATAGTGACATGGTTTATGTTTTTATTAAAATTGTCAGTAACGAGTAAAATGTTGGTGAAGTGTTTACAGAGATCATTTAGATTCACACCTGTAATGTCAAGATTTACTGTTACAAATAGCAGTGGCAATTTATGTCGTTTTAAGGGAAAAATACGTTCTTGTCATGACCCTTTTAACACTGGTTGCTTGAAGAGATGACCGAAAAAACATAATTCTCTGATATTTGTGTTCATTTTAGGTTCATCGATTATATTCTCAAGAGGAAACCATAACCCCCTTTCCAAACAAGTACGCAAAAAATTAGATTCATCATATTAAAAAAAAGAACAATATAGACTGGTCATGGTAGAAAATAACAATGTTATTTGAACAGTGTCTTACCAAGGGATAAGTATATGTTATATTCAGTCATTGTGTCTGTGCTCCAAACTCATGGTCATTGTTTCCGAAAATGCTGAGACTGACCATGATATGTGTGTAAAATGGGTTGAGTTCGTGATTGAGCAATCTTATTCACGCTGATTCTCGATGATTAGTGCAATAAGAAACAAGTATTAACAGGAAATAGAATCCCTTACCCTCATATTTAGCTATTGGAAGTAGTTGTCATATGGAGGGGGGGACTGCTGTTACTTTCACTTTTTTCTGGGCCCACGTAAATTTTGTTTGTTGGTAATAGATATTTGACACTCGGCGAAATACGGGATAAATCTGAAAAAAAATCAAAACTTTGTGAAAAAAAAAAATTAAAAAAAATAAACGGACAAATAAACCCTTATGTTATTTTCAGTATTTCATTTTATTTTGACGTGAAAACAAATCTTTTTAAATGCTACCCAATTCGACTATAATGTTTACTGGCAGTTTAGTGGTTTGTATTTTTAACTTAACATATGATTGCACAATAATAAAGACATGCGTGAGGTGTACTCCTATTGGTAAATTTGTTTGATCAGGATCTCAACAGCACGGGAAAACTATAATACAGAACATTGTATAAACCAATGATTTAATACAATCTTGCGTCATTTGTTAATTCTTTAGACGGACATATTTAATCAATATAAACTTCCTGGTTGATATTGATACTGAAGTTCGGGGTATTCACTATTCAGTAGACATTGAGCTGGTGTATTTATACATATACACCTACATAATGTATGCATACCACCGCTAGAGTCTGAACTTATAATATCCGGAATAGCTAGATGTATCTGTGCGGGAAATGACAGGGGAAAAACTCATTTACTTATGTGATTTGTTATCTAACAATTTGTTGTCAGATAGGATGACACGGAGCCCTTGAGTCTTGTCCGATTCCTGGAGTCGTGAAGCAGGGAAAGGTGTTTCCGGAACTTTTCATGATACATTTTTTCAGTGAGAGCATCTGAAGCAACATTATAACCGGAGACAATGGCGGACGCGGGTGTGGTGAGTGACGTGTCTATGTTGTCGGATAGCAATACAAAACTAGACACGTAGCACATATAGATATCTTGTCTTGAACGGTACAGTTTCTCAAATGAAATGTGAAATGATTAAGTGCATCCTAAATGAAACTAAATATAGGAGAAACGCTATTATTTCAAAATCTCATTTTTCGATCATATAAAATTGTATTTTACTTCTTAAAACACTAACGTGTCAATAAAAACACCATTCTATGACTTTCTATGATAAATCTTTGTTGGAAGGGGGATGGGGAGGGGGGGCTAGAACCCCAACGCTCCACTCTAGTGTGAAGATAGGTTCATTTTTTCCATAGAGTCGCCTTCCTGTGGAGCTTAACGTTTCACGTGGAACGGTAAATTTAAGTCAGTACACTACGCTGATAAAATCGTTTACACATGTATTAATAACACATTCCATAGCTGTTACTGTACATCTATTATAAGTTAGTATATATATGTTCCGCTGCATCTTCCGGGTTCTAGGAAAACTGAAGACCTGAAAGAAATATTGACACTGGATAGGGATAGTCTTGTAAATATTTTCCTGAACGACAGTGATAGACCTGTACCTATTCCCCAGGACGACAGTGATAGACCTGTAACAATTCACCAGGACGACAGTGATAGACCTGTACCTATTCACCAGGACGACAGTGATAGACCTGTACCTATTCACCAGGACGACAGTGATAGACCTGTACCTATTCACCAGGACGACAGTGATAGACCTGTAACTATTCACCAGGACGACAGTGATAGACCTGTACCTATTCACCAGGACGACAGTGATAGACCTGTACCTATTCACCGGGACGACAGTGATAGACCTGTACCTATTCACCGGGACGACAGTGATAGACCTGTACCTATTCACCAGGACGACAGTGATAGACCTGTACCTATTCACCAGGACGACAGTGATAGACCTGTACCTATTCACCAGGACGACAGTGATAGACCTGTACCAGGACGACAGTGATAGACCTGTAACTATTCACCAGGACGACAGTGATAGACCTGTACCTATTCACCAGGACGACAGTGATAGACCTGTAACTATTCACCAGGACGACAGTGATAGACCTGTAACTATTCACCGTGACGACAGTGATAGACCTGTACCTATTCACCAGGACGACAGTGATAGACCTGTAACTATTCACCAGGACGACAGTGATAGACCTGTAACTATTCACCAGGACGACAGTGATAGACCTGTACCTATTCACCAGGACGACAGTGATAGACCTGTAACTATTCACCAGGACGACAGTGATAGACCTGTACCTATTCACCAGGACGACAGTGATAGACCTGTACCTATTCACCAGGACGACAGTGATAGACCTGTAACTATTCACCAGGACGACAGTGATAGACCTGTAACTATTCACCAGGACGACAGTGATAGACCTGTAACTATTCACCAGGACGACAGTGATAGACCTGTAACTATTCACCAGGACGACAGTGATAGACCTGTAACTATTCACCAGGACGACAGTGATAGACCTGTACCTATTCACCAGGACGACAGTGATAGACCTGTACCTATTCACCAGGACGACAGTGATAGACCTGTACCAGGACGACAGTGATAGACCTGTAACTATTCACCAGGACGACAGTGATAGACCTGTACCTATTCACCAGGACGACAGTGATAGACCTGTAACTATTCACCAGGACGACAGTGATAGACCTGTACCTATTCACCAGGACGACAGTGATAGACCTGTACCAGGACGACAGTGATAGACCTGTACCTATTCACCAGGACGACAGTGATAGACCTGTAACTATTCACCAGGACGACAGTGATAGACCTGTACCTATTCACCAGGACGACAGTGATAGACCTGTACCTATTCACCAGGACGACAGTGATAGACCTGTACCTATTCACCAGGACGACAGTGATAGACCTGTACCTATTCACCAGGACGACAGTGATAGACCTGTACCTATTCACCAGGACGACAGTGATAGACCTGTACCTATTCACCAGGACGACAGTGATAGACCTGTAGACCCTATTCACCAGGACGACAGTGATAGACCTGTAACTATTCACCAGGACGACAGTGATAGACCTGTGATAATATTTCACCAGGACGACAGTGATAAGTCTATTCACCAGGACGACAGTATAGACCTTACCAGGACGACAGTGATAGACCTGTCACCAGGACGACAGTGATAGACCTGTACCAGGACGACAGTGATAGACCTGTAACTATTCACCAGGACGACAGTGATAGACCTGTAACTATTCACCAGGACGACAGTGATAGATCTGTAACTATTCACCAGGACGACAGTGATAGACCTGTAACTATTCACCAGGACGACAGTGATAGACCTGTACCAGGACGACAGTGATAGACCTGTACCAGGACGACAGTGATAGACCTGTACCTATTCACCAGGACGACAGTGATAGACCTGTACCAGGACGACAGTGATAGACCTGTACCTATTCACCAGGACGACAGTGATAGACCTGTACCAGGACGACAGTGATAGACCTGTAACTATTCACCAGGACGACAGTGATAGACCTGTACCTATTCACCAGGACGACAGTGATAGACCTGTAACTATTCACCAGGACGACAGTGATAGACCTGTAACTATTCACCAGGACGACAGTGATAGACCTGTACCTATGCACCAGGACGACAGTGATAGACCTGTACCAGGACCACAGTGATAGACCTGTACCTATGCACCAGGTCGACAGTGATAGACCCTATTCACCAGGACGACAGTGATAGACCTGTAACTATTCACCAGGACGACAGTGATAGACCTGTACCAGGACGACAGTGATATCCCTTTACCTTTTCCTCAGATCGATAGTTCAGTCACTATTCCCCTAAACAACGGTTGTGAATTTTTCATATTGTTCTTGTATTTATCTCACCTTTTTATAATTTTTGAAAATTTTGATGATGATCATTTAATTTCTACAGAAATTGTTACAAAATGTTTCTAAAGCATCCCGATGACTTTATATGTTGTTGTTTTTCTCTTTTGCACTTTCCCTGGATGGATTATGGAAAATAGAAAACAATGATCACTTTCATGACTTTCCTTATTATCACATCCGCTCTACTTCAGTCTTTTTGTTAAAATCGCAAAATATTAATCATAAGAAAACGGCACGGGACATAACTGTTTTTGAAAGTTCTGAGATATATTTGAAATTCATGGTAATTATGAAAATACAAATTAGATTTCTTTTCAGAAATATCACACATACGGATGTTTCAGTCCGCGAAATTTCCCGTAAACTACATGTCACAATTGCATTATAGGACTAATACACCTCCCCATCTAGATTTTGACATTTCCCCATCGATTTGATTATCCAACATCGCCTCATAGGTTTTTAAACGTTAGGCATTTAGTATCATTAACAAGTCATCGAAGGATGAAATAGCTGTAAAATGCAGCTTAATTCACATGCTTCTGAGTAGCAAATCATAATTAAATGGAAAAAAAAACGTGCTATTCACTTGTTTGTCTTTTATACAAATCTATTAAGCGATTGTTTGTCACTATCTATGGTCCAGGGAGTCGGAATTGCCGACAGATGGATGCAATCCTACACCAACCATCAAGACCACGCTAAACACTGACCGAGGTTATTTATAACACCTATCCGAGGTTATTTATAACACCCAACCCAGGTTATTTATGACACCTAACTGAGGTTATTTATCACACTTAACTGAGGTTATTTATAACACGATAGAAATCTAGGCTGTAAGTGTTAGTAATACAAGATGTGTAGCAGTAGTTGACAAATTCAATCGATATTGTACACGGAAATGTTAAACCACAATCAGAACACTTTTGTGTCTGAATTGATCTTTTAGTAACCTTATTTATTCATTAATTTGCAAAGGCATGTCCCCGCACTTTTATTTGGATATTTGGTAAAGATATTTAAAGACCGAACAGCAGAAAATGAGTTGCATGTGCCGACCAGTCACTGATCATTAGAGATTGAAGACCGGTATCTGTTTAAAAAGATTAACTGATTGAGGGGAAAATGATAGAAAATGATGACGAAGATACTTATCAGTGGATTTACATTGATGTCTTCCACGTTGTTTCCTCTAACTATCATGTACATGTTATTTTGTGGTTTCCAGGCTGCGGGATTCGTGGTGCTCGGCTTGTTCATCTTGCTCATCATTGCAGTGATCATCGTCATATTGTTGCTCGTAATTAAGAAACTCAAATATCAACATAATGACATTTTAATACTGAACAACCGAATAGACAAATTAATTGCAGCAGAAAAAGGCGAGGCCATGAATAAAGATGCAGTGGTTTCCAGAACGAAATCCAAATTAAAAGGGGAACTCAGAGCTGACAGCGCCGTGGATATGGATGACACTTACAGCTTAAGTACAAATGGTAACAGCGTACACGGCAATGAAGGGGCGCATGTCCCCTCGCCTCGCCCTGTGTCGGCTAAGATCCGCCCACAATACACCATCAAAATTAAAAATCGCTACTCTCATATGTTTGGAACAGGAGCTTCTATCACGCAGATGGTCGAAATGACGCAAGATTTTTCTTGCATCGACGAAGTTAGTGACACGGTTCATACTGTAGATGAGATGGACATAGAAAATGTAGGTGACAGTCATACGACCGAAATTCATTCGGCTCTCTCTCGGCAATCTATCTGGCAAGGCCGGCCGACTTCTATTCTCATGCAGACCCCTACAACCACTCCCGACTCTCCGGGCAACACTGTCTCCCACGAGAACGGCGTATTCATTCACAAAAGTGTTGGTAAAGATGGCGACACTCTCACGATGTCGGGTGTAACTTTGGAAATCCCTCCTGGTGCATTAAATGAATCTAAGCTGATCACTTTCGGGATTACTTGGAAGGAAGCGCTTCTCCCGGTACTAAAAAAGAAGCAAGCTCGTCTTAGCCCTGTTGTTGTATGTAAACCCAATTTACAATTCGCAAAACCTGTCAAGTTAACATTCCCACATTGCGGTGTACAGATAATAAATGATTGGATACCGCGAGTGATCAAACGCCAGGGTGACCTGGATGACGTCGAGTCAGAATGGACAAATTTGACTCTTGACGATTACGAGGAGAGAGATGTGACAAGTTCAGTAGTAACTGTCAGTCTTAAACATTTTACATTATACACGTTGGTTGGGGAATCAAAACAAGGTAAAACGGCTGCTAAAAAAGTCAAGCTTATCGCCTTCACTCCAGCGTTCCGAAAAGGTGCTATGTTCAAAACCCGCATATACTGCATCAACGACTACGAAACAGAACTCGAGGTAAGATTGAAATATAAGGAAGTATATTTACACTAATTCGTCATGTGTCTGTCATATTGTGTAATCATTGCATCAATATAATAAGTTTGTGTCTGAACTTTAAATTTTTATAATATCCATGTATAAACAGGTACAAGGGATTGCTCGCTGGAAATTAGGCAATATTGCTTTGCTAAACCTCAATTTAAAGTACGATCATGATATATGACAGCAGCACCTTTCCGCAGGAGATTGAGATGCAATATTTTGGCGTCAATCTTCAACTGTGGCACTAGAAATATTCTTCAGACATTGTTTATACTCCGATTGTGTATTACAACCTCTCCACAGGCCTGTGGTAGGATTGACATCGAGGTAATGATACGGACATAACAAAATATACTGCAGAATCATACATTTTCGTTAGGATTTATTTTCGTTGATTTCCCACGAATTCTTATGTTTTAATTATTGATATAAGTATCTTTATTGTGCTCTATTTATCCATGAATTGAGTGTCTACAAAAGTGTGAAAAACCACGAAAATTGAACCCCATTAAAATATATGATTGTACAATAGAGGTGTTTTCATGGATTGTTTGATAATTTCTTTTAAAAAAAAACTTAATAAAGTAAATTTGGCTTTTTGTTTCATGTGGTATTAAGGAAGTCGATAAATTTGAGAAAAGACTAGATGGAAGCATGACGAACGCGCCGGTGGCTTTCCTTTTCCACGACAATGAGGAAGATCTTACGGTCACGCTGAAGTCGGATGTACCGGAGTGGAATTTGTGTGGAGAGAAGACACAAGTAATGCAATATAATTCTTCTTTTTCTTTAACTTTTGTAAATTGTTCCAAATACGATATGCTAGGAACATGCTAAGAGTCATATACTTCTCCGAAATAAAACTATATTGTTGGTCGAGTTAAATGCGGACTGTTTTCGTTTTCTTCAGAAAATGGACTTCGAGAGTGTTTGGCACGCAATGACACCCTACTGCAACTTTGTATTTGACCCCACCACCCCTGCAATCACCAAAATCTACTGCGAATTCGAATCTTTACAGCAGACAGTTGGACGGAAAATCTCGCTCCAAATCTCGGCTGAATACGTTGCTCCTGTAAGTCATTGGAATATACTATATACGTGAAATAGAATTACGTTTATGATTTAATTCGATAAACTTAACATGGAGATATGTTTTTTTTCAGGATAATAAACTGTCCGCTAGTGAAGATCCACGCCAAGAATTAGATCGGAAATTGATCATTCTTCTCGACCCCAAGACGAATTCTGACGCGGGAGATTTCCGTGATCTAGCGTCAGAAATGAATCTAGATGGAGCTCACGTAACTTATCTAGAGAATCAGACGAATCCAACAGAGCAACTGTTAAAACGATGGCGAGACGAAAAAAAGAGTCTACACGAACTCAAAAAGGTGTTATCCACTATAAATCGTCCGGACGCAGTGGTGGAAGTAGAACATTATATCAACAAGTATTTGGCCAGCGCATAAGTGTTACTATTATTAATCACGGTGCTGGTCAGTTCACCTCCGATTTGTTACAAATATCTGTGATATCTGTGATATGGAATTAGAAGAAAAAGTCCCTATTTCTAGAAGTCCCTCATGAAGATATCCTTTCCTTCAAATCATTGTCTCCTAACTTCACTGAAAAGACGATAATTCCAATACGACTACTCATGTCACATATATTTTGAATGCCACCATGTACATTATATTCAGTGTTAACACATGTCTCTTTCAAATCCTATCACACTATTTATGACTCCGTTATCAGTACACATATAAGACTGACGCTCCGTTTAATAGTATGTTAACCACTTGTTAGTCCGAAAGGTTCCGACTATCTATCCGCAAGTTTGTTTTTGTCTTGATTGTTGTCGAAAGTCAGGATTCCTTCCTTTATAAAAACACGAAATTCGAGTGACCCATGTATGGGTTGGCGTTCAGGCATTTTTTTCTAAAGATTGTTTACAACAGAGCGATAGTTATAAATCATACATCGAAAGGTGGAAAAATAAAACATTTATCTACTAACTAGCATATATGCAGTTAAATCAATTAGATGTTGTGAAGGATTTCCAGCCATTTATTCCAATAATCTTACTTTCAAGCACATTTACAATGGCCGCCACGAAACGAATTCCCCCTTGACTTGTCCACAAAAGCGTATCGTTTCCGCCAATCTTGTGAGAGTTAACCTTTCTGTAAGTTTACAAAGACTAACCTACATCGCAACAAAACTAATATCGCGGATAGATAGTCATATTTTGAACTAATGTATAATGTTATCATGCCTTTTTGAATTGCTTTATACCACCTCCGATTGTGTCACCGTTATCTTGTCAACTCTGATGTAACAAAGTATTACAACTTTCATTTCAGACAACATCAAAGACTATAATATGATACAATAAATTAAAGTTCGTCATGCTCCTTGTCTTTCCTACAAAGCAGCGTTGCCAAGTCACAAGTTTTAACACAATACTCGACTTCGGAATTCATATTGAAACATGCAAGTAAGATGTATTTTTCTTGTATATAAATGTCATTGATTTTCCCAGCTGAAACATGCTGGTTTCTACGTGATTAAGTTATACATTATGCGCTGTGTACTCATTTTAATGGTACTGTTGTTACTTAGCCGGGTATGAGAATGCTTTTCCGTCATTACCGATTTCTTGAATCACCATGTGAGAAAGTCTGATATATTCTATTATTTGGTCTCTGTTCCTTGTTTGGAGTGAAACCAAAAAAAACATAAACAGTGCAGGTGATCATTAACCTTTTTTAAGCGGTCGCCACATTGATGCCCCGAAGGTCTGCCTCACATACAGACCTCCTGTCTAAGAGCAGCAATCTCCACGCAATAATACCCGACAATTCCTTTCACGAAGTAAACTTAAGCTTGCTGAGTTCGAGTAAAGACAATATCAGCCGTCAACTGTAGTACATACTGCATTTTTCTAATACTGTTTGTGTTTTGGAACGGATATTAGAAATGGACTATTCAAATATTGCGTTCTTGTTGTTCATAAACATATACAATTCATGTATTCAAGACATATATGTTTTTTATTTCTACAAATAGGGGCAGAAATTCGGAATTTCTAAATATGCATTATATGCTAAACACATTTTTTAACTTTATAAGTAAAATATTATTAGAACCATTCTATCCAAGAACGAGGTTTTTTTTACTATTTTTGTATGCGCGTTGTAGTAGACAAACCTTTTGGAGTAATACTCTTGCTAACGTATGATACTATGAAATAGTGCACGAAATAGTAGTTAAGTAGCACATATGACTTCACGTATCCTCAGTCTGACGATTTGTTATTGTTTATAGTCAGCCAGTGTAAACAGCATGTAAAATAGAATTTGATTTGCATAAGAAAATTTCCATGCTTAAGCATAGCAATTTACAAATTTGAAAGGTAATGCATTCTATAAAATCTCGTTATCATTTTAAATTGGACCAATCAAAATATATAACATGCAATATATTCTGTAGTCATAGTAATGATGTTAATCACAAGCACTGTCTTACAGTTTTAAAGATTAATCTGTCCGTCTTCAGCCCTCCCATAAATAATATTATGCACGTTTGTGAGGTTACGGACACATTCTTTATTACCCGTGCAGTGATTATAAAGCAGAGTGTTATAAATATTTTTTATGACCCTGTCTACAACAGTTAGATATTATACAGATACTTATATACTTGCCTTAATCTATATTATGCCATAGTCCTCGTATTAAGTAATCAAGTTTATATGTGATATGTAAAAAAGAACTGAAACAGAATCGTTTGTTCACACACGGTTTACGCCTACAAATATATACTCAATCGATGAGCTTATCTTGTATTACTCAAATTGGACTTTGGACTTTGGGAATATTATAAAGAAATCACCACTCGTTTACTAAGTAAAAACTTAGGAATAGTATCACAGATAAGGAACAATATACAACACTAGAACAAGATTATTTTCCTATTAGTAATAATGAAATATTTATTACACTTATCTTTTATTTCACACGTGCCTCAATATTGATACTACAGTAAGGATTTCTTCCAGTTGAGTTCAGTCCTAGAAATCGTTGATTTTTTTGTTTGTTTTTTCTTCTCTTTTTTTTCTGTCCCAATAGCATCACTTGTCATTCTGATCATCCGGCCAAGCTGTTTTAATAGTAATGTGCCAGAGTCTAGTATGAATGAGTTATTGTGTTAGTACAAGAAGGGTTTAATTTTCTATATCTCAGTCTGTCAGTTCTGATGCAGTTTGGGTCCTGTATCAGCTATCAATTTTGAGTTGAAGTTGCGTGATTGTTACAATATAATGTTGTTTCTGTCTTGTTCAGAAATTTTGATATGCAGTCGATTTTTCGAAAATGACATTTCATTAGTTATAACTAACAACTTTATGGATTTGTAGCTCGAAAAGCGATCAACTATCGACTTTCATATATTAGTATGCAAAGTGTCGGGAGATTTGCTTCTTCTTTGTAACACAGTAAATTCCCAACTCGAGGGAAAAAGTTTGTTTCGGGAAACTATTTATCGGAACAATCATATCCAGTGACTATATGGCATTGTGTATAAACATATGCATTTGCGGACGTTCCAGATCGAATGGAAATGTGAAACATGATCAAAGAATTGTATTATTCATTAATATTTCGTTGAAGATTTGAAATTCTTTTTTTTTTTTTTTTTTTTATTTTTTTGTTTCAATATTGATATCCATGGTGATAATGAACAATGTTAATCAAAAATTGTTTTTATTATATGTAATAAATATCTAGAAAACTGTACCGTTTTACTTTATGTACACATGCTCGAAGACACAAAAATCTCATAGGATGAACAAACACTCTCCAGCATAGCTGTTAAAAATAACATCCTCTTATAAATTATAAAATCATCAACTCTTGATCACATAAATATTAACACAGCCCCATTAAATCACACAAACCCATTACATCACACAGACCCATTACATCACACAGACCCATTAAATCACACAGACCCATTACATCACACAGACCCATTACATCACACACCCATTAAATCGCACAGACCCATTACATCACACAGCCCATTACATCACACAGACCCATTACGTCACACAGACACATTACATCACACAGACCCATTAAATCACACAGACCCATTACATCACACAGACCCATTAAATCACACAGACCCATTACATCACACAGACCCATTAAATCACACAGACCCATTACATCACACAGACCCATTAAATCACACAGACCCATTACATCACACAGACCCATTACATCACACAGCCCATTAAATCACACAGACCCATTACATCACACAGACCCATTACATCACACAGCCCATTAAATCACACAGCCCATTAAATCACACAGACCCATTACATCACACAGACCCATTACATCACGCAGCCCATTAAATCACACAGACCCATTACATCACACAGACCCATTACATCACACAGCCCATTAAATCACACAGACCCATTACATCACACAGACCCATTACATCACACAGCCCATTAAATCACACAGCCCATTAAATCACACAGACCCATTACATCACACAGACCCATTACATCACACAGACCCATTAAATCACACAGACCCATTAAATCACACACCATTAAATCACACAGACCCATTAAATCACACAGACCCATTACATCACACAGCCCATTAAATCACACAGACCCATTACATCACACAGACCCTTTAAGTCACACAATTCCATCAGTTTATACAACCCGTATACTGTAGATCACACAACTCACCGATTCCGCTAGCACACCAATCCACCAACATAACCCCGTCAACACACAAGTCCGCTAACACAAATCCACTAACACAACCCCGTCAACACACAACTACGCTAACACACAACTCCACCAACACAGCTCCGTCAACATACAACTCGATTAACCCAACTCCGCTAACACACAACTCCACCAACATAACCCTGTCAACACACAACTCGGCTAACACATAACTCCACCAACACAACTCCGCTAACACAAAACTCCGCTAACACAACCCCGTCAACACAAAACTCAGCTAACACACAACTCCACCAACACAACCCCGTCAACACACAACTCGGCTAACACACAACTCCAACAACATACAACTCCATCTACACACAACTCCGCCGGCACATAATTCCGCTAACACAGAAATACGCATAAACATTTGCGCGGTCTGTTTCTGATTTTATAGAAAGATATTATTCATGTTCGCATCTTAGTCACCTCTCGACTGCTCTTCAAGGCTATAACGGATACTTATATATTAGCGTGGTTATGGTATATCATTGTGCTTCTTCACACAATAAATGTTTCAGACTGTTCTAGAAATACTTTTATTAAAATCATCACAAGGGTAGTAGATTAACCTCATCATAACACTAATATTATTTCATCGCTAATGAACGAGGCCAAATGTTGTTAGTTGGAATATTTTTTTTTATTATTTTACAATAATTATACAACAAAATCAATCCAAACAAATCATCTAGACGAGGAAAGGGAAAAAGGAAAATAAATATTACTAACGGTAATTAATATTATACTCCGGAAAAAGACCAGCAACGAAAATAAACACCACAATGTCACAACTCTCTTGAAAAATAAGAATATTATCTGAGGAATTAGCTTTACCACGAATCAGGGAAACAAATTCGTCCTGGTACGAGATTTCAACACACGAAGACTAACAAAGTGCTAACTGTAGATACTTTTAATAGATACAATTAATCCATCGGGAGGGCATTAGGATGTCATCTAATGTTAAGTATGGGTATATCTGTAGGAACACTATACAAACATATCTAATGTTCTCAAGTGTGACATATCGATCACTTTAATCACTCTGACTAGAACTTATTTCCGCTTTAATTTCTTGAGATTGTCGATCATGGACTCGATGAAATGTGAAAAACAAGGAATTTAGGTTTAGCTTATTTGTACACTGACGTAAGAAATCGATTAATTCTACTACGTGGGTACACCTCGGGAATCATCACACTAGTATATTCAATTAAAGTGTTTACCTCTTGTCTGACATAAGGCTAGGACTTATCCATGTTACATAATCCGTACAGGAGCGAGGAAAGAATGTATATTCTACCTCATGACATGTATTAAGAGACAACTGATTGTCGGGCACGTCGAGGTTGGTTTCGCCGATGTCTCCTTTTAACGTGAAATCGGAGAGCCCAAGAATGGGACCTACTGCATTTCACTGATAGTGGCAGGGTCAAATAAAAGTGAGCCCCCTGCAGATTCAAATGTCTTCTACCAAGGGGACATTGCGGACACAAACATATATTTAATGCCCCAATTGTAACAGTTATGATTTTGGTCCTTTTGTTTCTTATTGGTTATTTCTGTGGTTTGTTTTCCCGTCTTGTTGTCCATTCTGATATACCTGTCCTAATTTGACCCTTACTGTTGCATGGACGTTGGAACATCGTCCATCCCAAGAATATGCAGTAGTTACTTAACAACATTTAATCTTGACACACCTTGAGGAGTACAACATCGATAAACAAATTAAAAGTCATGATGACCCAAGGTATAACCTGACGTGACTTGAGTAAGACGTTCTTTGATTATCTGTATAATCATCATCCGGTTCAATCAATGGTAAAGCTTTAACAGGTAACATCGTTAAGTTTCAGCTCTAAGTAAGTATTAAAGAGGAAAGAGAGATTCACCACAAACTCCGTTCGGAGAATTATATCTCACTCTCACACGGAACTATCATCCACATTTGTCACTAAGGATAGTATTTTGCAGAATTTCCTAACAGCTACACTATTGTTTTACTGTACTGTTTTGAATAGGTATCTATAGTATCGTCACAACGCCTCCAAATGAACTGATGCATTAAATACGTACAGAATAAAATTTTCTATGAATGTATGTTTATGTCAATGTAATTTTGGACGACTACACACTTTCTGAAAGTGAGACTAAATCAACAATCTATTATTACCTTACGAGATTTCATAGACTTTTCATCAAAATGAATTATTCAAGTTTCGTACCATTGATAAAGTATTCAACTTAATCCCTTGAACACAATATCAATATCAATAATATCAAAACTCTTTGTCACCAGAAGTGAAACAAGGAAATACAAACAAGGAAATACAACCTAGAAAACGCTGATCGCGTCCTGTCTGCAGTAGAATATCGAATCTGAAACAGAACATGGTTTACATGTCATTATTAATCATATTTATCTAGTAAATTGTTGAATGTCATTGCCCAAGTGCATAGTCCTTATTCTTATCGATTGCTACTGCAATATATTGCCGTATGTATGAAAATCGTACCATAATAGTTATGTTATCGATGTCTCTTACGGATTATACAGAGGTTTACCTAAGTAAAGTGAAAGAAACTTGCATCTATTTATAGCTTGAAAATACTAGTACATACTTGTAGGATATTAATCCTTCCAAATCTCTGTTATCTTTATATACAACACAGTCGACAACACCATCTTGCTTTCAACTAAATATTAAATTTCGCTCACAAATATTCAAAATAGATATACACTAAAATAATCTAAATGTATTTACTGATAAATAGTAAACGTTCTGTACCTGCTCTGGACCATTCATTAAATGAGACGTCACTTTAAATTGTTACATCTGGACCTTCTTTTCGGTATTTTGTTCGGCCAATGTCATTCTTTAATACATTAATGTATGTATATCTAGTTATCAAAGTCATAATTAAAATCGTTAAACTCAAGTTTAATTTATAAGATAATGCAATGCTATTAATCATATATAACAGTACATTATAACTGTAATCTTCCCAGGTTTTTGCTGAAAGTTAAAGTAGATCCGAAGTAGAGGAAAAAGAGAGAAATCAAACGCGTAACGGTCGCCTTAGTCTGTATATAATCATGGTTTTAATGCAACGGCTTACATGTTGATGATATAAATAAAGTTAGAATAATTTATTTCTTATCGTAAAAATAAAATATATACCCGAAAATTATATTCGCTATATATTCCTACATAAACTACAGTTCTTCTTCCTTTGAATACAGTCCATTACTTGGTGTAAAAACGCATTAGCAAAATTGACAGTTAAATTGACCCTTCCTTATAAGGGAAATGTACGTACATGGATATACAACATTACTGAAGTTTCTGTCTTCTCAAGCAAATCTTTCTAACTTTTACAAACTGTATATCAATCCTCGCTGTAATACTCGTACTCTAGTTTGGTGCTTTTTAAAAAAAAATGCTGAACTACTCAAGTACATGTGTTACATCGCAAGAATTAATGTGTGTGCTGATGCACGTGTTCGTGTGATTACACATGTGAGTGTCTATACATGTACATATGTACGTACATGTGCTCTGATGTAGGTAAAGGTATTTGTACGTTGTGCTTGCATTTGTGTAACCTGCGAGCTTACACATTAATATATATATGTGTATCGCAAGTCTGTTTTTGTGCAAATGCACGTGTCCGTACTGTTGTATACATGGTTGCTCATAAATGTGCGTATACGTCCATGTGCCAAATGCTGGTTAAAATTTGAAAATTCTTAGACTCGTTCCATGGGTTTACATATCGAACGAGAACTAAGAAAGGAT